TATAGTTTATCACCAGTAGTGCTTATTATCGATCGAAATGACCCTACGAAACTCTGTTTACCTGTAATTTTGGACAGTCAATTGACAATTTACCCTGGTCAAGTTCATGTTCGTTTACACTAATCAGTCGTTTTGTATTTATGTACTTTGAGTTGTTGTACCACGATTCATTTTACACCAATTACGGAGCATAAAAAAAATATGAAATGGGGAAAATCTTAATTGTCGTTTCAAAATTTCTGAGACTGTTACGCGACCTTTAGTGGAAATTCTGGTATAATATTTTGGAAGTTGGAAAATAATTGATAAAAAGTTATGTCGTTGCAGTATAAATATTTAAAGTTTAATATTACTTTTAATTTAATATTGTTTTACAGGTATATCGGCCGAATTAAAGTACAACACCTCAGTGATATTTTGTGTAAGTGATCAATTTTGAAATTATTATCCTAGTCAAAAAGGGAACCAAACAGTTGTATTTTTCAAATTACCGGATGGAGAAAAACATAAATTCGGAAAATACTCATATCATCCAAGCCGCCAATGATGACAAAGTACAACAGGCTGAGGTTTCAAGCGACGGGCATATCCCTTGTGTACCCCCTCTAGAAATAAACCAACCAAAAACCTCGGCCCATATGCCTTTTGTGTATTTTGTGGTGGCTGAAAACAAAATGCCAGTACAAGTAAGTCTATTGGACGGTACCAGTCAAGCATGTAATCACGCCATTAGAGCGCGGAAACAGTTCATTAACGACAAGAAAAGACAAGCCAAACGGTGTCAAGAGGTGAGAAATATAATCAAAGAACAGAACTCTATGCTCGGTCTGTGTCTCGGACCGGTGAAAGATAGCGACGGAAACACAGCAACAGCGTTAACAAATAATCTTTATCCTCTTTGTAACAGTTCAAGTAACGGCAAGTCATCGAGTGAAAAATCAGATTATTCTAAGAAACACACTCGGTTTTATGGACTGTCCGATTACGAACAAGAGTTTGATTCGGATCCAAGTGTTATAGAAAGTGTAAAAAAATCCAACAGTATCATCAATTTGGAACTTTCGGTTTCAGAGAGTAAGGACAAAGCGATAAGGATTCCTTCGGCGCAGATCCCAATAGACCGTGATCATCCAAAACGGGTTCAGTTCTCAGAATATTCTTCTGATGGAACACATCCAAAAAGATGCTCGTCGAAATCATCAGCTGCCTCGAGCCGATTTCCTAGCAGATTGTCGATGTATAGCACCCGTAGTGAACCTCGTTATCCTAGTCCAGATAAACCCAACCCTAGCAACGGAGCCATGGCCTCCTCCAGATCCCATATAGGTAACAAATCAGAAATGGCATTACCTAAGATAGATCTGATGGGTGATATGTACGATGAAGTTATCATCAAAGCAATCGACACCTTCATGACATCCAGGAAGATCTCTGCTAAACGGCGACCCCAAATGGAACGAAGATTGATTTCTCGGTTAGCCATGGCCAGAAAATACCAAATGGAAGTCGACGCTAAAATCAGAAATAATTCAGCGACAACATGCCACAGCCGCACGTCTGTTCATCCGGATACGACATCATTAGAGACCGAAGATGAACAACCAAGTAAATCAATTCTTTTAAAGCCAACAGCCTTTTGCATGGTTTCACCGGGTATGCAGATAACCCGATAAACTTTTAAGAACTTTATTAACATTATTGTAACTAACTATATTTATCTATTAGCATTGTATTCTAATCACAAATAAAAGTCTAATTATATCCTATGATTTGCGTCTGGCCGTTGGGGCCACTTTATTTCAACCATTATATAGCGTAGTTAAATGCTGACAATAGGGTCGTCTCCCTACAATGTACGGCTAGGTGTTGTCAGGTCCCTAGGCTAGAATATAAGGTTACAATTGGAAACTGAGCCGCCATTTTAAATGGATCTTTACGTCTTTTGCAATCGGTGCTAATTGCGTATCATTGGTGTGTGGGTATAAACATCTGCATAATAATATTAGCATTTTGTGGCCAGCAAAAATATAATTTACTAACTTAGATGTCAGCCCTAAATGAAAGCTGAGATCAACCACTATTTGTATTAGTAGCACACAGGATTTCGATACGGGTTAAAGCTACCACAATAACTTGATTAAATATAGATTGCCAGGCAATGAAACATCGCCCACAGCAACGTAGTCACCCACAAAGATTGTCGAGTACTTCGTTTGTAGGGACATTTAAAGACACTAAAACTGACCAAGAATAACAATTTATGATGCATTATCAGATATAATTAAAATGTGATTGGCTTCTAGTTATTCCCCGTGCTAACATTTATTATACAAATCATTTACCGGCAATCGAAATGTTCGCGTTACAAAAAAATCAACATAATTCTTCATCCCACCAACATAAACCCTGTACAAAGTTCAAATCGTTCTGAAAATAACTATGTAACTATAGCCACAAGAGGTTGAATAAGATTTTTTTAGAAAGTGATCAAAGGCAATAACTTCGAAATAATTATTATTATTATTATTATTATTATTACAGCATATTTATAGTGTACCCTTTCATATAACATGTTCAGGGGCACTTTACAAAGTGACAATGTAAATCACACATAAACAACAAGATTATGGGTATGTTAACGATTGTATACAGAGTCAGTTAAAAGCCTGATTAAATAAATGTGTTTCAAGTTGTTTTTTAAAAGAATATAGAGATGCACAACATCTTAAACTAAATGGTAGATTATTCCATAAAACAGGTGCTTGATAACTAAAAGAGCGCTGACCATAAGAGACTAGTTGAACAGTTTTGGGCTTTAAAAGTAGTTTATCTGATGTACGTAATGTTCGGCCAGGTGTATAAAGTTCTAAAAGATCTGAGAGGTAAACAGGAGCTAAATTATTCAAACATTTAAAAGTAAGTAATAAAATCTTAAAATCAATTCGATATTTAACAGGTTACCAGTGTAAATTATATAAAACAGGAGTTATGTAGTCACATTTCTTAGTTAAAGTAACAAGTCTAGCCGCAGTATTCTGTACTTTTTGTAATTTATCTATAAGCTTTAAAGGTAAACCAACTAAAGGTGAATTAAAGTTATCTAACCGAGAAGTGACCAGAGAATTAACAAGTGACTTAGTGGCCTCTACAGTTACACATTTACGTATTTTACCTATATTTCTAATATTAAAATAGCACAATTTACAAATATTATTTACTTGAGCTTCCATAAGCATAAAACTATCCAAGATAGCGCCAATATTACGAGCAGAATAAGATGAAAATATATCACAATTACCAATTACAACAGGGGAGTTATCTTGTGCAGATTTACTTAATTGATGCCTTGAGCCTAATAACAAATATTCGGTTTTATCATCATTAAATTTTAGAAAGTTCTTTGACATCCATTTTCTAATTTCACTAATAGTTCTCAAGTTGCAATTTTGATAAATTGAAAGAAGATGGACAATTAGGTGTAAATGAAATATATAATTGAGTATCATCGGCATACAAATGAAAGCTGAGACCATATTTTTTGACAATATCTCCTAATGGTGACGTATAGAGGGTAAATAAAATCGGACCAAGAACAGAACCCTGGGGAACCCCAGATGACAAAACAGATTCAGACGACGATTTGCAATTAACTAAAATACACTGTTTTCTACCCACAAGATAGCTCTCTAAAAGATTTAATGCAGAGCCACAAATACTGAATTTAAATTGAAGTCTACGTAGAAGAATGGAAGGGTCCACCGTGTCGAAAGCAGCAGATAAATCTAATAAAATTAAAAATGTACATTTTCTATTATCAATTTCCATTAAAATATCATTTGAAACCCGGGTTAAAGCTGCTTCGGTACTGTGAAATTGTTTATAAGCACTTTGAAATGGTTATCATCTAGATGGGCCTTTATCTGAGAAGCAATACATTTCTCCAATATTTTAGAAATAAAACTTAAGTTAGAGACTGGCCTGTAATTTTTAAAAACATAAGGATCCAGTGTAGACTTTTTAATTAAAAGGGTAACATAAGCTCGTTTGAAAACGTTGGGAATAGTAGCGGATGATATACAAGAATTAATAATATTGGTAAAAACTGGAATAACTTCGTCTGGACAGTCCTTAAGAACAGAAGTCGGAACAGGATCTAATGAACAAGATTTAGGAGCAGACGATTTAATTAGCTTTAAAACAAAAGATTCACTAACCAAGTTAAAATTTTCTAAATAAACAGAATTTTCTAAATTATCACCTTTTTCGTTGATCAACATAAACACTGTGTATAATTTTACATTAATCGGATGATAACTCCCGACAGTAACTATCAGAAAACGTTGGACATCGTATAAACAAGTCAATCGGATAATAACTAAAGCCGCGGAAGCTTCCACAGTAATTAGCAAAATGACAAAGGGCTTCTTTGAAATGAAATAAACTGGGTTTAACGTCCTACCTTTTTGCACCGACTGTGCTAATGAAGACGGATATACGTCATGCAGTGTACTATGAGGGAATATAGCCAGAACTCTAATTTCGAATTTTAACTGTAAGGAGTTAAACTTTCACCTGCCCGTCAATGAGTACTCATGACCTCGGTTTTTCGTCCCATCCGAACGACTAGACACTGTTCCTTGTCAGGCACTCCGTCCTGAACCACTGACCCGGGGAAACCACGCCGGAAAATCTCGAGAAACTTTCTTGGCCAACACTGGGAGCAAACCTCAAGGTTAGTGAGCCAGTGTCTTGCTTGTGGCATGAATATAAATACCGTGTATAAGTTTAAAATAGTCAGATGATAACTTTAGCCTATAGAGTGATCAGCGGGCAATTGTTGACGTACAAAGGAAGGACCAACGAAAAAAGAAAGAACGAGAGTGGATCAGTGTTGTAACTTTAAGCCTAATCTCGAGAAATTTGGAAATGGGGCTGTTTAAAAAAAAATAACGTAGAATGCGGATTATCCATAATTATGATAAAACCAAAAGACACCTAAATAACTAAAGAAAAACATTTATTACACAATTTTATAATCAACACAAATATGCTATAAAAATAGAACTGTCCTATTATTTAAGTGCAATATTTTAAAACTAATTACTTTGGGTTATTTACGTGGCTATAATAGTAATTCAGAATCCTCTTCAATGACCATCTCTACTTTTAAAGATAGGTTCCGGAGCGAAGTCGTCTGTACAGTCGCAGTGTAATTTCTTTTTACCAGACACTAAAACGTGGTCAAGGACAACAACTAATGATGCAATGAGCGAAAATCGCATATGCGGGCATACAGACATGGGTGACGAGAATATACAACCAGTATTATGTGTTCGTACAAAAACGGACAAGATCAATGACCTTGGTTGTTGTGGCGTATATATATACAAAGGTGTATTAGTACATGTTTCTCGCCAAATATACTGCAATTACCATGATCACAGACCTTATCCCCTTCAATATTTGAGAGAATTACTTAATAGAAAGCATGGATTGTTAGAATGATTGTTACGTAACTTTGTTTTGAAATTTACAAGTAAAACAATCAATGAATAAAATGAAAAATAAACAAATATTGGCCACAAAGGAATTAAATATTCCAGAAAGTAATATCGAAATGTGGGGAATGAAAATGTTTCCCTGGTTAAGTAAGATCGATCCGTATATGGTAAGTTATAAGGTGGGTATATTGTTCCCAAAACTATATAAAAAAAAGACATCTGGGGAAAAAAATACAGAAAAACAACAAACACCTTTCCATGTATTATGAAAAAATTTGTTATACACTCAACAAAAAAGTTACCTACTTTTAATAAACCACCGGAGAAAATAAACGCCAAAGTCAACAAATTCAGACAAAACCAGATGTAATGTTATAACACAACCACCGTAATGGTGGACTTTATATAGATCTAACTATTCTCATCTGAAACAGTCTCTGCACAGAAGTCGTTTATATTTCAAATACCGCATGTGCGGAAACTGTTCCAGTTGAGCATGTGCGCCTTAACTATACATCTATTTGTATTACATAAAATATATTTTAATTAAGTGCAGTCTTGAATTTACAATGAAAGTTGTGAATCGCTCAAGTTTGACTGTTGCCTTCGGATTAAATGTTCTTCAAAGGATAGAAAGTGAAATAATGCAGTTTTCTATCCGCTGCAATAACGATGACAGCAACCAAAGTAATTTTTAACTCAATTTAATGGAAGTTGCCACCGTTGGATAACGTTTCTTCACATTGTATTTCATCTTTCCAACCGGTTCTGGGAAAACGAAAAGTAGGATACATCAAACCAGATATTGCAAACAGCCAAGTTACATTCATTGAATTCAGCGATTTTGTAACCCTTGCACTCACTCATCGTTATAATGTGTTCTTGTTTTTTTTTGTTGTTTTTTATTTAGCATAAGGGTAAAACAACTCCCCAATGTTGGAGAGACTGGTACTATCTGAGACCCATGGTGGAAACTAGTGTTAGTTTATGACAATGCATATAGGTCTATCCACAAATGTTTATAAAATATTGAGTATGTTCGGGCAAATGCTTGTGTTTGGATTTGTTTGGGGTTTTTTTTTTGTTTGACATTGGCTAAAAATGGAATTATATCATACATCTACTGGTGTATTTATTTATATTTTAAGGGAATGTTTGAACAAAAAACGAATAGACACAAAACACAACAAAATTGTGTCTGTAGCAAAACTTTTGTGAATGTACATAAACAAGAAGTATTAACAACATTACAATTAGGTAAATTAAATCAAATTAGTCAACATAAATTACATATAACTAAATCAAATAAATCGTTATAACTTCAAAACATAAATTTCAAAAATATATAGACTATAAAAATCTAATGATTACATCTAAATTACTCTCTTTTGACAAAATGGACCATTAAATAAAAACGTAGGTATGATGCTATCTTGGCCTTGATAATAATATTTAAATCAAATTAATCATTATAACTTCAAAACATAAATTACATAATCATATTTTAATCCAAATAAATGTTATAAATTACATTATTTAATCAAATTATTCTGTTTAACTTCAAAACATAAATTACATAATTATATTTAAATGAAATAAATTGTTATAAATTACATAATGAAATCAAATTAATCTGTATAACTTCAAAACATAAATTACATATAACTAAATCAAATTAATCCAAATAACTTGAAAACAGAAACTACATATAATTATATTTAATTTAAACCCAAATTAATCCTTATTACTTCAAAACATAAATTACATTACTAAATTTAAATCAAATTAATCCTTATAACTTCAAAACGTAAATTACATATAATGAAATAAAATTATTCCTTATAACTTCGAAATGTAAATTTCAAAAATATATAGACTATAAAAATCTAATTAATACATCTAAATTACTGACTCTCTTTTGACAAAATGGACCTTTAAATAAAAACGTAGGTTTGATGCTATTATCCTTGAAAAGTTGAAAAATGATTACTAAGAAATAAAGATGGCATAATAAAATTAAAGGAAAGGAATGTGAAACATAGTGACCATAACTTACTTTGAGATTTTGAGATTGATTGATTTGGATAAATGTTTTTGGGCTAATGCTGCTTTTTGGTAAGACACCTTTTCAATGTGTATAATCTGAGTGTCTATATTTGCCGTTTATTATGGAATAATGAATGGGTCAAAGGCTTCATTTTACCATACCCTTATATAGATAGAAAAACAGCATAATTCTACTGAATTTAATTGACAGTTTATAAACACTTGAGTATTGGAATGATAAAATACCTAATTATAGTTTGTCTATATAACCAGGAATGAAAGTACTAGATGTAGATATGGTGTGTTCCCACTTAGCCGGCAGACTGTTAATCCTTTGATTGATCTTAAAACTATAGTCTGTTTAAAAGTAGTCACTCAAGAACTGTTCACTAGTGTTCAGCGTTAATGAGCTCTTAATAAAATTTATTAACCAACTAATTAATGACATTTTGAACTTTTGGCATTCTAAGTTGAATAAAATGACAGCATGCCATCCTAATATTTACAAGTTCATTAACTTAATAAAACAAGAACAATCCTATGTCGAAATCACCATTTCACAGATATTATTTGGTGGTACCAAAAGGCCTCGAGTTAAGAAATATCGACAACTTGATACAAGAATTGAATATTTGAAAACACAGTTATTAAATGGCTCTTTAAGTGTAAATCGGTATGGAACAAATATTTCCTATTTAGTGGGGCTGTAAAATGATTGTTATGTTGTAAGGCATTTATTTATAAATTATATAATGCTATTTAATAAAAGTTAAATGTGTAAATTGTAATGCATTTTTATATGTGTAAATTATGTTATTTAATAAATGTTAAATTTGTTAAAATCAATATATTTTTATATGTGTAAGCTATTTAATGTTATTTAATAAAAGTTAAATTTGTTAAAATCAATACAGTTTTAGTCTTAAAAAAGATATGGACTATAGTTTATAACACCATTGTTCTAGGATTAACTCTGGATTAGCGGCAAAATTTGACATCAAAGCCTGCCGGCTAAGTGGGAACACCCCGTAGATATACATATTAATATAAACAAAATAAACAATAAACTACTTTCGCAGTAGAACATATTAACACAATCAAACATAATGGAAATTACTGGGAACTGGAATATATAGACATAATCAAATAAAATGGAAATTACTAGAACTGGAATTTTAAGTGAATTAACTCAAAATATATCTGGGCCCTATTTGTGAAAACTCACAGAATAATATTTCAAAACCACCTAATTTTCATTGGTTTAGAGCATGTATAAGTCAATAAATGCTGTTTCCATTAAGTATTAAAATTAAGGAATTAATAATGTTTTCAACCTTGAAGTACGTCTCCAGTCATTTGTCATCTGCTTATATTTTATGCAATATATAATATCAAACTAGTTTAAATATGCATAATGAAAAAACAAATCATTTCGATTTTATTCGGCAAATTAAATTAAAACAAAGCCTATGATGTACAGATGGCATCATAATTTGTGAATTAAAGTTGAAAGCATTTGTATTTTTGGTTGCACATTTTTGAACATAATTTAATATTAAATAATGCATAAAATACTAACACATGAAGTGGCTACAAATCTTCTTTAACATAGTTTCTTCATGAATTGAATTCAGATCAACATTTAAGAGATAAAATAATATTAAATTTAAATACAAGTAAATTGATTTAAAAAGACGGGAATGCTAAATTATAATTGGGGAGTTTGGCAAAAGTGGAATCGAACTAATTTCTATGTGACAAAATAAACATAGAACAAATTAATGGAATTTTCTTAACTTTTGGTACTTGTGGAATATAACGGATTGGCATGGGAACTAACTCTTAATGGAATCATACAATCCTTAAAATCAGATTTCCAATTCTCTTTTCTGAGCGATAAATAAAGTTTGGAAGCTCATAAGCAGTGTGGATAACACACAGTTTCTGGTATAAATGTCATGGAATTTATTTTTCCCCATTGTTGACTTCCACAGGGCTCTCGGTAGCCAATCAAACCATCTACCTATTAGGGCATTTGGATAGGTAGCTACCAATTTGAAATCAATTAATTTTTTTCAGAGGCACCTACTCATAGACAATCAAACAAATATTAACTTGAAGTTGTTTTGTGACAAATATATCATATAGTCATTTATCTATTGATGCAATGTAGGGGGAGGATTTTGCTAAGGGAGTGGCTCCTTTTCTACCGGTAACTGTTAAGAAATCTTTTATGTGCCTTAATAATATAAACACAACAGAGGACATCAGTATTTCAGCCCTGGTCATACTATTCATGCCATAGGGGGGGGGGTAGTAGAATATACTTATTCTATCGGAATGGGTTACAAAGTTCACCGTTATAAACATGATAAATGTAGAAATATGATTAATTAATTAATATAATATGTAAATATAAATATATTCTCTATATAGGTGGATTGTTGTTAAATATATATAAACTAAGTATATTTCTTCTTCATCTTAAGTAAAATTGGGTAATGGATATTTTCATCGTATAAACTATCTTCCTTGAACTGAAATGCATAGAAAAATAAATGTTTTATATCTTGGGAGGGATTATTTCTGACAAACTGACAAACATACAACAAGGAAGAAAAAGACAGGGTAGTAATTTGTTTCAAAATTCTGCTAGTTGAGCATTTAATAAGATTAGGTTCAAGAACTGCTGACATGTTTGAAGGGATATAACTCTTTCACTCATTCAGTCTGACCAGTACTACTATTCAACTACATACATACACTCTCAAGTGAGAATTAAACTTTTAAGTCTCTGATCAGCATTTGAGTGAATTGGATCTCTAAAATTAGTATTAAATGCATATGATATTATATAAGATATGCTCAAAAACCTATAATTTTCGCCCAAATCTTATGATGCTTTTTAATCCAGCTGAATGCAAGCAGAGAGATCATCTAACTTTGATTTTTCGAATTAGTTTTCTTAAACATGCATTATGCAAGAGATAAATCTGCCCTTTGAAGGTCTTTCTTTAGGATTGAAATGTTATATATAAATTATTAATTAGACATTAGTTAACTTACCAAGACCACAATCAACCCTTGGTGCCTGCGATATTTAGTAGATTTAAATATGTTTTGTGATGGATAATCAAGACTGTGTTTTTTAATCTTAACGTTAGTAATGACAATCGAGGCTAGCCTATAATTGTATCGTTAATATCTAGGCTCTGAGTGAAGTAATTTGACTGAAATTTTCTGCATATTCTCTTTCTATTATCCATTATTTAACTATTATAGCGAGAACTGTCAGCTCTTTATCTAATATTACCTAATGCTGCTTTAATCAAATGTTAAATAATAAGTTTTCAACTATACAGATTTTACTATTAGAAACAACTGTATATTTTGGTCAATCCTGTGGCATAGACCTCAAATGTCTCACTCAATACAAAATGAATAAACTAGGTCCAATTTTATAACCATGTCTATAATTTGACTATATAAAACTACTAATTACTAACCTTTGAATGTAATTTCCAGATTGTTGCATTGTAATTGGTTTTGATTTCTGTGTGGAATTTTTCCTGAGCTAGCTGCATGAAATTATTAAACGTTTCTCCTCTTCTTGGTGCAAATACTATCACCTCCCCCTGAAAGCAATTTAAACATTAAAGTTGCTTTGTAAATACTAACACCTCCTACCGATATTAATAAGATAAATGTTATTATATGGCATAGATAATAATATTTGGGAAGTGGAACAGATGACCTATTATCTCTGATTGTATCTTTTTGGAAGTGTAGTTAGCTGTATTAGTAAGTATGGGAGGACCACACTACACACAATGCACAATCAAAACTCATAGAACAAATCCTGGACAAGGCACACAAATAAAAGCAGTGATGGTTGTAGTACATTAGTCAGAATATGGCTAATGTTTCTGGAACCTTGATACAATTTTGTATTTGTGCATGCAATGTACATTAAACATACATATGCAAGAGCTAAATCTGCCTATTGCAATTCTTTATTTAGGCTTCAGATGTTATAGAAATTATTAATTATACCCTTATTTACATGTCAAGCTCAAAAAAACTCTGTAGACCCCCGGATGGCTTGGATACAGCTTTGATTTAAACAGTCGTCCATTTAAAATTAAATCAAGAAATGGCCAACCAAGCTAACGTTTACCATTAGTCACCGACCTCACTACCAGAAACTGGTGATGAAAGGCCTACCAAACGAGGGTACCATAGCCATTCAGAATGTTACTTGATAATCAAGAATATGTCGGTGGAGTTATCATATGTCAATCAAATGATCGGCAATTCTCGTAGACGGTGCAGACACAGTTGATACCTATTTCTAGTCGAAACTTCCAACAGTGACAACTCCATTCAGAATATAGTAATTTGACTGAAATTTTCAATATTTTCTTATTTTATCATCTAGTTTTGAATTATTATAGCAAGAAAATCCAACTCTTTATTAAACTCTTAACTAATGTATCTTTAAAACATATAATAAATTGTAAGACTAATTAGCGTACCTGAGGTTTCTATTATTTATACATTCATTTCGTCCTACTTTTAGCATTTTCAATAAAAAAATATATAAAAGATTTAATGAACCATGCATTTATTTTGTTCTAATTTTAGCATTTTAGATAAAAAAATATAAAAAAAAGTTTCAATAAATAATGCATTCATTTTGATCTACTTCTACCATCTTTGATAAAATGCAGAATAAAACATAAAAAAGGTTACATTAAATCATAAATTTATTTCGTTCTACTTTTAGTATTTTATATGAAAATATAAAAGTTTCAATAAATCATGCATTCATTTTGTTCTACTTTTGCAATTGAGATAAAAGACAGATTGAATTGAAATATAGTTTAACAGTAATCGGCATACTTAAGGGTTTAATAAATCATAAATTCATTTTGTTCTACTTCTGCATTTGAGATAAAACAAAAAAAAACAGAATAAAATGGAAAAAAAGACTTATGAGAAATCAGCATACCTGAGGTTTTAATAAATTATACATTGATTTGATTAGATCTTTTCTACCCTCTTCAAAAAACAAACTGAAAAAACAAAAAAAACATGGTTTTAATTGCACATTTAAAATAAATGTTTGTGTTTTTCCCTAATAAAATGGATTATAATTTAACTGTATTTCTTGTGCATAGAAAAGATATGCACTCTTCTGGAAACAGATACAACTTCTAGCTCTGGTATCAACTGTCAATCTAAGAATTGACCTTCTTTAAATTATACAAGTATGCTGGTTCATATGTCACAATACCGGAATAGCTAAACAGAATATCTGCAAAACATTATTTACTGTAATGTTTGGCATGTGAGTTACTGCGGTATATGACCCAATAGAGCATCGAAAATCAATTCTTACATATACAGTTCATATACTTGAAACATGAATGTAATTGAATTAACATTTTATTTTTGTTAAATATGGCTATTTAGGTCATAACAGGTCTTGGTCAGGGATCGGATGTGTCAAGAATGAGCTCCGAAGTATGCCATCAAAGCTACTGAGTTTATGATTTACTTTTGTCACTGTGCAAAATATTTAAAGGAGCTAAATCACTAATATTTGGGTCCTAGAAATTGACCCTAATGGGTTGCAACACATATAATAATGTAATCTGATTGTATATAAACTGATTTACATTCAATTGTTTCTGTTTTTACTCTAATTTCAAATCAGTTTTGTCCAGCGAAATACGACATGAGTAACAATTTCTAGCGTCTGGTTATTCCAGTTTATTGCGCATGCTCTCCAGATAAGATATGGCGTCACTGTTTGACAGGAGTTGTGGAATATGTCTAACCTCGTTCTTTCTGGTCACTTGTTACAAATGACGCTGAAATGAAATTGATAAATAATTCGTGTTTTCAACGTATAGGACTTTGGATGTTATTGAGTTAGAGACTTAGCTACTTAAAGACTGGCCTAGTCATTTTCTACTCAAGTTGTCTAAACCAAAAACTGTTTCTAATTTCAGATTTATATTGACAACAAAAACTTACCAATCAGAACATAAAACAACATCAAAATTTTCTTGAAGATTTCCCTCTAATTTATCTGATCCCCAACGAAATAAACTAAAAGTAAAAATATTTAAAAGTTGCTTCAAATGATGTGTAGACTACATGTAGAGAGAGAGAGAGAGAGAGAGAGAGAGAGAGAGAGATAGAGATGGGGTTTAACGTCCACTCGACACAAACTAGGTCATTTCGGGACTAAAATATGGTTTAATTTTTTTATGGGGTCTTTAGCAGTGGGAGGAAAACGGAGGACCCGGAGAAAACCCACAAGGTTGGACAGGCGACCCTACTCCTTGTCACGTACAACTGGGGATTCGAAACCACGCCAGTTGACTCAATGACAGTCCTTATGATACAGCGCGCACATGCTAACCATTCGGCCATCCTACCTTCCTACATGTATGTAGGGTATTTTATCAAATTAAATTCAGAGTAAGCACATAACTTGGATTCAAATCAATATTAGCTTTTAAATAAAAAATTCTAAGGCTTGACCTCTTGATATCAGACTGATTACAGTGTTCAGTAGAAACATTCTGCACACAGAGAACTATCTACTTTGAGAATAGATCTCTACCCTGAAGGGTCACCACATTGAAAAATTAGTGTACTATTTTGTTATGCGGTTATAATCCACTTTATGTCTTTTATACACACAAAGACTAAATAAACAGATTCAATTCCAGTGGAATAAATATATCTCAATATTCTCGAAGTATACGTAGTTTTTCGAATTAAAATTGTTGAATTATGAATTAAAATGTCAGTGAACTAGTTTCCAGTCTTTTCTCAAACAGAGCTAATTGTAGATAGACAGCATAACTTTTGTATGCAGCAGAATAGTGGGCCTACAGTACAACCATATTCTACATGTTCTACATATCATTGTCCAAGAGAGAGAGAGAGAGAGAGAGAGAGAGAGAGGGATGGGGTTTAACCTCCACTCGACACAAACTAGGTCATTTTGGGACTAACATATGGTTAATTTTATTTCAATAATTTGCTTGTGCGTAGGGGTCTTTAGCAGTGGGAGGAAACCGGAGGACCCGGAGAAAACCCACAAGGTTGGATAGGCGACCCTACTCCTTGTCACATACAACCGTGGATTCGAAACCATGCCAGTTGACTCAATGACAGGCCTTATGATACAGCACACACGTATTAACCATTCGGCCATCCAACGCCCCATGATTTCCAAACCTCTGTGGATCATCGATTGATGTTCAACCATACATAAGCAAATGATCAGTGATTCTTTCACTGAGAACTGTAATTACATAAATAAGTTAGATGTGATTTAAATAGAAAACACAACAGAATTGTCATCTGTACAAAATCTTTCTTCGGATTCGACCCTCTGCTGATGTTTAGCTGATCAGTGATCGATGATTGGCCAAGAATTAAACAATCATGCATTAACCATGAGACAGATAGGATGTAGCCATACTATATATAGTTCTAAATTATCACAGCTACAGGATTCTAATGATTCTGACTGGATGACAACTCTGAACTCACCTTGATTCAACTTGGGTTTGGCCATAATTTTCTTTATTTCTCTTTCTCATAATCTCCAGATCTAAATTAAATAGACATTTTTTTTTACTAATATTTAACTGGACACTTTCCTCAAATTAATGATATTTAAAGATACATTATGTAAGATTTAGATAAAGAGCTGATCGTTCTTGCTATAATAGCTCAAAAATAGATAATGTAAAATAAAAATATTCAAAATTTCATTCAAATTACTTCATTCCGAGCAACGTTAGCACTGTTTGTAGTTTTGACAAGAAGTGGGCATAGTGGTAACCAGGGTACTGGTGTATTCAAGATTTAGCCTCGCTTTCCCATTTTTAAATTAAATTTTTAAATGGCGAACCGTTCTAATCTAGTTAAAATCTACAGTATTCAATGCCATCGAGAGTTGATTATGGTCTTGTTTTGTAAATAAATTTCTAATTAATGGTTTATATAACATTTCAGGCCTAAAGAAATACCTGCAACAGGCAGATTTAGCTCTTGCATAATGTATGTTTAAGACAATAACCAATAAGCACACTGAAACTCACTATTTAGATTATCCCATTAACTAGAGTTACTAACCACACATTCCTAGGCGCTACCCGTGATAAAGAGCAAATGGCTGTAAAATAATTGTGAAGATAAATCTTACTTTTAACAGAGTCTTCATTTCCATCAGTGATTTGAACCTGTTCTGCCTCGGTGCCCACTGCTATCTATAAATACAATATATAAAAGAATAATTATCTTAATATAAGATATAGATGGATTTCTACTTTGGTAGATCAAACTAACAGTACAAGAAATCAGTCTTGATTTATTTTATAAATAAATTTTTCTATAAATTCTTCAAATTTAATTCATATATATTCAAGATATCTGTATTTGTCAGAACCACTGTTCTCAATCTCCTTCATGCTCCATATAAGGGTCAGTTTGATCCCTCTTGGCTTTGTATACAAAATGATATGAATTAGACTATGGGTATAGGAAGACAATTGTTTATCACCCAATAATACATTCTACAGTAGATATCGCTTGTGTGATATATTTCATAATCTACTGCGATATCTCCTTATGAGATATCGCTTTACATAAATTTGATTGGTCAATTGAAAAGGAACTACTTTTTTTTATTTTCAAAGAACAGCTCATTAAAAGTAACTTTTTTTTATTAAAAATGAACTATTGGTATTCAATTGACCTTGATGGAAACACTGGGTCAATATAAAGGACTTTGCAATGGTTGAATTGCTGTCAAAAAATGATGTATCACTACGCGTAATGTTCAGTAAAAGTGAAATCTACAGCAAAGAATTATATTTATCTATACTATTCAAAAAAAGTAGGGGATATTTGATTTTGGGGGCATAATACTAAAATATGCAAATGACTACGAAAAAAGTCACTATAGAACCTAACAGAAGAAACATTTCCAGTTACATGTGACGCCCAAACGCACCAATAGCTACCGCATGGAATGCAGGTGATGCTTGGGATCATCATGGGGGTCCAACCCAAGATTTGCACGACTCTGACTTTGAATGTTACAGTCATTGTGGCATTGAATTCCAGGGTGGAAACATCAGTTTAATTGTTTTAGTGACCAGAAAACAAATTATGATATGCGTCGGCTTACCCAAAATGAAAGGTTACGTGCCCTTGGCATGCTACAGATCGGCACAACACAGGCGGTTGTGGCGCGGACGATGAATGTTTCTCAGTCTGTCATAAGCAGGCTATGGTCCAGATACCGTGATACACAATCTGTACAGGACAGACCACGCTCAGGTCGACCAAGGGCGACAACTCAAGCCCAGGATCGATTTATCCGTACCTTGCCCTTGAGAAATCGTGTCATCACAGCAAATCAGATCAGCGCTCGTCTTCAAACAGACACTGGTGTGAGAGTGAGTGGCCAGACGATTCGGAATCGACTGCATAGGGGTCACCTTCGCGCCCGACGTCCTCGCGTGATCCCTTGTTTGAGAGATCATCACATTCAGACAAGACGTCGTTGGTGTAGGGATCGTCAACACTGGGATAATCGACGCTGGAGCAATGTGATGTTTTCAGATGAGTCAAGGTTCACTGTTGATTTTTTGGACAGACGTAGGAGGGTGTGGCGTCGTCGAAACGAGCGCTTCCAAGACGTTAACGTCATCAGACATGATCGATTTGGGGGTGGTTCTGTTATGGTGTGGGGAGGCATCACTGTTGCTGGAAGAACGGCTTTACATGTTGTTGCAGGGCGTGTTACAGGCCAGTACTACCGGGACAACATCTTGGCAGTCCATGTTGTGCCGTTCGCACGACGTCATGGCCGCCGTTTCATCTTCCAGGATGACAACGCAAGATGTCACAGGGCCAGGATCGTTACAGGTTACCACCAACAACAGAACATCACCACATTACCTTGGCCAGCACTGAGTCCCGACCTCTCCCCCATCGAGCATGTCTTGGACATGCTTGGACAGAGGTTACGTCAACGTCAACAACGTCCTGCCAATGTCCAAGAACTTGCTGCTGCGTTGCAACAGGAATGGGACAATCTGGACCAAAATGACCTTAGACGTCTCATTAGGAGTATGCCACGTCGGATCAATGCTTGTTTGGCAAACAGAGGAGGATTTACCCGTTACTGACTTGGTTGTGATGCTGTGGTAACTTTGCTGTTTGACCCCGGGTATCATTTTACCCTTATAATGGTCAGTCTGTGCCTTACTTAGTCTAACGATCATTTGGAATAAATCGATGAATGTGAACTTCATTTCATTTTGTCATTTGTTTCTTCGTCAGTTTCATTAGGTGACTTTAATAACACTTAAAAATCAAATATCCCCTACTTTTTTTGAATAGTATATTTGTGCATGTAAGAAGGGATTGGGTGATAAATAAAATCTCATACTCGTCTTTTTTTATATCAAAAAAGACTGGTAGGAGATTCTCTCTATCTACAATATGAGTTAGGTTAATATATATACAAAATATGAATGAACTTACTGAAAAGCCTGCCAGACAAGTCATACCACCACCAATTTCTATCACTGATTTATTTCTGAAATTATTGTTGTTAAAAAAACACTATCATATTCTACTAATTCTCTTAAATTGGACATGCTTAGAAATTGTCTTCTAAAATTTGAAGGTATATAACGTACATGTACCACTTAGTAAAAATACTTTTAAAAAAATACCTTCTCGGGCTACTATTCAAGCAATTTAATTATTTAACTTAAACACAACAGATTTGATTTCTCTTTAAAACTTACCGAAAGTATGCTGCATTTAACAAACAGTAATAAGACATTATTTCTTCTGCTGGCCAAATACCTTGAACAGAAAAATAATTGTACTCTAGATATGTGCAGCTATGAAGTACATGTACATGTACATGGTATTAATATATGTGATACAACGTTTACATGAATAGTACTTTAAAAAATTTGTAAGGTTTGTAAAGTTCACAAAAAGAAATAAACTGGTATCAGGTGTTCTAGAACAAGTACTGTATTGACTATATAAAGTTCCACTCTCCCTCATGCACAATCAAATTTTACAGCCTTGTACCAATTTTGCAACAAAAGCTTTTTTGATGTTTGGACTTTCTAAGCATGTAAAATATTTGAAGATTAAAAATCAGAACTTACAAACATTGCCTGTGTTATTAAAACCTTGTAATTTATCAGCTCTTAAACATCCACATAATTGTCTAAAATAAAATAAAAATATATCATAAATATCTAGTATTACTGTATTATAATATACTTAATCCAGACTAAAATGTACCAAACTTGATTATTTAACATTTACATGTAATTAAGAAAACAAAATCAACTTTTAACTGTAGATAATATCCCAGTCAGGATTCAGTAATTTAAAAAAGGGGCTTACTGAGTGGAACTAAACAATTTTTGGACTGATATTCCTTTCAGAGGTTCAACTTTCATAATACTGAGATGTAGAAAACGATTCCTCCATCCATCCAATTATGTTCAGAGACTTTAAAGATAAATGAGGTGAACATCTCAGCATATAAAACATGGTCAATGCAACCATTCAAAAATAGTGCTTTATATAAAGTCTTCAGCTTGACATTAAGGTTGAGAATTCATGTAATATAAGTATAATGACATTTATAGTATGAGAATGTTGCTACCTTTTAACTGGATAATTTATCAAGGTATATGACCATATTTTAAACGGTTTGGTCCATGTCTTTGGTTTTGACGCTTATTCAAAGTGTGGTGTAGTTTCCCATTTTTTTGTCTAGGCTCAAGCAGACGGCTTCACTTGAGTTGGAATTTTAGAAGGTCTTGTCAAGTCTGAGACACAGGGTTTACAAACTACGTGAAAATCAAACTACTGACATGACAAGTATGCCTTGCGGTATTACTGCGGTGGCGTTTTCATTGAGAGCCCATCACCAGCCTATTACCTTTGTTATTATTGAACTTTGTTTACTTGGCATTTGGAATCGGAACAAATGCAGATTGAATTGATGTAATTGACATTGTTTGTAAGCCTTTCATATCACCTGATCAGTGATGATTTCAGTTTAATAAACTGCTGAAAATTTGGTGAAATTCATTTGGTGAAATTTGTATTGATAAACAATCCAGTGTGACTTATATCACAGAGAATTATATGGTTTATTTACCTGACAATGAGGGTAAAGTTGTTGATTAAATCTGTTTTATATTCCCACCATTTACACTCCTCTTCTTCAGATATAACATCAACACGAAACAAACCAAAACTCTCAAATCTTCGAATGGAAATCACATTTTTACAAATATCTTTCCTTCGATCACCATTGCTAATAATCTGTTTATAATAAAACAAAGAACTACATGTATACAGTTACAGACCCATATCTTTCTGTTGCTCAACATGGTCATAATCCTGAAGCAATGGCCCGAGAAATCCCTCTCTGGCCATTGCTGGATTGGCTTCGGATACATGAGCTTTTGGGGGAGTGTGTCTATTCTTCCCATTCAATCAAGTACAGCAACATGACAGCCCTTCGTTTAATCTGGGATCTTCCCTAAAACTTTGGACAGTGATTTAAGGTATTAAAAATGGTGAAAGTATTGTTCGTCTCCAAACTGTATTGTTTACATTGTATCCATGTTGATAGCCTCGTTTGTCACAAAATTAGTCACTGGTTAATTGGGCATAATAAAATCGTGAGTCATGACGTAACGTTATGTAAACATATTTGGTCTAATTTGGAGCTCTGTTTAAAGCGTAACGATATTGTTACGCAGTTAGCGACCCAAATCATAAATAGATCACAACGAACATACATGGTCATGGACTTTATTGACAATTCTATTAACGGTACCGGGTATTTACGTTAAAATCAACGGGTGCAATAATCATAATGGTCCTGGTAAATCCATAGGCAAATATTCTACAGGCTAAAAATGCTACAAAAATCAAGTCAAAATCGTCTGGCGATGAAAGCACTGCACACCAGCACTACACACCAGCACCAGGCAACGGGAATCAGGGGGGAGTCGGAGTCTGAATCTCAATTAACCTCCCTAAAAAAAAAACATTCTATCTTTACGATACAAACCTGTGCCAATAAACTCCATCTTTGCCTGGCTATTCTAGGTTTCGAAACAATACAGGAAGTGATGTGGTCCGTTTCATCAGAAAGCATCTTCGCTACTTCCACTCATCGAAGCCAGCTCTTTACAACAAACCGTTACCAAATAAACTTGAAATGGATTTTTGTTTGTTTACATATTTCTGACTTTATCCATTTCCGAAAAATGAAGGTGATAAGAGGGAGGTAACTCTAAAAGTAAATCGACGGTGTCAGACAGCAACATTTATCGCATTAACAAACTATCACACTTTCATGCGGCCGCCTTCAAGTCGATAAATAGACATTGTAAATCACTCCCTCCCCTTGTCTGCGATATCACCTCCGTGGAAGCCGACGTTAAAAATAAAGCTATTTCATATACTTTTTTTAAAGAACACGTCATCAAAAGCAAATAAAGGCAATACCTTTGAAAATAAAGATATTATTATTATTATCATATATTATAATAATAACTCAGATATTATCGGATTACCGGTACATTAAATTACCACTAAATGCCTATCGGTTATTTAAAGAGAATAAAATTTAGGGGTAGGTCAGATAATCCCTTGAAAGCAATGCTAATTGTTTGATATAATATGTAAAGCTAATACATTTTATATTACTAATATCTGTATAGGCTACAGCTTTAATTAACCATTACTTAGCTGTAAGTAAGATCCATGGTATTATAGTTTTATAACATATTAATCCACGTCAATATGCACTTAGACTGACTTTATAATATTTAAGAATATAAAATCAAAATAGATTCAATCTGATTAAAAATATGCCCATTGGCTTCTATTGACCCTATCCCATCTATATTGATTGAATAGGATGCTGAATATTGACAAATTTTCAATTGATCATATTATCTTTGTGCTGGTAAACGGAATTGATTCATTTTTGAACTGATATTTCGTTTACAGTTTACAATTATGTTGCTTGCAATGGATTAAAACCATGACAAATGGGTTATCTGCGGTCACAATCGACATATTGGGGTTTTTTTTTGCAATGGATTTAATAATAAAAATTACTCATATGATGATCAAAACTGTAATAGTTTAGAGTACAGGAAATGGATTAACTGCAGTCACCATCCATATTGTTGTTTGCTTTGGATTTAAAAAAAACAAAAAAACAATTCATATAACGATCATAGACTTTTTAGATACATTAAAATAGCTTAAGAGTCCGGGAAATGGGTTAACTGCGGTCACGATGTCCTAAGAATATGACTTCGTCATAAACATCCTGCATACTTGGAAGGCATATTAGAAACAATGTAGGCGTATAAAAAAAACAAAAATACTTCATACGAGGATCACAGACTTTAATAGTTCAGTGTCCACGAAATGGGTCAACTCCTGTCATGATGTCCTAGAATATGACCAAGCCATAAACATCCTGCATACATGTACTTGGAAGGCATGAAAACAAAATCTCTTAATATTATTGGTAACCAACAGTAAAATGCTAGTACTAAATATATGCGTATACATATGTAGCACATAAGTCATGTATTTAAATTTTAACACCTTATTCTAGTGGACAATTATAAACGTCTGTGTGTTATTTTTAAGTATTCTTCTACCGGGCAGTAAATTTCTCTGAAATCTTGAGAACGTGGTATTCAGTCTTGTTCGTAAGTGTTTTTAATATTATGTGGTTGGCCTCCGTGGATCTATTTATTAAATAGGAACTGTTATACGGATGGGACAAACAATAATCGATTATTTCTCAACGGATCGTCTTCGGGTTTTCATTTCGCTTGAATTGATTCAATTTAAGTATAAAAGATTTGCCAGTTTTTTTCATCATTTTTTCGACATTCAAGATGGCGTATCTCCGTCAATATTTGAGGTATCAAGTTGAAACTTGGTAGGAAATTAGGAATAAGGAACATATCGACGCCTTCGTAATGGCATAATCAAAAAAATTGTTACCGCTTCCGGAAATTACCGAGGCTTTCCGATTTTTCCAGAACATGAATAGTTCTCTCCATTTTAAAGATAAACCAAAAATGACATGTGGTGGTGTAAACCCCAGATATTATCTTTCATTTACAGAGACCGTTATAGTCGATAACATTTTCAACCGTTTGGCCGCCATATTGGATTTAAAAAAATCTTCAAATCGATATTCAGCAGCCATTTTGATTCCGATTTTCGAAAACTTGTTTTTGTTTTAAACCTACTCCAAATGACAACAATCATTTGGGAGCCGATTTTTGAATTTTGATTCCGTTTACTTCCGGTTTCACTTTGAATTTTCTTCCGACTTTTCAACTTCTATCTCGTGACCACCTTTTAATGACCTTTTCATATATGATGGTATCGACTAACAATTAATATCAATCAAAATGTTCGGTCTTAATTGGTATTGGATCCTACTATACTCAATAATGCATGGTGTAACTTGATTATTCTTCCTATAGTTGCACTGTAAATCTCAACATATTTACTGTTAGGAAACTACAATGGAAAAGCAGCAACCTGGCAGCAATCAGATGGATTATTGGTTGACAACAACCCCATTTGTCATTGGTGGCTGTCTATCTTATGATTGCAAACCTTAAACAGTACTTCATCATTTCTTCTTAGCAAATAAGAGCTTTTAAGAATATAAGAAGTTTGTTCAGTGAAATGACAGAAATTTTCGGGTAATGACATGGCGTGCACGAAACTAATCAGTAGTTCGATCTATTAGTTCTTCGAATGTTCTTAGCAGATAAGGGCTTTAAAGAATACTTGGTAATAGAAGTTTGATACAGTTGTTTAGGAAAATAAAGGAAATTTAGCGGATATATGATGTTATCTGTGCATTTCTTAGTTTAGGAATTCACACAGCTAGTTATGATTTTGTTGTATATACATATAATATCATATATAAAGTAAACATTATCAAATGGAACTGTATAACACATACTGAAGAGTTTATTGCACAAGTTATGGTATTTACAAAAATTATTGAGCTGCCAAGCAATGGCAATTGAAATATTTTGTAACAAATTTTTATTTTCCCAGTTTTCTCTGGAGACAGTTGCATTCAAGGAGAGGCTGTCTGCACCCATAACATACCATTTTGTGTTACATATTGAATTTAATTTTCTCTGTCAAGCTAAATATATCTGTGTCTTATTGAGTCTAATCAGTAACAATTAATGTCCATAAAACATGACAAGAAAAGATCACAATCAGAAGTTAAATGGGGTTTAATGTCCTACTTTTCTGTACCAATTGGGATATTAAATTTGTGGATAGAGAGAGAAATGGGGTTTAATGTCCACTTGAGACAAACTAGGTAATTTCAGGACTAACATAGGGGTCTTTAGCAGTGTGAGGAAACCAGGGCACACAGAGAAAACCCACGAGGTTGGACAAACGACCCTACTCCTTGTCACGTACAACTGGGGAATCGAAACAACGCCAGTTGACTCAATGACAGACCTTATGATTGAAAACGCACACGCTAACCATTCGACCATCCAACCCCCTTGATTTGTTGATATATGTAGGTTAAAGTTGAAGAATGTCTTTACCGTAGGAATATTTGATGTTAAATCCAATGGTAAGACTGTCTGTATAGGAATATTGACTCTTTTTATAACATTAATAACATTACAGGGGTAAATTCCTACAGCCACATGGCTACAGTTTAATTGTTACTCTATCAAACTATTTGTTGACCCAAAACTATATTTTGACTGGCTTAATTATTAAACTATATTTTCTGTGTCAGTTGGGAACTCAAATCAATAATAGGAGATAAAATATTGTTTATTCTATTTACAATTTCTATAAGACAAGTTGTTGAAAACTTATAATCAGCAATGCTCTTACTTATACATCTAAATCAAGAATAATGTCTCGTTCAAATTATGTTGATCTTGTACTAGAGGAAGTTTTTTTATGTTTTAAATTGTCTTTTTAAACCAACAGAATAATCAAATAATTTTGAATTATGGAAAACTCCATTCTTATCCAAAAGAAAGTAGAACCATTTTCCTTTAATCTTCATAGGAATCTGGACTCCTGACTCGTTCCGGGCACGTATACAGTTAATATGTTCAACTGGGATAATAAAACTCTTGTACTTTTTTGAAAATCCATATGTTGATATACCGACCCTCTTCCCTCCTTTCATTAACCAAAGCTGACGTATAGTTCGTGTTGGATACAGAACACTCACATTAAAGATTATATAACCTGAAAATAAAAGAAAAGCATTTTAAAGTTACAATTTCATATTTTTAAGTTATATTTTTAAAATGTATTAAAATAAAGCCCTAAAATAGATGGTAGCTATAGACAGTCCTACCTTGTTAAAGAATAATCCTATTAATCCTATAATTCCCTATTGCCAGTTGAGAAATAGGCAAAAATATCATTTTCAACTTCAAATCCAAAAGTTGAAGATAACTATTCCATGGTGGGGAATAAGAAAACAAGGCAGGTAATTGGGAGGTAACTGTGTTATTATTTCCGGTGTGAAGATTTTTAAGTGTGAGAAAGATAACCTATGATCGTATAATAGTGAGTTGACAACCTATTGAGCAAAAAACATAGAAATAATTATGTTTTGACTTTCTTAGAAAATATGAAATTGTAACTTTAATATGAAGGTAATTTGAGAATAACATTTGAGTTTTGTTGTGTATTAGTCAATGACAATGATATAAGAATATTTCCACCAATTTTTTAACATTATGCAATACACCTTGTGGGTGGCCTTACCAGAGGTAAGTTAAATGTTCAATGTACGTATGTTGTCAATACAGCTATAGCATTGGCAGTGGAACGGGCCAGATTACCTAGGAGGTGAGTGGAGACCCAGAGCTTGAAAAGAAAATAGAGGATTTTTAGGAATAACTTTATAGAATTATCAAAAAGTCCCATTTACACTATGTTGACATAACCCCTTCTATCTTTCGCTTCAGGCAGCATATGCATCTGGACTGCAAATATCCTAGAAAAATACATGCAAATATTTGCATTGCTCTAGATATTTGCTACCCTTATATAACCAGTAATAACCACTCCCTTTTATCATAAGTCATACATAATTCAATCAAATTTGGAAAATTAAATTGATTTTACCTAGAGAAAAAAATAACAAACTGAGCGCATTTTTATAATGCATTTGAAATGCATTGATGACACTTATCCATGAATCAGCAGGTATTTCAATTTTGGACGGTGACTTGTCTTCTTTGAAATTTTGATAAACGAATAATGCCAAATATCCCCAAAACACAAACTGTCCTATCCCAAAGTATGGTACAAATTTTAAAAAAGTTTTATTTTCATTTGAATAAATCAGCACGTTTTTCGGTACGTTAGAGTTTATTTCATATGGCCGCGTAGGCTTTGTGGTGTAGTATGATAATATTTTCCTGTAACCGTTTTGGTACCTTGAACAATAACCGATCTGATAACCGAATACTATTCGACTACAAGTGAAACCAGTTTGGGTAGTAGAACTAGAACTAAATAAAAGTCTTTTGGGGGTCAATTGCACAGATTGTGATAGAATACGCGTCAAGTGATGTACATGTAAGTGAGTTTTTAAAAAGGGTAATGTCACTTTTAATGCCATAATTGTCTATTAAATAACAAACAATAAGTTTAACAAACACAGTTCCAAACTTTCCAGTTACTGTTATCTGAATAAACACCTCAAAACAAGTTCCATAATAAGTGACCAAATTTTACGTCACTGTTTTTAGCAAAACGCAACGGGAAATGAAAACTCTAAATCTTATGTAAAATTTGATTAATTTGAAATTATGTTGGTGCAAATAAAATGTATTAGTGCATCTCTAAATAAATTTTACATAACATTCCAAAAGTAATATTTAGAGTATTTCGTTCCGTTTCCCACATATGGCAGTTTTAAATATCTACAAAACCGTCATCTTTATTAACTTCATTTGTAAAGATTATGGGAGAAATTAGGGAATATATACATTATTAGAATTATATTTTATCTTTAATACATCTTTAACAGTAATGTAACCAATACGTTAAACCATTTATATAGACAATCTATTTTCAATTACATTATTTAAATATTTCACATGAAATAAGAGGTCTGATAGAGATATATTCATTGCGTAAAAATCCAAAAATGAATGATCCCCATGGGACATTCCTCTGCAAGAAGACTGTAAACAAACAAATCACTGAAAAGGTGAAAGAAAATTGAATTCTGTTTTCGTGAGACAGAAAAAGCAAGTGGTCATTTACGCAGCAAGAAAATGGAAGAGGAAACATTTGATTTAGGGCAAACAAAAGCGAGGGTAACTATGAATTAAATTATCTTACACTAGTTACAGTTAATCTGGATGGATAATCAAGTAATTCTGTAATTAAATATATGATTTCATTTGAAAACGCACAAGCAACTTTTTTGCTGAATGGTTTCAAACGAACAAGCAAAAAGTGGATACTGAAGAACTTGTGATGTAACAATAAATTTAATATGTAGCAGGTATTGGCTGAGTAGAGTGAAGCTGGTGTGATAGTTGTTATATAAAACCTTCATAATTAAAATTAAGTTTCTCAACTCAAGTGACACAAAACAAATGATTTTAAATAATTTTCTGTTTCTGAATTGATTTTAATTTAGATCTAAATTGTATGATTAATTTTGTTTAAAAAAAAAAGAACAAAAAAGTGTGAGAATTATTTTTATTTGCGTCAAGAATATATGATGTCATTGATAACACACGTCACAGAAATATTTACACGAGACGCGAAGAGAGATTTGGTAAGTTGACATGCGCATTACCAGCTTTGCCCAGTGTATCTGGTTCCAGTTTGAATTGTTTTAATCAACACTGTGGGTGATAGTTTTAGTTACGCTCTTGTGTTACTGGAAAAGAGCTTTTTACAAGCCCCACGCCTCGCGGGAAGCTTTAGAGCTTGGCTCTGTATTACTATTAGTTATTTTCAGAACAGTCTCTTCGTGTACATTGCCTTCAACTTTTATGAATGAATGAATGACTGGGTGTTTAAGGTTAGGAATGTTATTTGTTAAGTTGGCCAATTATCACCTTCAATTAGGATTATATTTTCACACAGTAGTTAATGGGAGTGTGGTATTATGTCAAATATATAGGGTTCATATATACAAGATTTAATGGGGTATGTTTATTTTTTTAATATAGGCCCCCTACAGTCCCTGCTTAAATCTGGGCCTGCTTAAACATGCATTATGCAAGAGCAAAATCTGCTTATTACAAGTCTTTCTTTAGGCCTGAAATGTTATCTAAATTATCAATTAGACATTAATTAACTTATCCAGACCATAATAAACTCTCGATGTCAAGGCTAGCCTTCGATGTTGGCTGGATTAGATTCCTATATGCCGCTAACGGCCGTTGATAATTAAATCAGAAAAAGTGGATAATCGTGACTATGCTCTTTATATTAATGATTTTAGTAATGATGACCGAGACTATGCAAAAATTTCACCCGCTTCTTTCTCGTCTCATAGTGGATCAATTTGACTGAAATTTTCAGCAAATTACCTTTACACTATCTAGTTTTTAACTATTATAGCGAGAACTGCCATCTCTTTATCTTATCTCCCATAATGTATCTTTAATTACTCCACAACAGTATTAATTTCTTTTCACTTTTCAACAGAATGCAAAGCAGGGTCGACGGGCCAGAAACAGAAAAGAACCAACCCAAGTCGATGAAGATGAGACACAAGAAGAGCAGATGCCTCCAATTTCAAGTGATAACGTAATAAGTTAAAACTCATTCTACTGCTACTTGTGCCCAATAGACAATTAATCTTAAATTGTTTGAGAAATGGGTTCTGATTACATACAATCCAATTTGAATATTTGTGATTAGTGCTGGCGATATATCGATGTATCATGATTCACCTTCTCGTGATTTACATATTGAATCGAGAGATGCTGAATCGATGTATCGTCATTTTTTTTTTTAAATTTTGTCGCTTCAGTACGTAACCTGTCACTCTTAATTATCCATGTCACACATTATCAATAAGTACACACACACTCTTAAATTGTTTTGGTCCTTATTTTGATCTACATCAATATCATGTTATAAAACAGTTTTTCAACATTGGCAGGACTAAAAATATCAATTATTCATTTATCCTGTTGTTTTTTGGTAAATATTGACCTGGTTATGAATTGTGATACAAATCGTATTGTAGCACCAGAATCGCAATACATATTGTATTGTGACTGCAGTGGCAATATCCAGCACTATTTCTGATACAGTTCTCTAGACCTAGCTAAATCAAGACAAATCCAAAATTAAATTTTTACCATCTAACACAGATTGCTGATGCCTCTTTACAACTATAATTTGGCTCAACTCAAATAAATATATATTCCAATCACACCTTTTAATGTCATAATTGTAGACTGCCCAATCAATGTTCCCTGCAGCATTTCTAACTCAACAAGAAAATTGCTGCTTACTGCATTTGAACAGTGCAATATTTATGTCAAATTTAAAACGGATCAGATAGCCAAACAGAACAGGTATATAATCAAATGAAATGAAATGGGGTTTAACGTCCTACTGTTCTGCTCCTATGCTGGGCTAATGAAGACGGGCATACGTCATACAGTGTGCTATGAGGGAAATTTTGCCCGGGCAGCGGCACTATCGCCTACTCTTATATCGAATTCCAACTGCCAAGGGATCTTTTATGTGCATTCCAATGTATCACAGGACCTCGGTTTTTCGCCTCATTCACAGGACTAGACAGCTGTCCTTGTTAGGCCCTCCATCCTGCATCACTGACAAGGGGGAACTACGCCGGAAAATCTGGATGAACTTTCTCGGCCAATGCAGGGATCGAACACCCGACCTCCAGGCTAGCGAGTCAGCGCCTTAGCCACGTGATCCCCAGGTATATAATCGCTTGGCAGCCAATATCACTGATTGTCTGCGATGTCACCTTGGTGAAAGCAGACGTTAGATAAAACTATTTTACACACACAATATCACTTAGAGCATTTAGTTTTAGACTACCTGGGTTTTTTTAATACATTTCACCAATGTGGTTACTTGTATAGTTAAATTTTACTTCAATATGCTTATACTCATATTTCTTGTAACATATAGCAGATCATGGCCCATGCTGGCGTTACACAGAGGTTTCTCTGGGGTTTTTTCCTGATTGTTTTGAAATTTGAGTGAAGCCTGTGTCACTACAGGCCCGGGTCTATATAGTGCAGTGGACGCTTACGGCTAGCCCCTGGATCCATTCACTTTATTTGAATTGTTTGTTTGTTTGTGATTTCTGCATAATTTTTCTTGTCCATATATTTGGTTTTTGTGTAAATTATGTGTTTTGCAGTCCCCCTGCACTTACTATTAGTGACTCTTGTGAAGTTGTGTTCTGTAAAAGTTTGTTCGAATATACCTTAGATATTTTCTTTTTCTAGTTAGAAACTTCTGGTCCTCCTGGTAGACCAGCTAAAGCTGTATCAGGTTGGGGAGAGGAAACACCCAGACGTCCACGGTAAAAAAAAATTATATTTATTTCTTGTAATGTAACTTATAAAACGATTGTTGACTGGATTTAACATCAAGTTGAATTAAATATGATAAAAACCGTAAACATATTATGGGGAGCTTTTTCAGTTGCATGAAGATTTGATTTGTGTTTTTATTATATATGCATGAATCGATGACCCTCCATTTAATAATACTAACTATTCTACAGTGTTGCTGAATGGAGTAATGTAATTGTAAATATTAATACCATAATACCAGTACACTAAAAGCATGACTGTATGTCAAACCTTGACATATAATATCTAAATGTATATATATATATATACCTTTAATCCCCATTCTACAGAACACGTCAACTAGGAGAAGGGCTTGAGGTCTATGAAGAGTGAGTTAAAAATATATTATCACTGAGTTTAGAAATCTATCATTTTGCTACTCTATATCATATTAATAGCTTGTTTTATTTCGATTTTTTAAAATATCTTTCATTTTGTCATTAAAGATGGGTTCCCGCGTACAAACTGGGTGATTTAATGGTTTAATTTGTCATAATTATGCTTCAAATCCTTCTCAAACATTGTAATTGCGAAGGAATGCCCTGCTATTAAAATTCGATCAAACCAGGTCATGTTTTCGTCACATCTTGGGAGTCAGAGGAGAAATCATTGCATACATAAGACGATGTTGTCTTTAATCGCTTACTATTTATTACAAATATCGAATCCTAATTAAATTCTCGGATTATCCACTACCCGCGTCTTTTTCCGTCATTTTTATCTCAGAAAGTATTGTACGTCTAACTCTTCATAAAGTTTATCAACTTGTACATCAAGCGCTCAATGTTCGCTTGTGACCTTTGACATCGTGCGTGCAGAAGGTCATAATCGTCGGGCTGTTTATTAGGGGAACCCTTACATTTTTGTCCTGTATACGCTCCATGAGTGTTTTTTGTGGAATCCAGTATTTTTCTAGTAAGATTGGATATCTCTACTTTCCATATATACCAAAATTGCCATACTTTTATTGGAAATAACCACCCGATAAATACTTTTCTGGGAACCCATCTTTAATTCTTAGCCCTTTCAGTGTGACATTTATACCTTACTTTTATTATTTTTATTTGGCATGTTGAGATTTATGTTTGTTGTAGTGTAGTGTAAGATTTGATCAATTGGAAAACTTTACGGAACTAAACCTCTTTGATTTAGGTTGAAATAGAATGTTAACCTCCAAGGGGTGATCTGACGTGTTTGGATTAGTAATGGGACATGATTTATACTATTAATTTGTTTCGAAATATTAAAGGGGCATTATGTAAGATTTAGATAAAGAGTTGGCCATTCTCGCTTTAATATTTCAAAAAATACATGTAGATTATATATAATGCAAAATGAATATATTGTAAATTTCATTCAAATTACTTTATTTTGAGCAAAGTTATCAATGGTTGTAGTTTTGACAAGATGTATGCATTGACCACTGTACTGGTCATTTGAGTCTTAGTCTTGCCTCTCCATGTTTGAATGAAATCATTAAATGGCCGAACTATTCTAATCTACTGAAAATTGGTGCCATCAGATGGCAACGAGAGTTGATTATGGTCTTGTCATGTTAAATAATCATTAAATGGCTGAACTGTTCTAATTACTTAAAATTAGTGCCTTCCGCTGGCATCAAGAGTTGATTATGGTCTTGTCATGTTAATAAATGTCTAATTAACATTTAAGGCCCAAAGAAAGACCTGTAATAGGCAGATTTAGCTCTTACATAATGCCTGTTTAAGTGGAAGTCAATTTGTTTACTGATTTAAGTTTCATTTTTGGCTTAATCAGTAATATTTCAACATTGACATTTTAATTATTACCAAAATCCAAGAGGTTTACTTATATTAAGTTTGAAATATATATATATGTATCAAGTACATCCATGTTTAGGGATTAGGGATGGGAGATTTAGTTATATGAATACATGTATAAATACAGATGTAGAAAAATTGGATTATAAAATAACTGATTGACAACGTTTAATATAAAAATAGCTGACTGTTTACATGAGAAAGTCAGTTTAGAAATGTGTAATATACTTTAAAATAGTGTGCATAACAGAAATAATTGTTTCTGTTCTGTGACATGGGAGTGACATATAATCATTAAATTAATGTGTGCACTTATGCATACAGCATTGTTATGCCAGCTGCCATTATAATCTACACAATTGTGATCACCCATACAATAGAAAGATGTAAAATGAACTTCACAGAAAATCTCAGGCAAAAATTAGACTTTTGAATAGATGGTTTGTATATAATTTCTAGTCACGGTTATGCATTAAGGATCTTCGTTCTTAAGGAAATATATCTTTAATAAGTAGTTAGATTTTTTTAAAAGCATTCTGCTAGATAGAAAGTGTGTTGTATTTAATTAGTCAAGTGTGTTAATACTACATTATTTATCCATATTACTTTTCCAAAATGGAATAACTTTTTTTTTTCAAAAGCATTCATTAATTCTTTACAAGTTTCTCACAAACATAATTTGTAAAAGCATCCATGATGAAAATGGTTTTGTCTCTGGTATCCATAGAAAGTTACCTTAGATCATTAATAAGGTGTGTTTTGAAAATTATGTTTGGTAATATTTAGTAAGCAACTTTTAGAGCATTATTAATGTAGTTATATTTCTTTACATCCATAGAACATTTTCTGAAATATCTGAAGCACAATTAATTTTTTGTTTTCCGTATGTCTATTTTGTTTCGTCTCCTGTATATCCATCTGCAGTGTTATGATGTATTGTTATTTCACAGCATAAATTCTCTCTCTCACAGAATCTCTTCCAAAGGGTCAGAGACTTCACAGAGATGCTATCTTATGCACTCAATTTTTAGTTTAAGACTCTTCACAATAATTTTGAAAATTGCTGGTAATATCAGAACAATATAATCAGTGAACTTGAAGGAACATTGAAGTTTTATTAATAAGTGCAACAAACCTTTATGGCTAAGTTTAAGGGGTTTATTTCAAGGTTTGTAATTCATTGAGAACAAATTCAGTAAGTAATATTCTGACTTTTTGAAAGGACAAAGCTTTTGCAACAGGACAATAAAACCCTCCAAAAAACCCAATGACATCAGCTGATCTATGATTATTGAAACACATATTATTTATTTGTAGAGTTGGTCTGTTTTACCAGAATGTAAGGAACATACTATTACTTAAATAGCTAATATCATGAAAATCATTAGTAATTTAGATCCATTTTGTAATATTTCAGTGAGAGATTACGACCTAGAAGTCCTGCAATTGATAATGATGAATCTGATAACGGTTAGTAATATTCAATGTGATTTTACCTCACCCAGCAGACAGTAATATATATGAACTTGCAGATAATGTTTAGTCCACATTTCTGTTTAATATGTGATATATTAGAACTTTTTAGAAGCCATTTTATATACGAATAATACATATATTATAAAACCTCTCAAATTGTTATAAATTGTATGTCATTATACTTATTAGTCCGCATTTCTATTTAATATGTGATTCATTAGAACTTTTAAGAGGTTATTTTATGTACGAATAATACATGTATTGTATGTCATTATACTCATCAGATATACCAATAATACCGGAGTTAGAAGACCAACAAGATGAAGATATGACATCAGCTGTAGCTTCGGCACCAAAGTTAGTTCCTGTTATTTTATCTTGTTCAGAGTTGTTTACATAAAGTTACTGGCTCCCATTAAAGATTTGAATGCTTTTTAAAACCTGATCCATTGCACAGATTTACTAGATCAACATTTTGAAATTTCACTATGAATTCCAAACTTTCAGATAAATCGCTCTGCTTAACGTCACAATATTTTAGATAAATAAAATGAAATGAAATGGGGTCTAACATCTTACTTTCTGCACCAACAAATTAAAGCTAATGAAGACAGGCATACGCTATGCACTGTGTTATTAGGACATTTAGACTTGACAGAGCCTCTGTGGCCTACTCTTACTGTCATTTCAAAATGTAAGGGGATCTGTCATGAGAATGGAAAATCCCAAGGAACTTTTTCCAGTTTTGTGACTCACTCAGCCCCCATGGCTCCCTATGCCCTATATGTATTGATTTGGATGAATGTTATTAATTATCTAAATCATTGCTGATGTTTTGATATTTCAGTGTAGCTGTAAATCGTGTGGCAACATTCCGTGAACTTGATGATGATTTATTACGACAGGCAGCTTTCCTTACTTTAGTAAGTTTAGTTTTACTCATCATACATTCCATTACAAATCCTAATTTCTCAAGCAGCGATGTCTCTGGCAAATTGTCTTATTAGCATGGATAATATAATGTTTATATGTAAGACAAAACCATGTAGACAATTTGAAATTTTTAAAATGGAAAGCAATGACAAGCTTTTGACAAAATTATCCTCTGCCATCAGAATTTATTGCAGGATTCTAATTGGTTGTATGTGGGCTGGATTATGCCCATCATGTTTTTGATCATAATGTAAATAATTCCCCTTTAGAAAATGCTTGTTAGTCATCCCAGGAATACAATGATAATTTGTTAGTCATCCCAGAAATACAGTGATAATTTCTTAGTCTAAAGAGAGAAAGAGAGAGAAATAGGGTTTAATGTCCATTCGACAAATACTAGGTCATTTCGGGACTAACAGATGGTTCAATTTTATTTCAATAGTTCGCTTGCGTTCAGGGGTCTTTAGCTGTGGGAGGAAACTGAAGTACCTGGAGAAAACCCATGAGGTTGGACAGGCGACCCTGCTCCTGGTCACACTCAAGCAGGGAATCAAAACCATGCCACTTGATTCAATGACAGACCTGGTGATCTAACGCGCATGCGTTAACCATTCAGCCAATCAATCCCCCTTCAGTTTCTCAGGTGATGACACAGATTAGTTTTTCTAGGCATACAAGCTGATCAAAATAATTGAGAAAGTGAAATTGTTATTAAATGATTTTTACTTACAGGATAATGAAATTGATTTAAAACTTTTAACCAAATCTTTATCACCCAAAGAAGACCTTATTGAGGTAATACTTTTTTTTTTCTGTCAGTCCGACTTTGCTACACATCTTTGGTGCGTCAGTCAAATGTTTCCTGTGATTCCTCTACACACTACAGTTCTTGTTAGTTTTCAAATTCACAGAGATTATTCATTAGGGGATAATGAAGAACCGTGTTGAAAGTCAAAATATTATCTCCTGATTTACATTCAGGGATATAAATATGATACAAAGCAAATTTTTCGTATAATTTTTTTATAGTTTAAACTTATTTCATTACATCAACATTTCAATGTACAATACAAAAGTTATAACAACTTATAAACGTCTTCTCCTTATAAATACGTAATTAATTGACGAGAATATTTCAATTTGTTGATTAGGATATTAATGGAATTTTGTGATTGTGTTTTCAAGAGAATTTTTTAAAACTCATTAAAGCTGTGGCAGAAGTAAGAACCTTCAAATACAAAAGTTTTTTCGGATTGTAAGCTTCTGAACATGATACATACAGTAAAACATTATCTATGGAATTTATTAAAACTTGGTGATAATGTTCATAGGGTCCCAATGTGGTACCTTATAGAAATTCAGAATTTTTTAAAGATATATTTGAGAGTTATCACCTGTTTGCTTTCAAATTCATGAAATCTTGTGAAAGCGATACAAGGTAGATTTCTCGAAAGTATTATTTAAACTTGATGGGTTTACTCATTGTCACATAAGAAAAACCTCTATCAAATTTCGAAAGTAAATTTGTTATGGCCTCTGAGAGTCGTTAATTTCTATTGTGTGGGTAAATATTCTGCCTACAATCATGCCAAAAATCATATCACAGTGGCATGTTTTCATTGCATTTCTGTATAAATAGAATTGATAACTTCATAGTTTCTAGAAATCTAAAAATGCGTCAAAAACAGTTCATAAATTGATGGTTTTAATTGGTTCGTTAATTTAGAACACCCAAATAGTAAAATGAAAATTAATTATCTTTTTAAGCTTAAAATAAGCTAAATATAGTATTGATTTTGATTCTATTTTATGTTGCATTGAAATATTTTTGCTTTGTTTGCTCTTAGGATGATAAACCATGGGACTGGGATAGATTATTTACAGAAGTTACATCAGACCTCATAACAGAATGGGAGAAAAATGAAAGCACAGAAGCAAAAGAGGAATAACTCTGATAATTTTATTTAATATATTTATTTATATCTTCATGGTATACACATATCCGTCCGTTTGTTTCATGTTTTAATATTAAACACTATCACATCAATATATCTTAATTTATTTATTCCTGGAGGGGTTGGCGCCAATATTCTTTTGATCTGCAAACAGAAAGAAAATTAACTAACACTGCATGATACGTCCACATTCCTGCTTTGATTTAAATGGCATAATATATACCAAGTTTCAAGCAGGTAGCAGGTCATTCAAAAATTGTGACCTTTAGGTGATTCAGAAGATTTAGGAATCTGGGATCATAACTACCTAACGTGTTAGGTCATGTAGGAGCCACGGTGGCTAGGTGGTTAAGACGCTGGCTGGAGGTTGAGTGTTCGATCCCTGCATTGGCCGAGAAAGTTCATCCAGATTTTCCGACATGGTTTCCCCTTGTCAGTAGTGCAGAATGGAGGGGCTGACAAGGACAGATGTCTAGTCCTTCAGATGAGACGAAAAACTGAGGTCCCGTGTATATATTGGAATGCATGTAAAAGATCTCCTGGCAGTTGGAATTCGATATAAGAGTAGGCGATAGTGCTGCTGCCCTGGCAAAATTTCCCTCATAGCACACTGTATGGCGTATGCCCGTCTTCATTAGCCCAGTATATGAGCAGAACAGTAGGACGTTAAACCCCATTTCATTTCATTTCATTTAGGTCATGTAGACCAAAATCAGGGGGAATCATCCTTCGAGCAAAATGGTTAAGTATGCAGAGGTTCAAATTGATGGGGGATCACGGTGGCTAAGTGGGTAAGACACTGGCTCGCTAGCCTTGAGGTCGGGTGTTCAATCCCTGCATGGGCCACAAAAATTCATCGGGATTTTCCGACGTGGTTCCCACCGTGTCAGTGATGCAGGACGGAGGGCCTGAAAAGGACAACTGTCTAGTCATTCAGATGGGATGAAAACCGAGGTCCCGTGTACACATTGGCGTGCACGTAAAAGATCCCTTGACAGTTGGAATTCGATTCAAGAGTAGGATGTTGACCCCATTTCATTTCATTTCAAATTGATCCATTCAAAATAGTGGCCTGTAGAGGATAGTCTGTCATTGAGTCGACTGGCGTGGTTTCGAATCCCCGGTTGTACGTGACAAGGAGTAGGGTCGCCTGTCCAACCTCGTGGGTTTTCTCTGGGTCCTCCGGTTTCCTCCCACTGCTAAAGACCCCTAGCGCAAGCGAATTATTGAAATAAAATTAAACCATATGTTAGACCGGAAATGACCTAGTTTGTGTCGAGTGAATGTTAAACCCCATTTCTCTCTCTCTCTGTAGAGGAATCACAAGATTTGGGATTCAGGGGCCATAACTCTGTAAGTAACAAATTCAATGCACATAAACTTTAGCGCATAACTATTATATATTGCTAGACTATTCATCTGTTTCAATATGAATCTAAACTTCATATTTATATTCAGTATTTTAGAAAATGTTTTTAAACCCATTCCATTTTGATAAAGTGATTTTTATACACCCAACTGATGTTGGCCTGTCTGTCGTGCACAAGATCATGTGAAGACTTCACAGACTACATTTAACATACTAACTTAAAAATTGTATATATACTATTCAAAAAAAGTAGGGGATATTTGATTTTGGGGGCATAATACTAAAATATGCAAATGACTACGAAAAAAGTCACTATAGAACCTAACAGAAGAAACATTTCCAGTTACATGTGACGCCCAAACGCATCAATAGCTACCGCATGGAATGCAGGTGATGCTTGGGATCATCATGGGGGTCCAACCCAAGATTTGCACGACTCTGACTTTGAATGTTACAGTCATTGTGGCATTGAATTCCAGGGTGGAAACATCAGTTTAATTGTTTTAGTGACCAGAAAACAAATTTTGATATGCATCGGCTTACCCAAAATGAAAGGTTACGTGCCCTTGGCATGCTACAGATCGGCACAACACAGGCGGTTGTGGCGCGGACGATGAATGTTTCTCAGTCTGTCATAAGCAGGCTATGGTCCAGATACCGTGATACACAATCTGTACAGGACAGACCACGCTCAGGTCGACCAAGGGCGACAACTCAAGCCCAGGATCGATTTATCCGTACCTTGGCCTTGAGAAATCGTGTCATCAAAGCAAATCAGATCAGCGCTCGTCTTCAAACAGACACTGGTGTGAGAGTGAGTGGCCAGACGATTCGGAATCGACTGCATAGGGGTCACCTTCGCGCCCGACGTCCTCGCGTGATCCCTTGTTTGAGAGATCATCACATTCAGCCAAGACGTCGTTGGTGTAGGGATCGTCAACACTGGGATAATCGACGCTGGAGCAATGTGATGTTTTCAGATGAGTCAAGGTTCACTGTTGATTTTTTGGACAGACGTAGGAGGGTGTGGCGTCGTCGAAACGAGCGCTTCCAAGACGTTAACGTCATCAGACATGATCGATTTGGGGGTGGTTCTGTTATGGTGTGGGGAGGCATCACTGTTGCTGGAAGAACGGCTTTACATGTTGTTGCAGGGCGTGTTACAGGCCAGTACTACCGGGACAACATCTTGGCAGTCCATGTTGTGCCGTTCGCACGACGTCATGGCCGCCGTTTCATCTTCCAGGATGACAACGCAAGATGTCACAATGCCAGGATCGTTACAGGTTACCTCCAACAACAGAACATCACCACATTACCTTGGCCAGCACTGAGTCCCGACCTCTCCCCCATCGAGCATGTCTGGGACATGCTTGGACAGAGGTTATGTCAACGTCAACAACGTCCTGCCAATGTCCAAGAACTTGCTGCTGCGTTGCAACAGGAATGGGACAATCTGGACCAAAATGACCTTAGACGTCTCATTAGGAGTATGCCACGTCGGATCAATGCTTGTTTGGCAAACAGAGGAGGATTTACCCGTTACTGACTTGGTTGTGATGCTGTGGTAACTTTGCTGTTTGACCCCGGGTATCATTTTACCCTTATAATGGTCAGTCTGTGCCTTACTTAGTCTAACGATCATTTGGAATAAATCGATGAATGTGAACTTCATTTCATTTTGTCATTTGTTTCTTCGTCAGTTTCATTAGGTGACTTTAATAACAATCGATACCCGGCATCTCCACCATGTGTATTGGGATCCATTAAACCGGTCATCAATTCCGATGCTATCGGATTGAGCAAACTCGCTAAAGCAAAATAATTAACAGAGCCATTGTGCAGTTCACCCACACACCAGAAGGTGTGGGACCCGAAGGTCAAGGTCCTTTATTAACCGGAAATAACTCTAATACAAAAGAATGAACAAAAGGGAAATAACTCCAATATTGTTAGAGTAAACTAGTAATTATACGACAATATGAACTTTCCAAGTTATTGCCCTTGATCATTTTGTAGAATCTTGTGAACAATCTAGCAAAAAAAAGTTATCATCCGATCTGCTTGAAATGTGTATGCATTATTCAGATTAGTGAAACAAGAAAGGCTTATGATATCTAGCGTTATAGCCCTTGTGAATGCATTAACAGCGAAAGTCATCCTCAGATGTACTTTAAATTTTTGTGGTTTTAATTACTGCAATGTATAACAAGTACAATCATTTCTGAGTTATTGCCCATACTTGTTTATGCCAAAGAATCGCCAATGATGTATTAGAGTTTAAATATTTTGCTTTTTATTCACAGTGCAGTTTCATTGCCTGGACACCTATCTTAATAACAGACAAACAATATTTGCTGTGTGGATATCTCCATTGTAATAGATATGCAAGATGAAAGCTTCCAGGCTTTAAATAAACACACGCAACCAAGCATAAGAAACAGAAGACAAATACTAGAATGGATTAATAATTTATTTGATGACATTCTGGAATAGAATATATGATGCGAGGAGGTTTTCAATTTGATTATACCTGTTAGGGTTGAAAGGTCACCAGTTAGAGGTTAGTGTTTCAGCCCCAGGAATTTATAAACAGAACGTGCCTTATGACATTGTGGTCTGGTGTGGTATACTGTATAGATAAAAGGAATTATATAATGTATACACATAATTATATCACATAATTTATACTAAAATTACAATATATACTTTTGAAAAATTAAACATTTCAAACGATTAGAGATAATTTATACATGTCCAAACATCTGACTTTAAGACACAAACAATTGGAGATAATTTATACATGTCCACATATCTGACTTTCAAGATACAAGCAATCGGCACATACTTAAGATTGGGTGAATGTTTCTGCTGTTCAAATTTGAAAGAAAATGTCATGTGATGTTTCTCCGTAATTAATGTAAAACAGCACAATCTTAGAATGGCTACCCACTAAAATCATTTGTGAATAATATGGAACCCAATCTGAATTCATACTTTTTGTAAAACACAAACCGCTGTTCCTTCCTACCAATGGCAATAAAAAAAAAAAAATTATATGAAGCTTAAACAGATCAAATCTAAAGAATTAAAGACACTTTCAAACTTAAAATACAACTATTTGCAAGCTTCACATGAAAACCATTTTATACAAATATTGCTCTTTGAAATATAGACAGTATAAGTAAACACTAGTGAGAAATAGAAACTTTTAATAATTTCTTTAAATAAAGTGGCACAATAGGGTTAAAAGTTATTCTGAATATAAACTGCACACAGTAGTTCAATATTTGGGATTTTACACTTGGGCAAGTCCAATATTATTTGGTTTAATATATGCAATTTCTATTTCCTGATGATGTCTCCTTTAGATCAATTCAAATGTGGAATAGCAAAATGGTACATATCTATAATTTCAAGAAATCAGCCCTGTTATATGACTTTGCCCCCTTTAATTTACACATTTTTCAGTCCAATACCTTTTGCTAGATAGATTACTTTCACAGCCACTGCAAATTACTGACTGACTAATGTAAAACTTTTTTACATTTCAAAATTCATCCCAAAAGACATGTTATGGAACAATACTGTCCCGTCCCTTTAAAATTGATTTCATTATTCTTCATTTTGGTTTTACAAACAATAACAATTTATACATCAAATACATTTATACAGTTAGATTATCACAGATTTTATACAATTTTATAACAATAATAAAACAAAAAACACACCTTATTTTAAAAAAAAAAGTTGTGTTTACCAGTATAAACCAGATTTAAACAATAAAAGGGTCATTTCATTTTCCACACTTTCTGTGATTGTGTACAATTCATCACACCTGGCCTTGCGAGTAAGTATCATTTAATTTATCAAAAACAGGTATTGGAGGCACCAGGGTTTTAAATGGCTGAAAGTAAAAAAAATACAAAACTACTATACGATATGTTAAAAGCCACTGTTTTGCATTTGGGTGATTTTGAATATGGTGAATGTGAAATCTCTCAAAGAAAGATCAGACCAAAATGGTCCAGTTCCATTGAGTATGATGAATTCAAAATTTCCCAACATTTAGCGATCAGCATCCTGTGTAGAATGATATAAATAAGCCAGCACCACATTGGATCCAAGTCTGGAGATTATTTATTGTTTATGTTTTGATTTTGTTTTCTAAAGTAAATGTTAACTAAGGCCACATAAAAAAAAAATTCAGGTCCCCAGATAATCCTGCGTTACTTCAAAAGGGTCGCATGACCTGCTTTTATTTTTAAAAAACTAAAAACTAAATACAGGCTCATTAATGTAAATATTTTATCCCAGTTACAGGAAATAAATCTATAATTAATTTGAATGAATCCATAGGCTCATTTATCAAGTACACAACCCCGATAAATGTTAATGACAATTATAAATGATACTGGATAATCGTCCATTCCTATAAACAACAAATTGATTTGTATAGAAGTCATATAAGGAAGTAGTGATCTTCACAAAATAAAAACCTCCCTCCCACATCAGATTTTTTTAAAGGATTGTCTAAGCCGTAAAAATTAAATGTCTGAAAAAAGTCAATGACAATTAGGTGCTTTAATGTCTAAGTAATTGGAGCCATTTCAGAGTTGAAGAATATCGTAAAATAAGAAATATTCTCTGCCAACACCGGGATTGAACCCCAGGTTTCCAGGTAAGTGAGCCAGCGCCTTATTCGCTGTGTCACTTAGAAAATATGATTTGTGTTAAAAACAGACAATGTATTATATAATACAAATGTGAAATTTATCAAAAAGGTTTCAATAAGCAATAACCTACCATTGGTGTTATATGTTTGTCAAGAAATTCTTCACGGAAATATTTAGTTCCATAAGGTAGATGACCATATTTAGATGTTGTATAAAGAAGCTTTTGATATTGTGGATCCCTAGGTTTAACTGGGAAAAATCTGTAAGAAAAGAATTATATATATCTTAACTCATTAAAATGATTAAAATTAAATAATTTTCAAAACATTCAGTTAAAAATGATGTGGCGGATTTAATCCAACAATGCATCCTTGTATTATACCTATTAAACTATATGTTAAAGTTTGGTTGATAGAGACCATATGTAAACTATTCAACTTACATATCATCATTAATTCTAGCCACCCATTCCTCAGCTTTCATCTGTTTTCTGGCCTCGTCTAGAGAATAATAGTTTGTAGCAACACGTAGAGATGGTTTAAAACCTTTATATCTCTGTTCCTGTACTTCCTGTGGTTCTCGGAATGGACCCTAGAAAAGATCAATGACTGAATATTAAATACTAGTAATAATAATCATTGAATCTTCTGCTTTACAAAGTTTGTAACATAGACAACAACAAGCACAAGTGAACACAGTGATAAAACAAAGAAAAACATAACACATTTTACACACAAAGATTACATGAATTTAATTTTGATAATATAAACTAAAAGATTCTTGTTTAAGACTAGACCTGGAAATAACAGTTTTAGATGTACCTGACAAAATGTCAGGCACTAATGAAATAGTACCTGAATGTTCCAACTTAGTGCCGGACATGTATTAATAATATCAATAAAAAAAAGACAAATCAGTGCGGGACAAAATGACAGGCACCAGAGGTTTTGTGTCTGAAAAGGCCTGATTCTGTGCCTGACAGTGTCTGTGACAGGTGCCTTATTTCCAGGCTTAAGACATTTCTTAGAACTATTTTTGACAGCTGTTGGTATTCTATTCTAATCTTCATGAGCAGCATATTTAAAAAAAAACAATTTTAAACAAAATCACTGATTGTGAGACAACAAGGGATGTATAAATATAAGTTGGACCACTTTCTATTACAAGAGTATTGTATATACTTTACCTGTGGTTTAGAAACCAAGGGAGGAAGCTTTTCTTGACGGGGTAAATCGTAACTTTTCCATGCAGGATCAAACCGATTTGATTTATCTCCCTTTTTCCTTCGAATACCTAATGGTTTTACACTTCGTAATTCATATTCTTGTTCTGATGGGAAACTGAAAAGATATATCATGAAAGAGATGGTTCAAAATGGTATACAAGAAGTATAGACAGTGTCAGATATAAAGACAATAAAGTGTCATCAGCAATATTTTTAGTGGTGCAGAGGGCCTAACAAGGACAACTGACTAGTTGTTGGGATAGGACAACAAACCAAGGTGTTCACATTGACACGCATGTAAAAGAACCCTTGACAGTCGAAATTCAAAATAAGAGTAAGACATAGCACTGTTATCCGGGCAAACATTGCCCATAGCACACTGCATGGCATATGCCCGTCTTCATTAGCCCAGTTGTTGCAGTAAAGTAGCATGTTAAACCCCATTTAATCGCATTTCTCATTGCTGCATAGGTTAAAATATGTGTTATTATAATATTCCTGCTAAGTTAATATTTTACTTACGGTAAGAAAGGAGAGTTGTAGATACCCGGTATAACTTCTGTACTAACAAGGTGATGATTTTTCCGTGCTGCATAAATTTTATTATGCCGCTCCTGCTCGTCCGCCATTCGCTGTTGGATCTGTGCTTGTTGTTCAGCATATTCATCCAACTCAGATCTGTTCAATAAATAATTAAACAGGAACTGTAAGCTTATGTAGGATGTTTTAATGTGATATTGGAGGCTAATTTAAGTCTGTTTTTATGTTATGGATCTTACATTATACTCCTGATTCCTTCATTCTGTGTTTTGTGTCCAAAACACAACAAACATATATCTAGACTTATCACATTTTCAAAGTGATAAAGAAACTACAACAAATTAACTGTCATACATTTATGGTCCCCATTATGGACTATTAATTTTGATTAAATATATTCCAATTAACAATCTTACTGGTAATTTTAGTTTAAAGATTGTTGCTCATCATTCATATTACCGGTAAATGACTAATTTAGATGTGAATTACATAAAAATGTATTACTTAACCATACCTGACAATTTCATTTTTGATTTGGAGAGCTTCTAGATATCGTCATTCATATTACCGGTAAATGACTAATTTAGATGTGAATTACATAAAAATATATTACTTAACCATACCTGACAATTTCATTTTTGATTTGGAGAGCTTCTAGATATCGTCATTCATATTACCGGTAAATGACTAATTTAGATGTGAATTACATAAAAATATATTACTTAACCATACCTGACAATTTCATTTTTGATTTGGAGAGCTTCTAGATATCGTTTTCTACTGTAGTAATTAAATATATATTTTCTGATGTAATAACCTCGCCAAACTTTTTGGATCTGTTCAAAGAAAAATAACATAAATTCTGATATTGTCTTTAAACATACATTATGCAAGAGCTAAATCTGTCTATGGCAAGTCTTTCTTTAGGCCTGAAATGTTATCTAAATTATTGATTAGACATTAATTAACCTATCCAGACCATAATCAACTCTAGATGGCATCAGTAGCCTGCAATCTTAAGAGGATTATTAGCCGATTTACTGCATAACTTTCCTTCACGATTTAACAATTAAATGGATATCGAGACTATGCTGTTTATCGTACTGACTTTAGTAATGATGATCAAGGCTAGCCGGAAATTTCAACCGCTTAGTTCTCGGTTCATAGTGGATCAATTTGAATGAAATTTTCAGCAAATTTCCTTTACGTTATCTAGTTTTTAACTATTATAGTGAGAACTGCCAACTCGTTATCGAATCTCCCATAATGTATCTTTAAAGAATACTATGCAGGAATTAATTTTTGATGTCAGACCATTCTTTTGTAGTTACCCTTTTGAAAAGTTTCAGATCCTACTATAATGTGATTAATTACACACAAATATGACTTTAGTTCAACATATCAAAAAAATGAAAAAATCATCAGCGATTATTTTCCCCCTTTGTTCACATCTATTAACTAACGCTATGAATGCAACTGCTTGTTTTTGTTTGCTCCTTCAATTGGGTCTTACCTAGCTAGTGTAGTTACTGTAATAACACACTGACACTAGGATAACAAACTGACACCCGGTATGACAAGGTCTTAATAGTCACTCTTATCTTATCTCTTATACAATATTACGATAATCAAAACTGGCTTATTTAAACTTCAATAATGTACAATGGGAAGCCCCAGAATAATGTATAATTGCAAATAAATAATTTATTCTACTGGATAAATTTAGTGTATTGATAATTTACTTACCTTTGATGCCATAGAATTATAATAATTTAATTTGAGTATAAATACACTGTTCTGAAATAAAAAATCATAAATAATCTATTAAAGTTATGCAAGAGCTAAAACTGTCTATTGCAGGTCTTTTTCTGAATATAATGGCACCTAATTTAAAGAAACATATTAGTATGGTAATAGTGAAAGGTGAATCTCTAATATTTACGAATACCAGTCCAAAAATGGTTCTATCCCTTTCAGTATTTACAAAGATATGTGGAATTTAAATTTCCTTGATCTATGCTGCATGCAATACAATAAGCCCTCCATCATTTTGTTGTTGACAAAAACTCAATGATAGGCCTGTTTTAAATTCGACTGAATCGAAGCAGAGACATTATATAGTGTTGGTATTTTGATTCTGTTTTCTCAATTACCATAAATGTTAAGCGTGTATTAAGCTATGAGTTAATTTGATATGTTAGGGACAAATGCCAATGGTGCGTCATTACTTTTAATGGATATCGATGCAAAATGTAGTACTTTTTAATTCAACCAAGAACAGGAGATGGGAGATTGATTGTAAAAGAAAAAGACCAATTTACAACCTGAATAAGGATTCTGAAGCATTTCCTTCCTAAAAATCCTCTCCATTTTCTTTGTATGTTTACAGCAGAACTGTTTAAATGTCTGAAAAGCAAAATATTTTTTAAATTGTTGGATTTGCTCAATTCTTTCAAATTCACAATAATAAGCTTATTAATAATTAATCTAATATCTACAACAAACTGAATTAAATTGCTCTTATTTTCAGCCTATTTGCGGAGAAAATGTAAAAATTTATCATTACTAAAATTTGCACGTGCCACGATTCACTCGTTAAACTTATTCAATAACTTTGCATGAACAGTATAAGCTTTAGAAGTTAGATTGTGTTTTTCTACAATATTTTAGTTGAATGATGTTTTTGCATTATTATAACCTCATAGTCATAATTATATTTAGCATACAATGAAGATAAAATGATTTACTTTAAATAGGATCGACATCTTGTCGCCCGAAACCATGACTGAATTTTAACAGCAGAAACATATTCTGGATTTCTGCTCTCCTCGGCCTCACTGAAATAAAATAGCAAAATTAGTAATTAAATTAGTTAAATGAAAGATTTATCTAGAAAAGTAGAAATCTCATTTTTCAGCAAAATACAAGCCACCTGAGACCCTACTACATCCTTAAATGCATAATGTTATTATGATTTGGACAGGCGACCTTACTCTATTTCACATACAAGCGGGGAATCGAAACCATGCCACTTGACTCAATGAAAGATCTTCCATATTTATATTATTTTATTAATGTAGCATGTACCAACCAAATTTTATTTTTTGAGCAATTGCTTTGAAACATGGCAGAAATATTTGCCCAAACATTAGAATTTCAAAACCGTTTAAATTTTTAGAATCGGACTTATACTTTTTATAATATTCAATTTTTATTGATTTTGTTTTTTCGGTCCGAAATCGAAATCTGGTCCAAAAAGTGGTAATTTGACTTCAGTGCAATATAAAAAAATTATTTTTCTATGAATTAACATGAAACTTGGTAGAATAACAGTTTGGTTGCTCCTTATTAAATTCACAATAATTCAGATAACAAATAAGACCCCTTTTTTCAGGAAAAGTGGTTACCAATGAACAGGGTTAGGCTTAAATTTGACGATTATTTGCTATTTCTCCTTTTTAAACATTTGCTCCCATCACACAAAGCAGGGGAAAAGAAGATATACTGAGAAATAGAAAGAAGGATGCGGAGAGAGGGTTTAACTCCACTTGACTCAGACTAGGTCATTTTGGGACTAACATACACCACTGTTTTAATTCAATAATTTTCTTGTCAGTAAGGGTCTTTAGCAGTGGGGATTCCGCAGAGAAAACCCATGAGGTTGGGCAGTTGACCCTACTCCTTGGAAACTGAATCTAAACACATAATACTTTTAATATGATTTATTTAAAGTTAACAATTTTTTTTTTAATTGAAAAAAAAGAAAGAAAAAAATGTACATTTATGAAACATGAAATTGTAAGAAAGTAAAATTTGTTTCTAATGCAACTGATTCGTTATACCAGTAGGCCTACCTGAAAATAGATATAAAATAGTAAAATTACAACAAGGCTTTTAAGATTTCATCCTACGAAATATTCAATTAAATTCAATTTAATTCTTAATAAATAAATAAAAAAATAAATAAATAAAATAAATAGATATTGGTTATTTATATAAAATGATAACAATACATGGTATTATATAATAATAAATAAATAAATAGATATTTTTTATATATATAAAATAATAACAATATATGGTATTATATAATAATATTTGAAAAGTTTCAAACAACAATTGTTTTTTGCTAGCTGTTTCTTTTTGTTTATCAACTAGTTGGGGTAACAATTTTTGATATGACAGATAGTCTTGTCACTGAACGCATGAGGCCTCTGCTTCAGAGTCTATCGCAAAATAGAAAAAAACAAACAAAATTAAATAAACTAAACAAACCAGTGCAAAGGATTAGTTTTCCATACCCACCAAATCTGATACTACTAAGTCTACTTACTAGTGACAAACATTATTTTTGAAATTTAAAAAAGACAGCCTACTCGCAATATCGCATGACATTATGTCATATATCTGTGATAATAAATTGGCCTAAAATTTCACTTTAGTTTCTATGTGAATTATTCTTTGTAAATAAAAATTATGCTTTTAAAAACGTGCGTTATACTGTTTTATTTATGTCTGTCAATAATGAATAATGCCGTTTCTTCGGGTCGGTTTCGGTCCATTTCCTACAGATCGAATAATATCGGCTAAAATTTGACCATTAATATATTATAAACATGGGTAGTTTTATTTTCTAAGTCATGTTGTAACCGATCTATGTAAAAAAAAAGACAGAATCAGCACATTTTTACGGAATGAAAACAAATAGCTACAGCGCTCGCCATAGGCTTCCATCGATGGATATTCAACTTCCGGTTTATCGCCATGTACCATTATTTGCTGAATTTTTACTTAATTCTCAATTTAACGCATGATTACATCCATGACAATTTGGTTTTTAATTTTTTATGAATAGAATATTCTCTAAAGTGTCATAAAATCGTAAAATTAGGTTGGAATATTGTTACGTAAAGAAATGGAAAATATTTGAACTTTTTAAAATTCTAGAAAAAATCGTTCCACTCACCTGATACGGGTCCAATTGTCATATTCCACAGACCCAACATTCTCCCGAACATCTCCCGCCAAGTTACACCACCCACCAACAAAAGTAAAGGTACGGTCAAACGTAATTCGATAGCTAATTTTCTGCTTAAAATCATAACCAGTTTTTGGACCAAACATTAAGCCCAACAGAGTTAACAGTCCTTGAGCTTGGTACACGCTAATTAATGCCTTATACTCATAGGCCTATACTTATGACAACGCGCACACATTAACCATTCCCCCTAGCCAGGTCAGGGACAACCTGCTGTGCAAGGTAGTCCGACACGCCTGGTTCTTTTACTAGATCTTTTTGTGACTAACTATTTTTATGGCTGATCCCCAAGACTGCAAGAGAGAGCTGTGGAATCATGACATGAATTGAGACGTAGCCTACATAAAAATGTTAAAAATTTACCGACCACTGAACCAGATTACACGTTTTACGCATTAATTCTTTTTATTTCAGACAGCTATATAACTGCTGAATAAATCGTTAAAACCATTGAATAAATTCTTACTTTTTTCGGGCATAAGTTTCCTCGACAAGGCTGTTGATTTGATGTTGAAGTCTTACCATCGCCGCCATGATGTTTATTGTTGTCAAGTACAAGAACATGGAGTAAGGACTACTTCCGGTTCCGTTACTTGTGGCAACTGCGTGTAAACAACATGGCGGCCACCACTGTGCGTAATTTTAGAAATAAACAATAATTGGCAACTGCTAGTTACTGAGACTAAGGATCGGGTTATAAGTTAATAGAGAAAAAAAATGGCAATTTATATGCCACCACTTTCACGAAAGAAAAAAGTACCAGATCACTTTCAGTAAGTTTTAAAGGCAGATTCAGAGATTGGTGGCAGTAAAAATAAGAATAGGCCTAGTATATAGCTTAGATATCCTATAGGCCTACTCATATATAGGCCTACTACTATAATATGTAACAGGCATTGCCTGAGTAGAGCAAAGCTGGTATGATTGTTGTTAAATATAAAACCTTCATAATTAAGTTTTTCAAGTGATACAAGTAATGTTAAATAATCTCGTTTTTCTGAATTGAATTTAATTTAGAACTAAATTGTATGATTAATTTTGTTTAAAAAAAAAAAAGAACAAAAAAGTATCAGAATTATTTTCATTGATGTCAGAAATATATGACGTCATTGATTAAACGCGTCATAAAAATATATCTATGGGTCGCGTAATCTCGCTTTGGCGAGATTTGGTAAGTTGGCATGCGCATTGCTATTTTTCACCAGTGTATCCGGTTCCGGTCTGAATTTTTTTTAATCAACAGTCTGTGGGGCAGATTTAGTTACGCTCCTGTGTTACCGGAAAAGAGCTTCGCTCAAGCACTGCGCTTCGCGCGATGCTTTAGAGCTTCGCTCTATATAATATGTAGGCCTAACAGGCATTGCCTGAGTAGAGCGAAGCTGATGTGATTGTTGTTAAATATAAACCTTCATAATTAAAGGAGCTAAATCACTAAGTAATATTTGGGACCTAGAAATTCAAATTGACACAAATGAGTGGCAACGCATATAAAAATGTAATATGAATGTATATAAACTGATTTACATTCAATCGTTTCCGTTTTTACTCTAATTTCAAATCAGGTATGTTCGGCAAAATACGCCAGAATTTAAGTGTCAATCAAATGGCAATCTCTAGCGTCTGGTTATTCCAGTCTACACCGATAGTATTTGTTGCGCATGCTCTCCAGATAAGAATATGGCCTCACCATTTGACATGACTTGTGGAATATGTCTAGTCTCGTTCCTCGAGTCCCTTATTATAAATGGCGCTGAATAAAACGCATTATGGTACACGATTCGTGTACCAATGGTAAAATGTTTATTATGTCTTAAATATTGGATATCAGAAGCCCATCTTTTCATGATACGATAACAACACCAATGTTGATTTAAATTGACAAAAATTTGTGTTCTCAAATGTCGAAGACTTTTGTCGAAGACTTTGGATGATATTGAGTTAGAGACTTAGATAATTTAAGTGTCTCAAGTGATACAAATAATGTTAAATAATTTTGTTTTTCCAAATTGATTTTAATTTGGAACTGAATTGTATGATTAATTTTGTTTTTAAAAAAAATCAAAAAAAATCTGAGAATTATTTTCATTGACATCAAAAATATGTGATGTCATTGATTAGACGCGTCATAGAAATATTTCTATGACTATGAGATGCATAATCTCGCTTTGTAAGTTAGCATGAGCATTACCAGTTTTGCTCAGTTCCGGTCTGAATTTTTTTTAATCAACAGTCTGTGGGTGACAGTTATAGTTACGGTTCAGTGTTACTGGAAAAAAGCTTTGCTCAAGCACCGTGCTTCGCTCTATGCTATATACTAGGCCTATAGATAGGGCCTAGGCCAAAAAATTTGTTTTGTATTTAAAATAGTAACTTGTCAGACAATGAGATTAGATTGCCAGGTTATCTCCATCTGGCTACAAAGTCAGTGGTCATGTGATTTCGTTTGAAATACAAAATCTTCAAAATAAGAAAAAAGGCTAGCTGTAGCCTACATCTAAACATGGTTAAAGGAGCCAAGTCTTTTTAAAAACTCAGTATCATCCACAGTCATCGACATTGCTAACATGACTTATTGGTCAATTTAAATCAACACTGATGTTATTATCTTAGTCTTACCATGAAAAGTAGGGGTTCTGATATCCAATATTTAAGACACAATGTTTTCGAGCACAATTTATATGAACTCAAAGCGACTCGATGACCAAGGCTAAACTTATCCCTTTGTATAAATACTACCACTGTAGACTGGAATAAGCAGATGCCAAAGACTGCCATTCATTTCGGACTTTTTGTGTGTTTCGCCGAACATAACTGACTAGAAATTACAGTAAAAGCAAAAAACAATTGAATGTAAAGCAGTTTATATTGCTACATTCATATTACATTATTATATGCAATGCAACCATTTGTGTCCATTTCTAGGTGTCAAAGAATAGCGATTTAGCTCCTTTAAGTTTCAGTGGTTTCATTATTTTTCATCGCAATCGTAACACCGAATCAGTATCGTAGAAAAATAGTTTTCAGTTTACCTTAAATATTAACAATTCAGCTTATACAGAGTGTGTTCTAATTATAACTAAAGTAGGCCTACATGTACATCCCAAATTTAAGACATATATTCCAAATCGTAGATAATAAGGGTATGATAATATGACTGTGCTTTGAACTTTTCATGGACATGGATTTATCAATAATTATTCTATAACCTATAGTTAATTTGAATAATATTTATAAAATAGAATTATATGATTTTAGAAAAATACATATTTGTAAGCTTAAGATGAGTTGACCAAAAAGTAGTCTGTTTTGGAAAGTGACAGTAATTGTCGAAGACTATAAGCTTAAGCTTACACCTTCAAGGCCTAATTAGATGTAAATGATTAAAGGGTAGTTAATGTATTTAATTAAAATGATCTCGTAATCTGACTGATTGATAAACACATTGCCGAAATGTGTGTCAATATATTGGAGGGGAGGAATGTTTATCATATGAGATTCTTACAAGATTTGTGGTAACTTTTGCTAGTGTAAAATTCAACATGAATTTTCCATTGATCAAATATGAAGAAGGTTATGCAAGAACTGCACTCACTATCATACATAATTAGTTTATAAATGTGAAACCACAGAAAAGTATATATTAGGAATCATGATCATCTTATTCATAAAAATACCCTGCTTATTTAAATAATTTCATGCCATAATCCAATTCAATCAAATTCAGATTGTAAAATGGACCTGCTGTCATAACAGTTCTTTTGTATAAAAAAAATTCATGTTTTGTTCTTTCTGTATTGCAGTCCTGATTCTTTTCGAGTTATAAGTCGAGAAGCCGAAGAAAATCATGAACATTTTCCAAGTTCCTGTTTTCATGGACTCGGTCGACGACCCTGGTCACAGTCAAACATATTACCTAACATACTTGGAAGAGAAACTCGAGTTTTACCTCATGTAATGCCAGATTATCGAGCAAATAAACCACAACCAAGCACGTGTAACTTTTTAACGCATAATGTTCGACTTCTTAACGAGCCTGTTTGCACAGTTACAACCCAGAAAACACTGTCAGAGCAACCGTATTGGTGGTGCGCCGACAAGCCAGAAGAATGTAATAACAAACCATCTTATAGTTTAGATACCTTATATAGAAATGATTTCCAAAATCTAAGTGAACAACGGCTTCACCTTTCTTCCAGACATTCATCAAATCCAAACAAAGATCCAGCTTATGGAATAAGTAAGTATCATTAGAGGTGTTTTTACTAGAAACCGATTATTGCTAATCGATTTGCAAATCCTATTCAAACACATTTACGGCAAAAATTAGCCTAATCGATTATACCTAATTGTCATATTTACCACGATTTGCCAAATCAATTATGCAAATCTTCCAACTTGCTCGCTTGCCGGATTGACGCTTCAATTTCCAAGATAACGTTCCCCACAAGCGACACGACATACCTGACATTAGTTCATTTTCTAATGAAATTCATGTTAAGATATGAATTTCATGGACATTCCTAATACGAATACGGGACATGTGGTTCAACTTCTCGCTTTTATTTTTAGACGGTGTCTTCAAGAACAGAATAAAGAAAAATGAATTTTTTTTAACATTTTTCCTTGATTCTTCAGCCTTCAGTCATCTTACGAGACAACTTGTCGTGTTTATGTGAACCGATTTGAATACCAACTCCACATTTATGTCATATACAAAATGAGATAGGTAATCGAAACCGATTTGTTTTCTCGTAAAAGCGCCTTAAATATTACTACAAATTGTGGTGACAGAGTGACAAGTCTAAAGCCTAACCTTTTTTCAGTTGGGCTTAATTAATTGGCTGTGAATATTTTTCCTATAATTATAGTTAGCAACAATCAATGTAAAATAACATTTTGAGAATTATGCACATGATCTAAGAACATAATTATTTTAAAGAATCTGTTTTCCTTATAATTACTGATTTAGATCGCCATTTGGTGTAAGAACAATAAATATATCAATTGGATCATAAGCACTGATGAAATATCTGAAAAGAACAAAGAAATTTGAAATATAAAAATACTTTTTTATTGACTTGAATTCAAGAATTTTTCTCATGTATATTTTTAAATCCTCTGGACTAAGAAAAACATTAAGGCGATCTCTTATTTCTAGTCCATTGTTTAAAGTCAACACAGTAATAGCTTATTGTACTGTACTTTATTCTTTCTAAGTTCTGTTTTTTTTTCTTTCCAGTACCAATCAATCAACTTGGTGGTCGTAAACATAAACATCGATTATATGCAGAGAAAATGTCATATGAACATGAATATAATAGTCGTAAAGATCCTAATTATCCTATTCGTAGCAGAGTGAGTACATATTGTTTATTTTATCTAATTACTTGGGTAGTAACTTAAAAATATGTAAGGAAATGAAATGGGGTTTAATGTCAGATTGGGCTAATGAAGACAGGCATGTACGCCATGCAGTGTGCTATGAGGGAAATTTTATCTCTGGATAGTGGCACTTCGCCCCACTCTAATATTGAATTCCAACTGTCAAGGGTTTTCTTTTACGTGCATGCCAATGTGTACACAGGACCTTTTTTTTTTTCTGTCCATTCGCACGACACTACATTGTCCCTTGCCAAGGCCTCCATCCTACACAACTGACAAGGGGGAACCACACCAGTAAATTCCAATGAACTTTTATCAGCCAACGCAGGGATCGAACACTGGAACTCAAGGTTAGCGAGCCAACATCTTACTCATTGAACCAGCTTGACTCCCAATATGTAAGAAATAGACGAGGCATTGGCTCTCTTCAGATCTTTGCCCATGGGTACTAAAAATAGATTCTTATATGCCATTTTTAGTATGTAGATTTGAAACAATTATGTCAGTGCATAACTGAGAAAAAAATATTTCAACGATTAATTTACAAGGTGTACATTATTTTTTTTAGTCTTCAAGGAGTTAAACAAAGGATTACACAAAATTCATTACTCTATGTAGACTAGCAAAAGAAGTGACTTATCTACATTCATGTTCTTTTAGAAATTGATAACAGCTTTGTCTTATTTAAGATTAATGTGCACAAGCAAATTTAAAATAATGTCTCCATACAGTTGTTAAAAGATCCATGACCAGCATAAGTTGTAATTGGATCGAGGGGAAGGTTTAAATGATAATCAAATTCATTTATTGTATGATTAATTTTTGTTGTTATAGCGACAGGGAAACTTTGTTTGGAATGAAATGAAGCCAGACAAATTAAAGGAATTTATTGATTATCATCAGAGTTTGAATGAATATCAAGATCCACAGAAATCAAATTATCCATCTTCAGTATTAACACCGCTTCGCCAAAATTCAAGTCCTGTGACTGAGGTACCTGAACTATTACCTTCTGGTATGCAAGGGAAACCACAACAGATTGAATATGATATAAATGGAGCTGATGATTGCACTAGACAAGTAGAAATTAACGATGAAAACATATCTAATAATTGTCTAACATCACAACCACAGTTTAGTACAGATTTACCACAAAAAGAAAATAGCCAAATAGATTTGGAAACAAGTACAGATTAAAGCACTTTAACTGTAATCTTATCTTTAAATTTTTTTAAAAAGCACATCACTCTTCCCTTTATTATTGTCAATAGAAACAAACATTTTATGCATGTAGTCTTTCTTAAACTGAATCTAATTTAATAGGCACCGGATCACTATTTCTTTATTACGTCCATGTTTCTTTAGCTTCAAGGTAATATGACATCTACCAAACCAGCGCCTGTCGGCTGTTGCTTAAATATGTTTTAATTTTTTTACTTACCTCAGATTTATTTTTAGATGTTTAAACTTAATCAGAGTTTTAATCCTGCTCATGCTAGATTTTAAAGAAACATTAAACTGTTTGATTTAGGTCAATATAAACTGAATATGTGACCTAACTTGTAATTCAAAAAACAGAAATCCAGTTTATGCTTAGAATATCTTATTTTAAATAGTTTTAATGGAAATGTGTCCCAGGATTATAATATATATTTGTAAGAATTTTATAAATAATTGTTGTAAACTGCATTATAAAAAGTGTCTTATTTTATAACTTGTGGCTTATTTATACATTGTTTTATATACAACATTTTATATTCATCTATATTTATTGTTATTACTATTAAATATTGTTCTATTTACAAGGAGTAAAATTGATTGTAATGTTTTTGTTACAAACTATGTTTGTGAAGTTTTTGTACTCTGTGAAATGTATGTGTAAGATCTACTGGGTGTTTATTTAATCTCATCAAATGTAGGGGGTATTATAGATATCATAAAAATGGCCCTGCTTTAAGACTTTTTAACATGGTAGAATCAAACATGGTTGCGTCAAGTCAGGGCCATCTATTTACTCTGCCTGTCTCTAACTGTGATATAATTGTTAATGATATTTTTGTTATGATTGTTGCTTGCCTATGTTTATTGTGGATTTATCATTCTCATGAATAGCATCCTCTGCAAACAATTTCTTATGAGCTTGTTACAGAAGAGAGTTCTCAAAAATACTTTATTTTTCAAATATCCAAGGAATATGGTGTTATTCGTTCATGTGGAAAAAAACTATCAAAGCACACACTTGTCTCTTAATCTATGTTTGTGGTAATCGTCTGGCAAACTTCTAGCTGCCTGTATATATTTATTTTGCCAAGTGTTGATGTTATGTATCAAATTCTTGGAGGTAATTATTTAAATTATTTACAGTTCAAATGTCTCAATTGTATGAAGATGTCTTATTGTTGGACAAGGGTAAGATCAGGCAATATTTTAAAAATATTGATGTAAAAATGAACTTCAGAGCATTAGTCCGTTTTGCCAAGGGTGTTTAAAGTTACATGTTTGTTCAATAGACTTATTTAATCAAAATGTTTTATTTTCATGTGAATCAGTACCTATTAATCTAGATTAACTAAGATATTGGAAAATATATTTCGTAACAGCTGTAAACTAGAAAGAATTGCCCATTGTTATATTATAATCATACTTAATTTTTGTAAAGGCAAAGCACCTGACAATATTCCTCAGTTGTGCGGGGAAGTCAACATATTAGGTAAAGTGTGTTTATCTGGAAGGGTTTATAATGTATTGTCTGTGATATATAGGTCTGATGGTCATATTTATATACTGTGATATATACTGGTTCTGCTTATACTAATCTTTTGACATGTAAAAAAAAAAGAAATATACACATTATTAACCTTCATCTGAGTTTTTATTTAGTATTATGGTCATAAAAGATAATAAGAATGAGGACATTGATTTATAATAATGTGCTAAATTCCACCCCACTGAAGCACTGCACATATATAACCCATTTTCTATGATCTTGGTAAAACCAGAGGATTACCCCCCTTCCCCGTTTTGCCTCTGATGTTTTTCTGTCAATCCACCTGTGCTAGGGTGCAGCATGTTGAAAACTTAAACTAAGATACAATCGAAATTTTAAGAAATACTGCAATTCGATTGTCTGACCAATATGCAAATTGGATATATGCAAATTGATTTTACTGGTCAGCCAATCGAATTGCAGTATTTCTTAAAATTTCGATTGTATCTTAGTTTAAGTTTTCGTGAATAAGGGCCCTGTATAAGAACATACCATCCATTTATCTGTCTCCATATGTAGAGTACCGGTACATATATTTCTTTGAGTCTAGTAAAGTCATTTTGTTCACTGTATGTGTGATGCACCAGTTGTCACCATATTATAAATGATTGTCAAACAGGAAATTAGGCCCCTTGTCTGCGATATCACTTCAGTGGAAGCGGACGTTAAATAAAGCTATTTCACACAGAGGATAGGCCTACTCAAAGTTCTAACTGGGGGTGTATCATATCACAGATTGATAATTGTCGAAAACACACAAAATCAAAATATAACAGAAATTACCAAATGATTTAATACATGCCTAAATGTATCATTCACGGATTACATTGCTGATAAGCTCTCTAAATTTTGTTCAATGAAATCATTAGATTACTCTAATGAGTTATCTCCCTTGACACACTACTAAATTGTCTCACCCAGTAATTTCTGTGTTATTCATAGATTTAAATGCATGTTCTATGTTTTGCAAAGTTTAGTTTCCCATGTAATTTATTTTGAGAATATATTTTATCATATCATTATACACAGTTGTAATAAAACAGATATTTTGAAAGACGGTTTATTTTCAAGAGTTATCTCCCGTTAGATGACTTCAAGGACAGCATTCTTTCATTTAGTAAAATATTGTTTGCCACTGTAATAAAATTATCCAAATGGCATCAAATCGGGTTTCTACCGATAAGTTTAAAACTAGGGGCTCAAACGTAATAAATAGGCCAAGAAGTTTAGCCGAATTATGGGGGGGGGGGGGGGGCAACTCAATTTATTCGCTGTCAAAGTTTCATGTCAATGAAGGTAGATAAGGTACAATTGACAAAATAAACTTTCACTTTAGCTTTCAAGGTTTTTATGTTTGGATGAAGTTAAATGATGTCTTTTCAAATATTACCTAAATTGTAACTGACAATAATAATACTCCAAAGATGAATGTCTGTGGAATACAATCAAGGTTAAGAATATCACAGTATCTGAAGGCGTTAAAATCTAGAAATTCGCCGTACTTGAAACTCTTCCAGTCTTATTTTGTTAGTAGACATTATAGTGACGATCCTTTAGACAATAATGACCCCAAAAATGATAGTTTGAAATTCCCACGTAGGAAATCTCTTTCTCCGTCAGATAGGCTACAATCTATGTTTCATCAATCTTCAGAAACATTATCTGATAAGAGTCCAGAAGAAAGAAATAAACCCAAGGAAATCAAAATTCCCAGCAAGGATAACACTTTAACAAGGAATAAACCGGATTACTTTAAGCGAAGAAGTTTATCACCTCTACAACGCTATAGCGATATTTTAATAACTGAAGATGAGAATTCGACTGGCAATAGGTCGTTCAAAGATTTGAAGAAACTCGATGAAGATTTGAAAGATACCAAGCATGAGAAAGATTGAACTAACATAAAAATGTCTTATAATATAGTAAGAGCCAAGCTAAAAAGAGTTCTACTGTTCATTTCAAGACGTTTCCTTGACCATAGAGTCTGTGTGGACAGTTTAGACATGCCCACAGCACAGGACATCATGTACTGTATTCCCAAGAGACATTTGGAGGCTATTTCTTAGTGAGCCTTCAATATTTAAACAGATTCTATATATCATTTAATATTTGAATTAGAAATCTGTGTTCATTTACAACCATGATGCATAGTTTCATTTTCTAATGGTCACATGCTTTTACCCGGATTATGTTGGCATAATATTCAAATTTAACATAACTATGCCTGATGTGATCGTAGCATTACTAACAACATTGATAAAGACCACTGACTGTAAACTAGACTGTTACTGGTTGAAAATACAGAATTGACAATTCTGGAGTGAAATTGATATTGGTAATTTGAAATGGTAATATTATATATATATATATATATATATATATCCTAGCAAAGTATTAATAATAGTATATCCTGTCAAAGGAGGATGTGTTAGTTAGATGCAATACTGGAACTCTAACCCTTGTTCACTACACTTGCAATACTGACGGGAGTGGTGGTGGATAATAGGTTCTGGTCAAAAAACCATTAGCTGACCAATGTAGCAACAGCACAGGATATCATTGTGCTAATTTGCAGACAGATAATATAGCCCAAGATAAATCAATTCGCCTGGACCTCAAATAATCTTACTCAGCCCCTGGTAGCAGGTGTAGTCTGTTTTATAAATCCAGTGGAGAATGTCAGCAATCTTGTCTTGTGGTACTTTAGCTCTCCAATCTCCAAATTTAGTCTTAAATTTAATCTAGTGACAGTCAATTTTTTATGAATTGTCTGATATCCTTTTACAGTCTCATATAACAACTTTTGGTCTTCGAAGAAATTATTAGTGAGCAGAAATTCGCCCATGTGTCTGTCATCACTCGTCACTTCAGTCAGTTATAGAGAGGGATAACTCGTGTTTTCCTTTTGCGTTGGTCACTTCCGATTGTTGAAGGATTGATTACGCATCTATTGTAGCAATGATCTCTGTGATAAAATAATATTTGGAACGTGTTTAACCAGTTCTATCACATATGTGATAATGACTGGCACCAATATTGTCCTTTCAGTCATGTGATTGTCCAAAATGCTACCATGAGTTGAAAGCATACACTACACTATATATAGTGTATAATGTTGTATTTTGCCCAATAAATGAAACACAATAAAATATTTCTGTAATTTTTTCATCATTAAGTTTATCAATGGATTATATACATAACAATAAACAATGTTATTAAATTGAGCTAATCACCATCCTTATATATAAGTTAAATTATTTGAATAAACTATGTACAAATATCACAGTCTTGCTTTAGTATTATTTAATTATAAACAACAAACTGAAATCCTAAAAAAAACACAGTTCTGAACTTGTTGTATAGTGGGCTTAAATGTTTCTGTCAGGTGGGAAGATTTTAAATACTGAATTCACCAAGCTGTGTTTTTTAATAACTATTATTTGATTTCATGAATTAAATTGAATTTTTACATTACTTTCCTGTACACATAACACTGTATTGTCAGGTTTTATTGTATAATATGTAAGCGCTACATCTGCTTATTGCAGCTCTTTTTTTCTGTCTTGAATGTCACATAAATTATTATTTAGACATTTATTCACATAACAAGCCCATAATGTCTACCATATCTTCGTTAAATGTTAAAGTGGAAAATCAAGACTTTAGGCTATTTATTGTCAAAGATTCAAACATTCCTAACTTTGCTCAGAATAAAGTCCATTTGACTGGAATTTTGAATATATTAAATGTTAAAGTGGAAAATCAAGACTTTAGGCTATTTATTGTCAAAGATTCAAACATTCCTAACTTTGCTCAGAATAAAGTCCATTTGACTGGAATTTTGAATATATTAATTTTTCATTATATATTAGCTCATCTAAATCTTATAGTTTACACAATGCATATTTAAGGCATTTAGTTTTAATTTCTATTGACCAATTTTCGTGTACCAAAGCAGAATAATTTAATACTATATATGAAACCAGGGAGTTACAATCACCCTTTGAAATATGCAAGTTCTACAAATGTCATAAGATGTGTATAACACTCAATGTTATGAAATATTTTATTCTTCTGACTTCTATAATAAAGTATATACAGTGAGTTCTAGCTCAGTTTTCTTTCATCATATTTATATAATGTAATATTATTAAATATTGTGAACAATTAACATTGTAATATATTAAATTTATCACTTGTTATAAATAAATACTGTCACAGACTTTCCAAAAATTGTCACAGACTTTAGATATAAATATATATATGTATATACTTGATCTACTTATATATATAATATATACACTTGACTTAAAATAATATATTTACATAAATGGTTGGCTTACATACTTATTTATTACAAGCTTATCTTAAAATTTAATTCTGATTAAAATATAATAAACCAGTGTTGGAGGTATGGTGGCAGCAATTTTTGAGCCCCCTTTGAAAAAATCAACAAGAACTACATGTATTCTATTTTAACATGTTTTCAAGCCATAGTAAATAATCATGGAGATGCATGGAAAAAATCTTTATCCAAATTAAGGGATAATTGCAATTATATCTGAAGGGTGCAATATATATTTAGTTGGTGTTTTACTGTTTGTCTGTTGGGCTTTATGTCATTCTTCTATACTAGAAGATGGCCAAACATCTTCTCCCTCAACTTTAGACAATGGTAGAGTTTTCTTTAATCCTAGAAAAAAAACCACGAAAATCGATCACACCACCTGGCCATTTCTGATAATTAGAAAGAAACGTTGGCGTTTTCAGGACTTTAAAATTTGAACGTTAACTGGGAGATAACTCCGTAATTTTCTCCTTAGACGCCACTACGATTCCCACTAAATTAATTTTTGTAAAAATTCTACTAAAGCTCCGTTCCAAGGTATTACCATGGACCTTGTATTATAAGGTCCATGGTATCACGTAAATTAACGTTCACAAACATTCATCAGTTGACAACCCAATCAATAATCCGTTGAAATTTGAAAGAAATTAGTCAAGAATGATCGTGGAATGATGACATACTGGTTGCACCCTGGTTGCAAACGACTAGACATTTTTTGTGATATGCATATAATTTTTTTTTTAAATTTAATATTTATAATATTATATATTCTTATTATAACTGTTTATCTGTTAAATAATTTAATATCACTTTTTTTTGTAAATATTCCATGAGCCTTTGTCGCTAAAATAAAAAAAAATTTCATTGGCTTAATCCACGCTAACTTGTACACTCAGTTGGATTATTACATTTATAAGAAGACAGAATCAAAATACCAACTCTAGATAATGCCCCGGCTTGGATTCAATCGGATTAAAACAGACCTATCATTAAATTTTCGTGGTCAACAAAATGACAGACGGCTTACTGCATAGCGAGTAGCATAGATCGTTTGAAATTTCAATTCCACATATCTTTGCAAATACAGAACGGCATTGAACCGTTATATACTGAAATGGTACCTATAGTAGAGATTCATCTTTCGCAACATTGTAGTTTACAAGTGTTTCCTATTGCTTAAAATGGCCCAGCGGGACTTTAAGCACACTGTGATTTTATCAAATAGACCTATTTCACACATGGCAAATACCTCCACTAGTGCAGAACGCTGGATATCGATAGAATTCGTCCTTTCGTGACCACAACGCTTTCACAATATTTTTTCTTAAGGGGAATACCTTCGGAACTGGAAGTCGCGGAACACTGAAAATCGATAGGGTTCATCCTCTCATGGCCCCCAATGCTTCCCAAGAAATTTGAAAAACATCTGTAAAAAAATATAGTTTTTATCGCTTTCACAAGGTTTTAGGCCAAGCGGGAATAACTTTTGTACGAACGGTCGTGGGATGTTGATATTGTTGACAAATTTCAAAACAATCTGTTAAAAACTATAGCCTCTTTTCCGTTCACAATGTTTTCGGAAATTTCAAAACAATCCGTTAGAAACTATAGCCTCTTTTCCGTTCACAATGATTTCGGAAAAGGGAGGGATAACTTTGAAACGGAAAGTCGTGGAATGCTAACTATCGAAAGGGTTCGTCCTCTCTTGGCGCTAATCCCTCAAACCAAATTAATCCGCCAAAGGACAGGCTGACATAAATACGCCCAAACTGACATAAAATGGTAGAATCGAAGGCCCATTTTCTAGGTCATATCTGAGAATTTTTCTAAATGGTAATGTCATTCTTTGTTCAGCCTAATAAATCCACCCACCTTTGAATCTGCTTACAACGTAAACTGTCAAAATCTATGACATAATTTTCGTTGCGCAGAAGTTACTGATAAACCTCTGTTTTACCCCACCCTCAGATCTCGATTGACATTCTGAAAACTCCTCCGATTCGGCTGACTATTTTCCTTTCTAAATTCAGGTGGAAAATATAATCCCTGCTTGCAAAATACCATGTTCACGACTGTGTGTGTGTGTGTGTGTCAGAAGGACAGGACTGGCAATATTACGTTCATTTATCGTAATATAGAGCTGTGTTATACCTTGCATGTTAAAGAATATATCTGACTGATCATGTTCTCTGGTATGATTTTTACGTTCTGGAGACGATTCGTTAGAAGAAATGTACCAAGCCGTATCAGTTGGACTGGCGGAATCATATTGACTGTCCGTCACATCACATTCACGACATGATCTCGGTGACGCTTCGGGTCCTCTAGGATAACCGTCATCTTCTGGGTATCTCATATAGTTCCTGAGAGCTCCAGCGTGGTGTAGCGGACGCACACGCCTCCAATATATATTACTAGGGGTCAGCGCCATAATCTGAAATGAATATATGACATACACAGCAAAGTTTCCTCCTTATGCCCCTTAAAGGGACAATAACACTCTTGCTGGCTTGAAAGCTCCAGAAAATAAATAATATCTCTATCTAAGTACTAGATGTTTAAGTATACTACCTGTTGTGTAAATTATCCATTACATCCTATTTTACTTGTCCAGAGGGTTCGAAAATATTTTTAAATCGAAGTTTCATTTGAAAAGGTATACGTTAGACGTTTCAAACCATTATGTTGAATTTTTCAAAATTTTTAAATAAGGTGTGTTAAGATGAAATTTGTATCATCAATTAATTGAAATATTCTAAAATAGTACAATTTGTTGACTAGAATAAAGATTGGGACATATTATTCAGTTACAACAAGAGTGGTATTGAGCCTTTAAACAATCACCACAAAATATAAAAACAATTATCGAGTCCCCAAGCTTCAAAAGCTTGTCAGTAGTACATTGTCTAGTCGTTCGGTTTTGACGAAAAACCAAGGTCCCGTGTACATATTGGCGTGCACGTAAAAAAAACTCTTGACGATGAATTCGGAATAAGAAGAGTAGACCGTAACTCCAATGTCCGGGCACAATTTCCCTCATTAGTCCAGCTGATGCAGAAAAGTGGGACGTTAAACCCCACGTCATTTCATTTATTTCCTATGGAACAATCCCAATAGGTTTGAAAATAATTCAACGAGCACTGTGCCCGTACCGGTAATTTGAACATAACCGAAATAGAACTAAAGGATTTTCTATCGAAATATTCTCATTTTAGATTTGGTTCTTGTTCCCTTTACAGGGCGTATAAAAGGATATTGTCACTGTCAGGGAGCAGTGCCATATGGGGGTTTGTAGCCTAGTGGTCTAGGGTGTCGCGCTTCGAACTCTATGGTTGGCCAGACGCCACTGGCTTGTGGTCGTGGTTTCGGTCCCTGATGGCTTGGAGATAGGGGCGACTTCTCAACCTCGTGGGTTTACTATGGGTACTCCATTTTCCTCCCGCAGGAAAGGCTACGAAGATGATGAAAATAGAACAACTTGTCTCCGCTCAGTTCAACACTATAAGAAGCAGTGCTATAATCTAAAATATAGGACCATTAATAACAAGTCAGCCCCGATGCGTTTCCGCGCGCTTTTTTTTTTTTTGTATTTCCATGTGGATAGAAAAATCGCTGAAGAGTTTGGGGAATACCATGTAAATGACGTCATAAGTGAACCCGATATCGTTAACGTTCAGTCGCCGCTCTTTCGTAATAATATAATAAGACCGTGTCCAAAACATCTGCCATTTGCAAGCTAACGACAAGAGTCGTAGATTGACTTAATGGAAGAGAACCCGTGTTTGTACGTCAGAACGTAAACATCCGCATGCACACACTTCACGTGAGAACAAATGCCAGCGAAAAAAAACACTCATCGATACGGTCCCATTACAATTACGTTTGTATTATACCGATTTTTCGCTGGCGGAAACGTATACGTAGAAAGCTGGCCTAACTCCTGGGATTGTAAAAGGGCAAATATGTGAGAACGGGTTCGGGGCTGATATTGCTGAAATGCCGATTCAGTTGTGAAACTGGACATGTCGGTGCCGCAAAAATTCTTTGAAATTACTGTGCCACGTTTTCCATTTACGCGTTTTCGCGCGCGTTTTTAAAATTCCGTCTAATGCAAATGTAATGGGACCGTTTCCATGTAACTGGCGAAAACATGTTCGGAAACGCGTACATGGAAAACGGGTCTAAGGCGTTTTCGTGGCGTTTCCCCGCGCGTTTTGGCCGGCGAAAACGTCTCTAATGTAATTGTAAATCTAATAAGACCGTTTCAGTGTAACCGGCGAAAACGCGTACGTACATAGAAAACGGGCTTAAGAAGTACCTCATCACAGCACCGTCTACTAACAATAGCTCTATATCCAATCCTTTTAAACAGTCGATCTCTCTTTAACAAAAACTGGGGATATTTATCTTTCCATTTTCTACCAAGAGCCCATGGAAATATTTCATATTTTAAATCTTCATCATCTTCTTCTATGTCATTAGCTAAATAACTGAAATGAAAATGGGGTATTCATTTTCAGTGTTCCCTAATGGTGTGAACAATAGTCAAAAGCGAATATAAAGTTGTTCTAAAACATTTAGGGGGTAGGTGGCCCAATGGTATAAAGTGTGCGCTTTAGATTATAAGGTCTGTAATTGAGTCAAGTGGCGTGGTTTCAAATCGCCTGTCAACCTCGTGGTTTAATTATCCGGGTCCTCCGGTTTCGACCCCCCCCCCCCCCCGGCCCACCCCCACTGCAAAACCCATACCCTCAAGCGAATTATTGAAATGAAATCGAACAACATGACCTAGTTTGTGTCGAGTGAACGTTAAACCACATTTTTATTTCTTTCTCTAAAACCTCTCGGATACAGGAATAACAGTAACAAACAAGGATGGGGGATTGCCACGTGAAGCTCATTTATACGACCATCATGGGCAAAATTAAGGAATCACGTTTTAAAATCCGATTTCTTTGAGCCCAATGAAAGCAAATTACTTTGTAAAAGTTTGCAATAAACGTGCCTGCTCGTGCTTGCACTGCAAACTGCTTTATGGGGGAGTCGAGGAGTGACCAGATAATTAATGGCACTATTATTTTATGTAAATGGGGATTATAAAATACGATGCATCCCTCTTGGCTGCAGATTTTGAGAGACCATTGTCAAGATAAATTAAAACATGTTATTTCATGTGAGACGTACAGTTTTTTATTACCATAAAAATAATGCACGTTCTTTTAACAAGTATTTTATAAACTAAAATATGTTCATTGTTTATCAAGTATACTTACAGTGCAACAAAAAAGTTCGTTCTCGTGTATTCTCGTATAGAAAAACTGGCTCGTTTAAAATAGGCAAATACCATAGCCAGCAGGTACTGAAATAACAATTAACGATATTTATCTTTTAAATTTTATAAAACATTATTAGCTTTTTTAAAATCTTATATAATAAATAAATATAATCGAAAATGAAACGTCAAAAACTTGTTAGTTATGAGCCTTTTATTGCAAACTTGATCAGCATTTCAAACAAATATTATCTGTCCCGTGGCAATCTATAATCTGGATACATGTTGAAGCAAAGTAATTCATCACAATCTAGACAGCATTGGCTCCCCGCTTTTGTTCTTGTATTAACTAATGCAACGAATAGATGAGGTGTTGCTTAAAATGACGCAATGGCGTTAGCTCACGGATAGCCTTAGTTCATTTCATTTGTCTGTGGTATCCTTTTACTAGCCTCCTTCTTTTTTTTTCTTTTATCGATACATACATCTATTGATAGATAGGACACAATTGAAAAAGATTCTATCTAACTTACTTTATCAGATATCTTAATACAACTGTCAACTTCTAAAAAATCTTGAATCAGTTCATCAGCTGAAGATTTTAAAAACAAAGCAGAAACGTTTTAACAATTTCAAGCTGTCGCATCTGCACAGCACTAAATATTTATTTTAGGTGGGTATACACCGTTAGTCTATTTATATGTGGTCTGGGTAGCTTTAAACAAGCATCAACATCAAGGAATGAATGGGGTTAACATTAAGCTATAAGTGCGAGTCCGGGGTGTGGGTGGGGTTATCCTGACAAAACCGAGTTTTTTCTACTCTTCTTCGATTTTTAACTGTCAAAGGTGCATTTTAGTATGTACACGAGTGGACCTCGCCTTTTTGTACCATCCAAACAACTAGACATATTTGCTTTGTCAACCTCACGGGCACTAGCTGACAAGTTAAGATTGGATTTTAAAAATCCTGAAGGTTGTCGTCTCACGCCTGCATTGGAATCTGGGATAAGTAATTTGAGCTATATTTGAATTTTTAAATAAGGAATTGGTTTGTTATTAAGATAACGGATTTAAAACCCCAAGTGTATGCCCTACTTTAGGGTACAAAAGAGCTTTCGGATGTTCTTGAAATTGTAAGGCATACCTTGACAGTTGACACCCGTCACTGCTGCTAATAAATAACTGGAACAGATTGAGAAACCGAGGGCTACCGGCTTTGTATTAAGCTCGGAGCCAAAATCCATCTGCGGTCGGCGCCTCGGCGACCCTGTGGTTTAAAATTCAAATGTAGAGCACACAATGTGTGTCAATTAGTCAGTCTTTATATTTCGGGAGAGCTAAGTGGGTGGCGGAGGTCTAAGGAAAGGGGAGTTAAAACTGTATTCTACCTAGTAAACCAAAAAATGCCCGCATTTCTTTGGGCTTCACAATAAAACTCGATTTCTTGGCCCTTTTTGCAGGAACAACGGGAAGCTCTATCTTGACAAATTCATTCTTTTTAGCTGTTATGTTTTGCAAGTTAGAAACGGTTCTTAAGCGCTTCATTCCACGTCCTTGAATGCTAAAGGGTCTTGACAGATGGTAATTTGAAAATTGTTGAATTGCTTGAGGTCCTGATCCTGGATAAATAACTGGAATATTTGAGTAGTCACCACACCAAGGTACAACAAAGTCTCTCCGGTACGGGTATTCAAGCCAAGGAGTCGCTTCTTGCCAACAATTTTGATGATTAATTCTTGGCTGTACAAAAGTCTCTGAGAAGCTTGGCAGGCGAAATGACATTTGAGACGCGTTTACGATCTTGCTTTTAAGCAAACTAATTACAACCCATACAGGAATGTTTTATTAAGATTTGTTTTAATATCCTATCTAACAGGTGGGATAATAACAGTCGCACACTTAATTAGCACACGTCCTCAATTGACCTGCAATTTCTTTCTGTATTGCATCTTTTGCCTGAAGTAAAACAAGACTGATTTAAATACAACATTGAAGACAGGGCCCATAAGAACTTAATCTGTGTTAAAACGAGGGGTCTTGCCCTTGCCTTGGTGACGTCTGGGAAAGGGGTATAAAGAAAAATTAATATGTTAGCCAGTTCTTACTGTCTTAATTGTCAAAATCTGGATTATTTGCAAGGAGCCTGAACATAAGACCTGTTCTTAGCTGTAGGCCAGTACTCTAGTAGCATACTGCACGCAGCGACCCATCTACGTCATACTTCCCATACTGCACGCAGCGACCCATCTACGTCATACTTCCCAGAATGTGACACTGCACTGATTATCCGCCATTTAAAACGCTCATGTGATCATTTTGGGGCGGGACTTATCGACTCGAGACTGCTTTGTTTAGACAACAGAGTAAAAATAACCCACGCACGTGTGTTTTATGTAAACACGGTATGTCGCTGACACTCGCGTAAAAGCGATATATAATATGTGCTATGGGTAATATTGCAATAAATTCTTTACCATTGTAAACTGTCTTTAGAGTTTCAATCTGTTTATCTTTCAAAACAAGGTTAGATACTCCTAAATTTGTTTTCGCAAATAAAACCGCCTCTGTGAAATTATGTTTCATGGGCGCTGCCATATTAAATAATTAGAGGACTATTTTGTGATTCGGCTTTGGTTAGTTTGACATTTTTCATACACACAGCGGCTAAATAAACATATTTAATTTCATTCAATATGACAATAGAAGAGAAATAAATACTTTTAAAAATTTCTAAAAGCATACTCAGTGTTTTCGACTAAAATCGTCGATGTAGGAATTTAAATGTCGGTTAATTAGCTGAGGGCCTATTCTCAGCCGGAGCTAGCTGTAGATAAGCAGCCTAAGTTTGGGATGCTCTAGTAGTAGTACACTAGCTGTAGTATTAGTGTGGGTAGAGTTCCGGTGTTACACTAGCACTGCCACTGTTCAGTTGCCTAGCTTATTTTAGAGTTACATTTAGAGTAACTCTAACCTAGCCTCCTACTAGATTTAGTGTGTATAAATAATAGTATAGTTTTACTTTTGCTAATTTTGGCATAAAATTAATTAAAATAGACAACTGGACTAGGTCTAGCCACCAGACGTGATATTTATTATAAAAAAAGTATTAAGCTTATATGAGTTATGACTGTCTGATAATATCAGACATGATATCATCAAAATTGGAAAAGTAGGCCTCTTAGACTACAGTCGTGACCTTACTTACAGAACATACATTACAATTTGACTGTGTAGTTAATGAAACACTGAGAGAATAATGAGTGAATGATCACAGACCAGTCTAAGTTCTTGGCTGACCTGTTGCAAAGCAACATTTATACTATAAACTATAACAGTCCCTACTTTAGTACATAGGCTAGCTAAGCTAGCCTGGCTAGATCTATGCCTATAATTATTTTTTATACTTACGTCTCGTTTACCGTGCGTCATGTTATTAAAATTGACATAATTTCAATTTGACCCATTGCGTAGCCTACCTTACTATCTACTCCTACTACTAGTATTACTGTCACTAGGCCTCCCTAGTAGTAAGTCTATCATCACTCATTCAGTGCATCATCAGTGTCGTTTCCCTATAGCCGCACTATTGTAGAACCCTGATATTAAAAACAAAAATAAATGGGCCTATTTACAAAATGAAAAAGGGGGAAGAGACGTGATCCCGTCACCGTCGGCTGCGTCATACAAGCACGTGTCGTCTGCTATTGCTAAACACTACAGTGCCACCTTTCCTACAGAAAAAATTGCAAGAGTTATCGCTCACTAGTGATAATTTCCATCGATTGCTCTGAATGATGTAAAAATAGATATCAATGAGTAATTTCGTAAACTTTGTTCGAATTTAATCTACATTTAAATCAAAATAGTATTCATCTGGATAATAACAGGTTTTCTCACAATTCCCTTCATCAAAGCATACTAATGGCTGATTGTAAAATGAAAGTAGTTTTCTATCCAATGACACGAGGCCACGAAAGGTTTATTTATAGAGACATTAGGCAGACCGAATTCTGTTCCATGTTCATCCAGACGGATTTTGAAACGACAAATTATAATGAACTGGATAATGTAGACTTTTTGATGTGGTGGCGGCCATATTGCTGATTCGCTTTCGTAAACAAGAAAGTCAGTTTGTGTGAAAACGGCTTCCAAACCAAATCATGAGGTCGTTTTTGATTACGGGGGCGAGTTTTGTCCTCTCAGGAATGGTAATATGCAATGCATACTATCAGAAGAAGCAATTTTACCCGTCCGTTGTGTATATAACTAAATCCAATCCCAGTATGGCTGTAAGTTTGATGAATTGTATTTAATTGTTATTTTTTTAAGACTCATGATTTGACTTATGACGGCTGCCACGATGACATGTGTTTTGACTGCCATGCAGAAACATTTTTGTAGTGTTGTCACGTCAGTAAGCTTGTTATACACCAACAATAATACATGCACCAGTGAATTTTAGGAAAGAATTGAGCTACCCAGGTTTCAACTTTTCAAGCCTGGTGAAGTGAGCATTGAATCAATGTGAATGTCACATGTGTCAAAATATTCTCTACATTATACAACAAGAAGACAACCTATTTTGTTATTACTATATTACCTAGGGAATTTGGCGCTAATGCACTTTCGTACACCTAGTACTTGCCATGGTCCCAGAGACTTCAAATTTGCTGAGGGTGTTACAGGGTGTTATCTATGATCTCACACTAGGTGTACGAAAGTGCATTAGCGCCGGGAATTTGCGTCTTTTTGCTGCCAATATCCATGTAAGACATTTTAATTACCCCGAAACAGTTACTAAATGGTCCTAAACATGTAAAGTCTACATTATACATGTCATGTAGGCTGCTCTACTACTTCTAGCTAGAGGAACGGTCTCTGATCTATGGCAAGTCAAAGCGGAATTAATTGCAAGACCGTTTTTCTGTATGGAAAGAGAAAAAATCGAGTATATAACAATTTTTTCATCACCTTCCAAGCATTTTTTTCTGTACAAAACGACGTATATCAATAAAGATTTTTTTTTTCCACTGCTGCTCTTGTATTTTGTTATAGTCATGTCAATTATACTATTCACAGAAATATTTTATCACTATATTCGGTTTTTATAAACAATTCAACAAAAAAATACACATGTCAAGACGAAAAAATTCACATGCCAACACTAAAAAATTCACATATCAAGTAGTGTTGAAACTACTATTCGGATATCCGTTAACGGATACAAAATAAGGGTTATCCGAATCATTTTACTATCCGTTACAGTCTTCTGACATTCCGTATGCTCTATATTAGCCATTTTTACATCTGATTACTTTGAAATTTTCCCCAATGCTATTGATCACATACGCAGCTTTGAGCATAAATGTTAATATCACGCATATTATTTAGCGATAGTAACTAATAAAAATATTAATGCAGTTCAACGAAAACAGTAGTCTAAATAAAAAAATATTCATTCATTCCTCGCGCTCGTTTACGCTAGATAGAAGCTACTTCTTGGGTTTACAGGATACAAGTTAACACTCTGTTTAGACTTTCCGCAATGAAATTTATTCATAACGACCTAGGTCACGTATATATTGTCACTTACTGATTGGTTCAATAGCAGTAGATTATCAGAATGAGGCAAACGACCTTGGCGGAATAAATTAGTCAAATTAGTTTATTCTGAACATAGTTATCACCTGTGTAATTTTTTACCAGAAATGGCATTGAATTCCATCTTCACTGATTCTTAGTATGGCACGATCGTTTGATTGACAGGCGTTAACTCCACCTACATAATCTCTGCTGTCATCATATCCGAATTTGTGTTTTACCTTTTTGGATTTTTAAAACAATTGAACAAAATGAGTGAGAAGGTAAATTTTCATTCTTACTTGTATTTTGGGCATGCATTAAATCAAATGAATATAGGACATAATATTATAATACAATTATGATAAATCTATAGCCTATAGGTATGTATACACCAGTGGCGTCGTGCCTATTGGGGAAATAAAAATATTTTTATTGATATTATTACATGTAGGACAGAAGACCTGTCCGTCTGTATTAGTCATCACACGGTCTCCAGGAATTGTATAATTTGTCATTATCTGTGTTTAGTTTATTGCACTTTAAATAGTTTAGATGTCATTTGTTAAGGCATCGCTCAACAGCGGCCTCGCTTCGTACACTCTGTCATTTAGCCTCGATCCGGGAGTATGACGTCAACGTAACGGTTAATCTCCGCTCACGACGCCATTTAAAATTAAATCAGTCAACGAAATCCCGTCTACAGAGTTGATTTTGTGCTTGTTGTGTAAATAAAGATCTAATTTATAATTTCTATGACATCTGAAGCCTAAATAAAGACTTGCAATAATCAGATTTAACTCTTGCGTAATGTATGTTTAATTGATAACATTTCGAAATGTTGTCAAAATAAATTATTTACTGTTTTCCATAAGTTTCTGTTATATTGCTCTATCCACTCCAGTTATTGAATACCTCTAAAAGATTACTTTATGTAGACCTACATGTACAGGTAGCACAACATTTCAGTGCTGCGACTTTTTGGACTCGGCACAAACGACGGTTCGGACTCAGTTTGACGACGGTTCAGACTTACTTGATGAATAATAAAAAAAACTGTTGAAAATTAGTATGTATATATTAGTAAAGCTAATGAGGCTGATGACAGTTTATTAGGGCTGTACGATATTCTCGATATAGTCATTTATCGCGATATGGTATTTTCAGACCCAACTACGATATCATGTACCCAAAAATCGTCGATATAGTGGTTTATCAAATATCGCCAAAAACTTCAAATATCGAAAAAAATTATCATAAAAATAGATAATAAATACACTATACAGCAGTGGAAATCAGCCGACGGCAATAAACTATAATAAAACTAATGTTTTGAGAATCGTTAAATGTTGAAAACACTTGCGCAGTGACCGCAGCCGTTTTTCACTGCATCGTGTATGCGTTACTTGTAACTTTTACCTTGTTTTTAGTCGACAATAAATTGTCGTGTATGCGTTACTTGTAACTTTTACCTTGTTTTTAGTCGACAATAAATTGTCAGTTGTTACTACATGTAAAGCTTAGGCCTACTAAACGGCTGAAATTTCCCACTACCGCGGCTAATTACCAGGCTATAAATAGGTTGTCATATTTTTAAAAAAACAAGCATTTTTGGAAAACTCTGCGAAACGATCTATAGATAGATTACTGTCACCGTGAGGTCAGGAATACCGCAGCCAATGGAATGCTTGAATGGAAGATAGTCCGGATCATTTATTATTTGTTAAACTGTTTGAACTTACAATACAAGACTTGAACACCGCATCTAATTACTTCCGCTGCACGTGATATTTGAGAATTTTCTTACACAAGGTCACAAGCAGACGCTTTTTAAACATCAGCGGTTGTATTTAATTTTTACCCAAAAAGGATGTTGTTTGGTTCATTTTAATAAATCTATATAATAAAAAAGCAAAGTTTAAAGTGTATGAATAAAGCAATTCTTACCCACAATTCTTACTCACACTGTAGTCAGCTTTAATGCATTTATATTTTATTTATTTAATAGCAAAGTGACATTATTATTAAATATCGCGATATTTAGCTATATCGTTGAAAAAAAAATGCCAATATCGATAGCGTCCCTTTTGGCAATATCGTACAGCCCTACAGTTTATTAACAATAATAAAGAAATATGAAATTGTTATTTGTCTTTTATTTATTAATAACTGCTAGTAAAAGATTGAAAACAAAAACTAACAATCCAACATTGCTAGTTGACTTTTGTTTTATTTAATTAATCGGTGATTGTTGAGAACGTTAAAAAAATATTAACACTGCTAGCTGTCTTTTGTTTAATAGGCGACTACTTATTTTAATAGAGAATTCTTCTATTATTGTATTGTATGGTTTTATTTTCAGGTATTATATTTACAAGCTTTTGTTTTTATTATATTGTTGGGAAAACTCATGAGGAAGATATTTTTTGGTCAACTCAGAGCAGCAGAAATGGAGGTAAATTACTAGTTATAATATTAACAGTAGGACTTTTCCTTAGAGACTCATCCAGTAGTTAAAAAGCATTTGATGGCTGCTAATCTTGCTTCTTGAAATGAAAACTGAAAATAATTTCAAAAGTGCCCGTGACAGGTTGCAATATATATTAATAGTTCCATGCTAAATTACCATTATCTGCTTGAGGATGTACCAGATTGGTCGATTCTGTATATTAACCAATATAGTCTACAATCTACTTATTATCCTCTGTATTTTCTATCAGTGTTGTTGGATCAAAGCAGACAGACTTTTCTATGTTAAATTTGAATAATATGTCATGATAATCCCAATCTGATTAAAACACAGATCGTATTTCGTTTCGTTTTTTATAGTTCAAAATTTCGTTTGACTTCATTGTCTTTACTACACTAGGATCTGGAAGAGTTGTTATATAACCCGCATTCTGGTTTATGTAAGGAATTAGCCAATGAAATGGTCTGTTACAGCAAGTTCTTGGCGTACGGTGCACAGAATAACGAATTGGGGGTACCGCTCTAGAAAAATCAACACTGATTGATTAATCAAATGTCTGACAGCATAGTGTCAGACCTTCCTTTAGTGGAGGCCATCGAAAGTATAAAAAAACGAAACGAAATATAGTTCTGTATTTTAATCAGATTGCGTGATAATCAAGATTGAACCACTTGACCAAAAAATAGGCTTATTCTATAGGTTCTTTGTTTCTCCTTCACACAATCAAATGTAATGTTTGGACATTTTTTTCAGCATTTAATAGAGAAATCCTGGTATGCTGTTACTGAAACATGTCTGGCATTTACAGTATTTCGCGATGATTTTAGTCCCAGATTCGTGGCCATGTTTACGTTGTTATTATTTTTAAAATGTTTTCATTGGCTAGCAGAGGACAGAGTGGACTACGTATGTATTTATATTACTATGCACACCCAAAAAGTTATATTTAATAAACAGTTTTAACTGAGATTAAGCAATGTATCATGAAATAGACTATTTAAAACTTCTTCTTTTTTTTTTTTTAAATTGAATCAACTTCTGTATTAACAACATGCTCAACATGTACAAAAGTTGATTATTTTGTTTACGTTTTTGCTTTGTATTGTCTTTATATACCAAAAGAGGAGTTGAGTGGTCGAGTGTTTAAACGCATGTGTTTTAGATAATAAGGTCCATCATTGAGTCAAGTGCATGGTTTCGATCTCCATCTTGTACGTAACAAGGAGTAGGGTTGTCTACCCAATGTCATCAGTTTTCTCTGGATCCCCCTACTGCTAAAGACCACTTACCTCAAGCAAATTATTGAAATAAAATTGGAAGATGTTAGTCATAAAATGACATAATTTGTGTCAAGTTGAAATTTTGCTGTATATAGATTTTGCCAAGTTGGCGACTCGGACGACTTACATGTAGCTGCTGTGATTGTATGTTTCGATGACTGGTAATCTATATGTTAATCTTCATATTTATATATTTGTTTTATTTTTTGTTTAACAGATGGAGAGGAGTCCAGTCATATCATTTTTATTTCACACCCGAGTTTTGTGTAAGTATAGATTATTCTGTTAGTAATTTGGGAGGCTTCAGAAATGTCTCACAGTGACTTAAATCAAATCAATAAGAACCAAATTGTTTTTCTTCAAGCTCACTTTTGCAACAAGTCTTAAACTATAGTATGCTGTTTAGATGTAGGAATACAAGATCAGTGGGCAGTAAATTCTTATAACAAAATCACAAATTGGAAGTTGAACACAAACCATATGTTAGTCTGAAAATGGTGTATATAAATAAACACAGAGTTGCCAAGATGTTTAGTAAAACAGTTCGTCAGTGGCCATTTTATGTTTTTAATTATGTTTTCTTTCTTTTCAGCCCTATTAGTAGGTCTTGGTGCTGTAGATCTATATTTTATAAACCATGCTTACTACAGTACTTTATTACGTGGTGCTTCAGTGCAACTTGTCTTTGGCTTTGAGGTGAGTAAAGATTATTACACTAGCTTTATACGTCTTTCCTACAACACTATTTATAACAATGCTAACACTGTGAAGCTAACTATAATATGAGAGTCCAGTGAAAGTGTACAGACAATTGAATATGATAATAAAATTAAATTGACATCCTTCAGATCATGTCAGCTTTATTCACCGTTCCCCAACGTGTACACAGTACCTCAGTTTTTCCAAGAGAGCATGCTGAATAATCCTGAGGTACTTTCTCAGCCAACCCAGGACCTCCCTGGTTTGTGAGAAAGCGCCTTACTGAGTCAGAACAACTGATCAGTTTTGTGTAATAATTGTTTTTATCATATTCCAGTATGCCATTCTTCTAACAGTAGTATTGATGACATTTTTCAAATATCTTCTGCATTCTGTGGATCTACAGAGTGAAAACCCATGGGAAGGAAAAGCAGTTTATCTTTTATATACAGAATTATTTATGGGTAAGTGCGGCTAAGGACTAAGACTGAAATGAATTTGATACATGTATTTTTTATGATAAACTGGTTTTTCTTTTTTGTTCTAGTGTTGTAGAAAAAAAAATCTGTGTTTATTGATGATGAAAATATTTGATTGAATTGTTTTTGAGTTCTTTTCATGGTAAATTAAACATACATTATGCAATAGCTAAATCTGCCAATTGCAGGTATTTCTATAGGCCTGAAACAAACCTTAAAGATACATTATGTAAGATTTAGATAAAGAGCTAGCCATTCTTGCTATAATAGTTCGAAAATAGATAATGTGAAATGAATAATTTGAAAATTTCATTCAAATTACTCTATTGCGAGCAAAGATATTAGCCTTTGAAGGTTTGACAAGACGTGTGTAATAATTTTAACCGCCGTACTGGTTGTTTGAAGCTAAGTCTCGCTCCTCCATTTTTAGCTGAAATCAAAATATGGCCGAACTGTTCTAATCTATTTAATATCGGAGTAATCCGATGCCACCAAGAGTTGATTATGGCCTGGATAACTTAATTAATGTCTAATTAATAATGTAGAAAACATTTCAGGCCTAAAGAAAGACCTGCAATAGGCAGATTTAGCTCCAATCTGGTTAAAACACAGATCCTATTTCGTTTCGTTTTTATAGTTCAAAATTTCGTTTTACTTGTCTTTACTACACTTGGATCTGGAAGACTTGTTATTTAACTCAGGTTCTGCTTGAAATGAGGGGTCAGCCTAGAAAATGGACTGTCGAATCGAGTGTTTGTCCTTTTTTGCCCGGAACTGTGGGTAATCCACTAGTAACATCAATGCTGATTGGTTAATCAAATGTCTGACGTCATAGGCCAAAAGTCGGTCTTTTGACCCCTGACGTGACCTATCGCTATAACTTGTCAGATCTTCATGTAGTGTAGGCCATCGAAAGTAAAAGTATGGTTATAATTATTGGTGATACTGCATGCGTTATTTATACCTACATGGGTAATATAGGTGATGTTTTATTTGTATTGACATGGTCAGTAATAGTGGTAAAGTAGGGGTGATACTGTATGTGGGTTTTTATTAATTAACATGGTTAATATGGGTAATATTGCATGTGTTATTTATATTTACAGGGTTAATAAGAGTGATATTATATGTGGTGTTTATGTTTATTATGATCAAAGTTCACACCTTCCCTCTGTTTGCTGTTAGACCAATGTATTTAGCTATGAGGTATGTTTATATTATCAATATTTTGAAAACAATTTGTAATACTGATATGAATCATTTTGTTGATATAGGCTTACACCCTTTAATAACCCTAGATGTTGGTCTTGGTAGGCTGTAAACTTAAAACCTTCTGCTAATGTCAAATCTACAATTATTTGGGATATTAAATAAATGTGCAAATTACATATGTAGACTTCATACCAGCTTACTTTTATTTTCTTTGATTTATATTTGACTTAATTTATTGTAATTTCCTCAGTTATGTTAACAGTTATGTTAGATTGTCTTAATGATTTTGTTTTATTTTTAGGGCTTTTAAGAAAGCATTACATGATGTAATAATGTCAAGACGTGCCATCAGAAATATGAATACATTGTAAGTACTAATAAATAGTTAGTGGATCAATTTGAGAAGATAAATCTATTATTGGATATCACTGATATGATACAACTTAATACATGTAGCTACTACTGATTAATGATTGATTGAAACAGATCTTTTTCTATTTGCTGAGATTATGAGTGTCTCAAATGAGACGATAAAAGTGATCTTACTTTGATCTTATTTGCCAGTCCTGACTGGCAGTGAAATTGACTGAAATTTGTGACAGCCAGACAATTTTCTAGCTGTAACAGTGTAAAACAACATAAATAGAGTTATTATTTTAATAGTAATACACCTACATTGGAATTTGGTTGCATATTGTTGTAACTCATGTCTGTCTGTCATACTATTTCTTTGCCATCTTTGAAATTACTGTAATATTTCTATTTAAGATATCCTGATGCGACGGCTGAAGATTTAGCGAGTAGCGATAATGTTTGTATTATCTGTCGGGAAGAGATGGACACCAATTGCAAAAAACTTCCATGTAATCATATCTTCCATACATCATGTCTCCGAACGTGGTTCCAACGTCAACAAACATGTCCGACCTGTAGAATGGATGTTTTACGTCTTCCCCGACCACAACCACCTACTCCACCACCTGCTCAACCTGCTCAACCACCTATGCCACCAAACAGTAAGCTCAAAATTCAGTTAATTCATTTCCACAAAAAAAAAAGATTTATTCATATCAGATTTTATCGCCCCCAAAGAAATATCTTATTCTTTTATTTATGCTGCATTGGTGTTTTTTGAATGCTTATAATTTTGAGAACAATTTATTGGTCTGGAAAATTCTTTGGACAGAGTACTTATTCAAGGCAAGAGATAACTGACTTTAAGACATGGATGGAATTAAGAATAAGATTATATTTTTTTATATTTCAGTGTTTCAAGGTTTTCAATATGGCTGGCTGCCAAATCAACAACCACAAACAGGTAAGAATTTTAATTTTACTTTAATAAAAAGGTAAGGCGCTGGCTCGCTAGCCTGGAGGTCGGGTGTTCGATCCCTGCATTGGCCGAGAAAGTTCATCCAGATTTTCCGGCGTGGTTCCCCCTTGTCAGTGATGCAGGACGGAGGGCCTGACAAGGACAGCTGTCTAGTCCTTCGGATGAGACGAAAAAACGAGGTCCCGTGTATATATTGGAATGCACGTAAAAGATCCCCTGGCAGTTGGAATTCGATATAAGAGTAGGCGATAGTTGGAATTCGATATAAGAGTAGGCGATAGTGCCGCTGCCCGGGCAAAATTTCCCTCATAGCACACTGTATGGCGTATGCCCGTCTTCATTAGCCCAGGTTAGGAGCAGAACAGTAGGACGTTAAACCCCATTTCATTTCATTTCTTTAATAAAAAGATTTTAATAAATAGCCACTTAAATTTAACAGACTCAATCAACTGGCATTGGTCAACTAATGGTCAGTCTGTTGCATGCAGAACAAGAGGCTAAGCTTAAGTGCAATAATGAAATGGGATTTAATGTCCTACTGTTTAGCTCCGACTGGGCTAATGAAGACAGACTTATGCCACACAACGTGCCATGAGGGAAATTTTGCCTGGATAGCAGTACTGCGGTCTACCGATATTTTGAATTCCAACTGTTAGGGGTTCTTGTACGTGAATGTGTATACAGGATCTTGTTTTTTGTCCCATCCAAATGACTATACATTGTCCCTTCCCTTCGTCTTGCACCACTGACAAGGGGAACCATGCCAGAAAACAATGTTATGGTTTACAATAGATTGAGGTCTTGTTACATTTTGTTTGTTTCAGAAGTTCAACCTGGACCGGGTTCATCAACAGCTTCTTCTACAGCACCAACAACATCTACTACAACCACACCTTTATCATCTCCTCCTTCACCACCATTCTTACCTCCCATGATGCCACCTTCACCATTCATGCCATTTAGTAAGTTTGGTTTTACTCGTTGGCAAGTAAATGATATCTCTAGTCAAGTCCAATCCTAAGGATATATATGGTCAAGAAATTGCAACAGAATTCTACATATAAATTTCAAACAATTTTTTTCATTTATCAAATAAATCTATGCAATTGCTTTTGAAATATTTGGATAAAAATCTTTTGGATGCTATTTGTATGTCCTATCTATCTATAAAATGTATATGTTTATTACAGTGTATCCCTAGCATTATGTCCTGTCTATATATATAAAATGTACATGCTTATTACAGTGTATCCACAGCCACCTAGCAGTATGTCTGGTCTATCTATAGATGAATTACATACTATGGAAGGAGAAGAGAGAAGTAATATAGAGGCTAGAATACAGTGGTTACGTGATATACAGTCATTATTAGATGGTGCTATGTTATTAATACATCAATATAATACAGTAGCTACACAGTGCAGGTATGTTAATGTTAATTTCTGCTTAGTCTCTAAAAGGCATATATAAAGTAGTTAAAAAATATTAATGTATCATCTAGATATTGTTGAATTCATATTGTATAAATAGAATTGAAGCGATTGGTTCAGGGAGATAGCTATAGGCTCTTCAATTCATGCATCTAGGTGAAGGGGATTGTCTGTTAATACACAATGAAAATGTATGGTCATTAGCAAATCACAAAGGAAGAAAATTGTAAAGGCTAGTGCTAGGTCAGGGCAGTACTGTAATGATTTTCAATATATTTGTATTGTAAATATTGTAAATTTCAAACTTGCTTTGCTGAATCATCTTTCAAGTCATATTTTGTCCTTTAAATCTTGTGAATGCTATACAGGAAAAAGTCATTGATCAAATTGTTGAATTGGGCTTATCAAACAAACTTTATTTCCCTGTTTATGTTCAAATTTATGCAATGTTATCACTTCATCAATCAGAAAACTTTGCATTGATTGCTAAAACTATTATACAAATGGTGCTGTCATGGCACAGATTTAAATTTAGCCAGGCTGTATGGGTAGATTATAGGTTGAGTTAGTTTGTACTCGTAATTAAGAGCGATAACTCCCAATAAATTCAAATTCAAATCAAATGATTTTGTATATATATATATTTGATGATGGGAGATATTTCTGTTTTTATACGCCCACATTTTCATGTGGATGTATATTGTCGTCGCCCCTGTCCGTCCACAATTGTTTGTGAACAGTCTACAGGTCACAATTTTTATCCGATTTCAATGAAACTTGAAATATAGGTTTATCACCCTAAGATCTCGGTTCCTTTCGATATTGGCATCTATCAGACCGTAACTTCATGGATTATGGCCCCTGATTGCACGAAAAATCACGTTTTTGGCTTGTGAACACTGTAGAGGTCACAATTTTTATCCGATTTTGTTGAAACTTGAAATGTAAGTTTATAACCCAAAGATCTTGGTTCCTTTCGATATTCGCGCATATCGGACCATAACTTCCTGAATTATGGCCCCTGATTGTACGTAAAAACGCGTTTTTTGGCTTGTGGACCCTATAGAGGTCATAATTTTTATCCAATTTGAAAAAAACGTATTATTATATCCCCGTTAAACCCTAAGGATGACTGAGTTCGAATTTCGTGAAAATTGGCCCAAAACTGACAGACAAAATGGCCGCCGTTCGTTCTCAAATAGCGTAAAAATATGGTATATCAAGGTTGTGGACCGTATAGAGGTCACAATTTTTATCCGATTTTGTTGAAACTTGAAATGTAAGTTTATAACCCAAAGATCTTGGTTCCTTTCGATATTCGCGCGTATCGGACCGTAACTTCCTGAATTATAGCCCCCTGATTGTACGAAAAATCACGTTTTTAGCTTGTGGACCCTATAGAGGTCATAAATTTTATCCGATTTAAAAAAAAGTATTATTATATCACCGTTACACCCTAAGGACGACTGAGTTCGAATTTCGTGAAAATTGGCCCAAAACTGACTGATAAAATGGCCGCCCCTTGTTCTCAAATAGCGTAAAAATATGGTATATCCGATTTTGTTGAAACTTGAAATGTAAGTTTATAACTCAAAGATCTTGGTTCCTTTCAATATTTGCGCATATCGAATTGTAATTTCCTGAATTATGGCCCTTGATTGTAGGAAAAATCACTTTCGTTTAGATGGTTTTCTATCCATCCCTCGAAAATGTGGGCGTATACTGCCTGGCAGCCGCTGGTTCTGTATATATGACATATTTAGTGTTTATATTTTTTTTTTAGTATGCCTGGTGTGAGAATACCTAATCCTAGTAACACGTCCCATAGTAATAATAATACATCACAACAAACTGATACTAAAAATACAGCTGATGTAACATTAAACAGCGGGTCATTAGGAGGTGCTCGACCTAAAACAACATCTTTATCTAATAATACTAAAGAATCTTCTAGTCCAGTTAAAACAGAAAATTTAGGTACAGTATACATTTTATTTCCTTGATTTTCTATATAGTGGAAGGTAGCTGTCCCAGATTTCTCTCGTTAAACTACTTAGTTTTCTTTCACTTCCTTATTCATTTGTAATCATTGCGGCCTTAACTCTTCCAGATGTTGAAATCATTTGTTGATATATGGTGATGTCAGACAAACGTCGAATAGGAGATTATGTGTACATTGTTATGGTTCTGTGACTGTACAATACTGTTTAAATACAGTTATGTCTTGGAATCAACGTTGTTAGGCAGACAAACATTGATAAACATTATTGCTGACTAATCCTTGAGTCGCAGTTAGTGATTTAGCACATCAATCTGATTCAAACACAGGAACTATTTCATTTTTTTTATGACGTTCAAATTTTCGTTTTACTTGTCTTCACTACACAAGGATCTGGAAGTGTTAAATAAGCTGCGTTCTTGTTGATGTGAGGGACTAGCCAATCAAATGATCTGTTGGCTCGAGTTCTTAGGCTGTGGTGCATGGAACTGTGGGTAGACATTAGCAGCGATAGCAGACAAATCGAAGCAAAAGTTGTATTTCCAAATACCCAATGAAAACACTGATTGGGTAATCAAATGACTGAAGCCATTGACGTGATCTCCTGGAGGACATTGAAAATATAAAAATACAAAACAATCTGTGTTTTAATCAGACTGTTTAACAATAAGAATCGTTAGTTATAGGCCAATAGGGTCTACAGGTACATGAACCAGTTGCGTTATCTATGCTCAGCTGAAGTACTATGGTCTTTACGACGCACATCACTCAACGCCAAACATCCCAAAGCAATGGGTTATAAAATTTATATTAATATATATTAATCCTTTTTTTTGTAGGTGATTTATCAAATTTAGGTGCAACAGGTTTTACTGCACCTAAGGAAGAAAAAATTCCTGAGTGGCATGATCCCAGGAAAGAGGAAGAGGAAGAAGATTTACATGAAGTCAGAAAAAGACGTTTACAGAAATTTTCTTCCACAGAGAAGACAAGAGCAGATAATATAGATCTAGACTGATAAATTACTAAAAGTTATTATGTGCGTAAAACGGCAACCAAATAGTTTTTGTGAGATTATCATACTGTTATTATGGACTAAGATATGTGAAGTATAAACTTATGCAAAGTTATTACATAAATTAATCAATGAAATATATGTGACCAAAGGTAATATTATATACAGTGATAAGTGGTTGACTCTTGTTTGTTGAATGAATTAATGTATATTAAATAGTCAATTTGGCACCTTATACATATACCATCTGATCTGAAGGACATTAATTAATTGTATCAAGAATATAGACATGAAATATATATTCATTGATACTGTAAAAAAAAAAAAGTTTTATTTTGGAAGGTAACATAAGGTTATTATAAAATATAATAATGTGTTTTCTATAAACTTATTTGCATCTGGGCAGGCATTCTGGGGTTATGCCTTATAAAATTGATTTCTTCTGCAAATGCAGATTTAACACTAGTCATAATATCTGGAATAATTGTCTTTACACTGGTACTGCCATCACAACTAAATTCTATTTGATTGATTTTGATGAATAATACATTTTATTAGTGATGGATCTATTTGCTATTGGAATAACTTACTGTAGTGAAACTCTAACCTTCATAGATTAAACCAAGGTTAAAGATATAGGAAACTTCTGTTTCAACAGAATAAAACTAGATTTATCAAATATCAAACCAATTCAACACTTTATTTTCGCTTATGGTGATATGAAGGTTGGGTGTTATTCACCATTTGTTTGGTATCATTATTGACAAACTATGTCAAAACTGGAGCAAATTTTCTTTTTATTTACCCTACATGTGGGTGATGGTACTATGAGGTTTAAATCTTAAAGTGAAAAAAAAAAATTTAAAGCTTGAAAATTTTATTTGTTAACAATTGTCCTGCCACGGTTAAAGATTGGGAGTCGAAAACATTTTTTTACTAAGTTTAATTTTTACTTAAATTTCCAATTATTCCTATGCATAAAATTTTGTAAATTTAAAAATTCTATGCTATTATGTCAGTAGATCTGTATTTGTATCATTTTGGATGTGGTTGAAATTTAAGTGGAAACCCTGAGTATAAAAATGTTTTGCCGAAAATTAAGATGGTTTGAAGATAATATAAAAATGTGTTTGTTAAAGATTGTAATATATATTATATATTGTACATAGTAAATGATGTGTAGATTGGTGCATTTTGGGAACCCATCATCAGTCACTGACACCTTAATTCTTTGCAACATAATGTGAAATAAGCTTTGGTATAGAACTCTATATCCAATAAAAGGGCTGTTTTTAGAGTTTTTAGTTTAAGAGTTGATAGAATTGAATGTCATCACTAGACTCTTTTGTATATCTAAATGCTTTACTAGTCAATTTGGAAAAAGGTTGTTGGTAGTAGATGATAGGTTTCTATGAATGAGAATGATAAATCTATTTTATCTATAATGACATCATCTTTTTATCATTTTGTCTGTTTATTTATAATAAAAAAACCAGACAGACAACGAAACCTCTTGTTTTTCATTCCTGTAGAATATAAAAAACGGATAGCATGTTATTTAGAATGTTAAACATCACATTGCCCAATCACTGTTGTTCAGGTTGAACAATCACTGCATATATAGGTCTATTTTCTTCCAATTCACTTACCACTCTTATCTGGTCTGCAAGCTGAGCTGTCATTTCGGGGACGGTTCTCTATAGCCAACACCAATAATGGGGAGATATGTTTTTTGGAGGGGGAAAAAATCTGTTTCTTCCGGCACAGGTGGGCAAGAGATTTTTATGTCATAGATAGTTCTGGGAAATTGCAACCTTCCTGTTGAAGTGCCTCATAATCGTCTGAAAATCAGCATATAAAACGAAAAATATGCCCCAATAAATAATCCCACGAATTTTTGATTGAGAATTTTTGATTGAGAACTTCGGAAGAATTCTATGGCCCTGTGAACAACTCCATGAATTGTAGACCTTACTGTTTGTTGTCAGTATAGTGCAAGGAGACGTTAAACTACCATCATCTACCATTGAAGAGTACACTGTAACAAAAATTTCCGTAAAAAATTCCGGAAACAAAAATTACCAGGAAAATTTATCCGTATTTGTTTTTCCTGTAATTTACAGAAATTCCTTCAATTAACATAAATTCCATTTTCAAATACAGAAAAAAAAAATCCTGGTAAATTTTGTTTCCTGACCATGAAGGTGATAAAAATTTCATTGAATTAACCATTGACTTTATACGCGTGCGTGAAATAGCTTTATTTAACGTCCGCTTCCACCGAAGTGATATCGCAAATAATTTTTAAACGTAACCTCTTTTCGCTATTATAAGAATCGAGAGCAAGGTATCACAAACCGCTACTCGTCAGTGGTTGGAGGCTTTCAGATGTAAGTTTGCGGTATTATCAATTCGCAGGTATGCAGACTCTGCCATAGAGACAAACCGACTTACATTGGCCAACCGGTTGTACTATCCGGACTTTAGCGTGCTTGATTACCAGATATTACAACCTTAGCACCCGCAGCATTAAAACATACTTTTACATATTTATGAAAATACTTACAATCTGATTACCGTATGATGAATAACAATACACTTTATAGATCTTATAAATAATGGAAATTAGATATACATGTCAATTGATATACCAAACGTTACAAAATATGATTCTTCATATTATGGTTAATAAATTGAAATGAATACTATAACATGATGATTATTAGGAATGATTATATATGTATACGATTACTTATCGTTGCACCGTTTATCCCGTAAAACAACAGAATTAAGTCCATTACAGAACGGAATAAAACATTTTATCCCTAAATTTCACGGAACTTCCTTGTCATTCCACCGTTTATTCCGTAAAATAACAGAATTAAGTCCGTTATAGAAGGGAATAAAACATTTTATCCCTAAATTTCACGGAAATTTCCTGTTTAATACTGAATATTCCACAGAAATACATAAAACACGTAATTTGAAGAAATAATTCAGACAATTAACACAATTTCTCCAAAAAATCCATCGATTAACAGAAAAAAGGTGTTAAATTACGGAATTCGGCCACATAAAAAATGGATATTTTTTACAGTGTATAGTCAAAATAATTTTGATTACAAGGGCATGATCGGTCAATGGACACATATATGTAGCACACATCCATGTACCATATAAGAAAATGTTTTTCATTTCAATTTTTTTTTATAAACCTGAATTATTTATTACATTATTTTTGCACATTTCAAAAATAGGAAGATAATTTTCATTTTCGTTTTTATGCTCCAGCTTTTCGTTTACATATCAATAATATCCGGCTTCTTGCTTCTCATCTGAAGAATACAATCGTGACATTCTGTATGGCAAAATTGAAACTTTCCACAAAAAAATACTCTTCAAAAAAAGAAGGAAGTATTCAGAAACAATACAAAACTGCAGAAATGAACATAAGCATTTCATATGGGCGGCTTATCTGAAGGCCCCATTTTACTCGCAAAGGGATACACCGTCAAAAGTGAAAATGGAAGTTTTTGATTTTTGTCTTAATAATGAGTAATTGCTCCACCAATCCTCAGACATTCAGCAATTCGTCGTGGCATGCTCATAATCAACCGTCCAATCACGATTTGGGGCAATCTGACCCACTCCTCTTGCAGTGCCACGGCCAATTCTTGCAGGGTTGACGTTCACGTCGACGAACACGTCTCCCGATTAAATTGAACGTAACACACTAAAGCAGAGATACGCTAAACAGTAAATTTTATGCAAGAACCGATAGGAAAGCAAACATGGATAGATAAACCATCACGCGGCAGTTTTCATCAACCCCTCCTTGAAGTGTCAAATTTGACAATGAACCCCTCCCACATGTATGGCGCTATTGCGTGTCACATGTGCAGCTCAGTGGTTCTGTTGGAGCGATAAGTTCTTCGTCTGTGAACATGCTCTCAAAGCATGTCAAGTGTCCATAACTATTTATCATATCACAACCTACATAGGTATTTGCATTTCAATATCCCCTATTTTTTTTAAGAGTATAGTAGGGATAAAAAAACCTATTATAAAGTCATCGAGCGACCGCGCTCGACTAGAAGCCTTTAAAATATTGTGACGATGTCGCTGACGATAAACCCATGTTCTGGTGAATAATCATGATATTTATCTCGTTCTCATACCAGGTCCTACTAAAAAAAATAATTTCAAAAGCACCCTGCGATTTACGAACACATTTTCCATGAACTAAAATATTAACATAGTTGGTATTTTAAAGAAGGAAACAGACTTATAATGTTATAATTGATCATTGACATGTTTTGATTCTTGTCTGTGATATCCTAAATTGACGAAACCAACAAATTACTTCTTCCACATCCAATATGTTCTAATGAGTTTTGAAATTATCTTTCTAATAATTATGACATTATTATGGTAGTTCTTATTTATGTAAGATTTCAGAAACTAAAAGTGCTCAAAAACGTGGCGTAAAGCCCAAGACTGGCCGATGCTAAGTAATCTTTGAAAGGGATACCCCACTTCCTCTACCAGGGGTTTTAGGCTTCCTGAAATCGTAGGTCCATCTGCCCCTCCCACCCGCTGTGTTCTTATGAGAAGATAGTAGCTAATTAGAATCGATATTAGAAGAACGAACCTTTTGACTTTGGTTTTTTGGGGATTCCTCTTCCAAAACTGCAACTTCTTGTAAATAAAAATGATTGTCATATCATGAACATGTAGGCTACCCTATATCCCCTAACTAAAGAGACTAACCAGTTGTGAAGCGTCGTATTCCATGGCAAACCCTCTCTTAGCAGCACCACCCCCGTTCATGTATAAATTTGACGTCATTGTATTGTTTATAATTTGAATCCTCTTCGGTGTTAATTATATAATGTTTCATAGCATATTACGCTCCAACGTTCATAAAGCCGTTTCTCAATATTAGACAACAATCGTCGAGACATTGACTTTTATGGAGTTTCTTTTATGAACAACCTTACTTTTCCATTAAAATATTTGATATTCATAAAACATGGGCTATTTTTGTCAAATTTCAACTTCTAAATGTCATTCAAAACTTGGTGTAATAATGTTTTACATTTTATGATGAATTTAAGGCGTAATTAGTGCTGAATTGTTTTCCTTCAATAAAAAGAAAAGTTGTCACAAGACTATAACCTAATACGTGTACATTAGACATGTACTTTTAAAATTAGGATCTGGAATAGCCAAATTATGGCCCTTGTTACCAAAATATGTTCACACCAAGACTCCATACTAAAGTACATTAGCTTACCGATAAAAGATGAGAGCCAAGACTTCGTTTAGTTGTTTTCGAGTCTTCTTGAAATGTTTCTGATATGTTTGCGTCAGTTTGCTGGAAACTTTGTATCCTGACATCGTATTTTGCAATGGCTAGGTTCAAGGCTTCATTTCTTTTCTCGAAATATAACTTAAAGGAATCGTCGGCGCCTATTGTGCGTTTCAGCATCGACTGTCGACATTTGTCTAGTTCCGCGCTTGATTTATTTAAATATTCCATAAGTGGATTTTTCAACCCTGGTTTATCGCCGACATCATCGGTGCAACTGCTTCCACTAGCCGCTATACATTTTGTCCCTTTCTTTGTGTCTTTCAATACCGGAGTTTCCAGTTCACGTCGCCTTCTTATAGAAATATGTTTATGAATTTTTCCAGAAATATCTATGATTTGATCTTGAGCATCATCGGTCGTGAAATTTTCTCCTAAAGCACTTAAAATAACATTTTCTTTCCAAGCATTAGTTGTGGAATTTTCTTTCAAGGCATTGGTCGTACTTTCTTTGGACTCTTCAGAACATATGTTTTTTGAATTTTTCACGTTTATCTCTGTAAAATCGCCATTACAGGTCATGGTATTTTCTCTCAAAGAATTGGTTGCTGTACTTTCTTCAGACCTGTCAGAGCACATGGTTTTTGGATTTTCCATTTCATTCTCTGCATAATCGCCATGACCTGAAATTTTACAGTACAGATCCGTTGATGGCGATTGTGTTTCAGTAACTTGTATTCCATCACAATATCCACCTGTTGCCTGTTTATTGACTTCTCTGTTTTTTAACTTTCTTTTTACCGAGGACTTCATTTTTCAGTGTTCGGTGAAGAAATCTGAATAAATTTGCCTTTCTTAGAAGAAAAACGATGTGCCACCTCAAGATATTATCAGTAAAGTTATAATCCTATTGTGACGTAATTCTATAGTTTCACGTTGCAGAGAGTTATTACGTTTATAATAATCATGCACAATCAGTATTGAACAGTTCATGTAGTGGTCAAAATATAATGGACGAATTCGGCAAAATCGAGTAACGGCAAGTGGACTTGCCACGAAAAAATTGTCGTCCTTTTTAAGACGTAAAGGCGTTGGCTCGCTAACCTGGAGGTCTCGTGTTCGATCCCTACTTTGGCCGAAAAAGTTCATCCGGGATTTTCCGCGTGCCCCCACCCCCGGACAAGGGACAACGTATAGTCGCTCGGATGGGACGAAAACCCGAGGTCCCATGTTCCTATTGGCGTGTACGTAAAAGGTCACTTGGCAGTTGGAATTCAATATAAAAGTAAGCCATAGCGCCGTTGTCGGAACAAAATTTCCCTCATAGCACACTGTATAGCGTATGCCAATCTTCTTTACCCCAATTAGAGCAGAAAAGAAGGACGCTAAACCCCATTTCATTCATTTCGTTTAAATTCCGTAGACAAACATGAAATGAAATAAGGTTTAACATCCTACTGTCCTGCTCGTACTGGGCAAATGAAGACGGGCATGCGCCATACAGTGTGCTATGAGGGAAATGTTTCCCGGGAATTGGAACCATGGCGCCCTCTTTAATCGAATTTCAACTGCCATGGGATCTTTTACGTGCACGCCAATGTATACCCGGGTCCTCGTCCCATCCGAATGACTAGACAGCTGTCCTTGTCAGGCCCTCCGTTCTGCACCACTGACAAGGGGAAACCACGCCGTAAAATCCCGATGAACTTTCTCGGCCAGTGAAGGTATCACACACGCGACCTTCGGGCTAGCGAGACAACATCTTACCCACTTAACCTCTGTGGCTACGTCGAGCAAACAACACTCGGCGCACAATTTACTGAATTCTCGTCATAGACGTTTCATCTCAGATGGTTTGTCGTGCACGTTAATTCTATGATGGTTTGACGGTAATGTATTGTCTGTGAGTTTCGCACAACCGACAAATCGTTGGAAACAATCTGTCAGGATGTATAAATCTTGGAAGGGCGATCTTTGGTGTGTGTGCAGTGATTTGGTCATAAAGAGTTTCCAATTGAACACTTCATGTTTCGGGGTTTTGTTTCCCCACTGACCATCTCAATGTAATAATATTCTCTCATTTACGAAGGGCGTTGGGATGCAATTGTTTTGACTTTAAATACCGGAATCCCCTTTGGAAACAGTAAAACGAAAGAACAGATTTATATTTCATCATAAAATATGAAGACTACGGTCTATTTTGCCGTAGTATATTGACGTATACAATCATATGTAAGTCTCACAACTCTCATTTAGCTACAAAGACAAGCCATAAACTGGTATCACAAATTCATTAATCATATCTACTAACTCGTAAATAATTCATTAATAGCATTAACAAAAGTTACGTGTTTAATAAATAAAATATTTACAACGGTCATAAATTATTTTACAGTGAAATATACTGGAAAAGGTGGTATATACATTTGTTTCCTTCTATTTGACAAACAAAACTGCTTGAATACAACAAAAATGTGGACATTGTCATAAATCCTGCAACAGGGAATAATAAGAACCTTAACGTCGGTTTCGACCGCTCCATCCCAGATAATAATGAACACACCATACTAGAAAAAATCATCATTATTAATCTCTAACTTCTTCACAAAACACAAACTTTTCGTCCTCAATGTCTAATCACACCAAACTCTGCTTGAATACAACAAAAATGTGGACATTGTCATAAATCCTGCAACAGGGAATAATAAGAACCTTAACGTCGGTTTCGACCGCTCCATCCCAGATAATAATGAACACACCATACTAGAAAAAATCATCATTATTAATCTCTAACTTCTTCACAAAACACAAACTTTTCGTCCTCAATGTCTAATCACACCAAACTCTTTAAACTCTAATTTATCTATAGTTCTCTCATTTTTAAAAACACAATTTTTAATGACTGATTTTGGACTTCCCTTTGTCTTTAACCAATTTTTCCTGAAACACAATTTAAAAATAAAAAAACAACACAATCAAATAAAATACTATAACCATTTTGACCATTACATTCACCTAAATATGGAGATTATCTTCTACTTTCAATTAACTATATGGGGATTATCCCTTCGTTACTTGTAATATACTACCATACATCGTAAACTTCAAATTGGTCAGATAGGGGGTGTGGGTGGAGGAGTAGCCCACGTGTGCACTATAATATAGATCATAAGATTTTTGTCATTGAGGTTATCTCGCCCCTAAAAATCGTCATCATAAATGGGTACAATCAGTTTTCAAATCGACGATGTTAATGCAACTTTTTACAATCGCCAGATTGGGGTGCACTTGGTTCTAGAGAATACGCCATTGTCGTTTCCATGTTCTACGTCAATACGTCTTGCAGAACAGTGCTTCTTTAAATGCATAGTGAACTACCTGGTAGGCCGGTCGGATCTGGGGGACTGGGGGAGGGGGCAAATATGTGGGGTTTCTTTGTTTAAATTTTTTCCGGGATCCCATTTTGACTCATAACGCTCCCCCCTCTACAAATTATATGAAGTTCGTACCGACGGGCCTGCCAAGTCGATAGCGCCATTATCAATGTGTGAAAACGGGCGTTAAACCACTTGTATTATGGTAGCAGTCCCTCTGTAGTCTCGACTACCGCATCGAACCCCAGGTATAGAAGTTGCATTCATAGATTTACACTCGAGGTCTTTTCTCTATCGGATTACGGAAGAATGTTGATTTGAAATTACAGCAATGTTACTTACATAATTTGTATTTTATCTTCAGGTCCCTGTATCACGCCAACCACTGTTTTGTTTGGAGTATTTTTAACCCAACCAACTAACCCATGACCGACAGCTGTCTTTTTAGTGTACTGAATTACAAAATAATATTTTATAGAAAGGGAATTATTACGTAAATTACCGGAAACATTTTTAAAGATAGGTTGCCAGGCAACGAAACATACGCCCACAGCAGCTAAATCGTTCTAGCAGTCAACAAGAGTTGTCGCATATTTTTGACTTATAACGGTAATAAAACATTTATAATACACTAAAATCTGATTAAGAGTAACGAAAATCATGAGAATTTGTTTGGCCCATGCTAACGTTTAGTATACAAAACATTTAATAGCAGTTCAAGTTAAGTTATCAAAAATCATTGAAAATCAATATACCTGTTGGTCTCAAGACCTTAAACTCTGTGTATCAATCTAATGTCAATCGAAACGATTATATATAGGCGTAAACACTGTGTATAAATATAAAATCAATTAGATGATAACTATAGTCTCTAAAACATCCACAAGATTTTTCAAAGTGATAAAGGGCCATAACTCTGGTAGTACTTATCGGAAATCGTTGCAAATCAATAGGATTCTTCGTCTGATGACCTTAAACACTGAGTATAAATTAAAAGTCAATGGATACTAACGCTAGCCTCTAGAGTGGTCGCAAGATTTTTTAATGTGACCAAGGGCCTTAATGATAATTATCGGAAATCGTTGAAAATCAATAGACCTCTTTATCTGATGCCCTTAAACACTGTGTATAAATTTAAAGTCGATCATTAACTTTAGCCTCTAGAGCGTCCACAAGATTTTTCAAAGTGATCAAGGGCCATAACTCTGGCCATAACTATCGGAAATCATTGAGAATCAATAGGATTCTGCATCTTATGAACTTAAACACTGTATAAATTCAGAAGCAATTGTAGACGCCGGAAGGACGGACGGACGGGGTCGACGACAATAGGCTATACGACCACATTTCAATGTGGGCGTATAAAAGCGAATTTTTATCCTAAAAGAAGCCGCCCGAAAAAGTTCTTCTGGATTTTCCAACCTGGTTTCTCTTTGTCCATGGCGCAGACGGACGGAAAAACCGAGGTCCATCCGTGTATTTAATACCACTGCACGACCTAGGACTATGTCCGGTTGATACAGAAATGTAGGACATTAAGCCAATTCCAATTCATTCAGAAACTTTGAAAGGATTACATTCTGTACAGAGCAACCATGATGAAACATGCTCAGTCGAAATTAGACTACATCTAGGATCTTGGCCACGTACCTTTCTGAAAAACACACCTGAAAAGATAAAAAAAAAACCAGTTTACTTTACACTGCAATCAATGGGTAGAAAGGCGCTTTATCTTCGAGACCATTATCAGCACAATCGTGAAATTGTAAAAATCGACAAGGTATAAAATCCGTATAGCATGGTTTCCTTTGTCAGTTGTGCAGGACAGGGGACTCGTCGTATGGTACGAAAGCAAATGAAATGAAATGGGGTTTAACGTTCTACTGTTCTGCTCCGACTGGGTTAATGAAGACGACTATACGCGGGCAGTGGCACTATGACATACTCTTATAACGAATTCCAACTAACAGGGTTCTTTTACTTGCATACCAATGTGTACACGGGACCTCGGTTTTTCGCACAATCCGAACGACTAGACAGCTGTCCTAAATATTAGGCCCTCCGTCCTGCACCACTGACACGGGGAAACCACGTCGGAAAATCCCGATGAACTTTCTCGGCCAATGCACGGATCGAACACGCGACCTCCAGGCTGGCGAGCCAGCGTCTTACCCACTTTTCCAACGTGACTCGTGGTACGAAAACACGAGGTCCTGTTGGTGTAAACGTAAAAGAACCCTTCATAAGTTCATAGATGGAATTCAATAGCACAATGTATGGATAATGCCTTTCTTAAAGGAGCTAAATCGCTAATTGGGACCTAGAAATTGACAGAAGTGGGTCGCAACTCATAGAATACTGTAATATGAATGTATATAAACTGATTTACATTCAATTGTTTCCGTTTTTACTCTAATTTCAAATCAGTTATGTTCCGCGAAATAAGCCAGCAGTCTCAATCGAATGCAAATTTCTAGCGTCTGGTTATTCCAGTCTACATACGCCGTTTGGTTTGGTGCAATATGTCTAGCCTCGTTCCTCGAGTCTCTTGCTAGTACTGGGGCTGAAACGCGTTATGGTACACGATTTTTGTACCCGGTTAGATCACAGCATCAATGTTGATTTAAATTGACAAATAATTCGTGTTTTCAATGTTGAAGATTTTGGATGACATTGAGTTAGAGACTTAGCTACTTTAATTAACTATCCCGGTTGATAGGCTTTTAAACTCCATTTCATACACTATATTTCCTCTGACGTCAGAGGGGCTGTTTCAGACGAATTATTTGCCCATGAACATGAAAGACTCTTAGCATTCCAGCAAAGTGCCACCGAGTAATGCTGGGCTGTGTGCAGGGGAACCATGAGTAATGAGTATGCGATGTGTGGAACAATATAGAGTCGATCTGTAGCATATCTGACACACGTACGGTAGATGTTTGACACTGGGGCGCAAAAACTCATGAGGGCACAAAAACTTAAAACCATGACGCAGAGCTCAGCTAGTCATTGAGTCCCTCTCACTTAGTCCCCGCAAAAAGCGTCCCTGTGATACCTCTCACTCAGTCCAGTCACCTGAGTGAGTGACACCGTTGGCGTTAAAATGAAAGTAAAACACTTTATTGTACTAATTGTAGGCTATTATAAATCTATACTTGTACATTACATGTTTGGCTATTACGTTGAAGAAATTTCTGACTGGAATAGAAGAGAAAAATGACAGTTTTTAGTACAAATACATATGATTTACCTTGAACTGTGCCAAAAACTTCATAATCAACCGAAAGTAGTCTTCTAGCAGCCGCCATGACAGCTTGTTTACGTGTTGTTAAGAATATCACCCCGGTTCTCATTGGCTTAATAATTTACAATAACCAATCATATTGCATATCAAAATGAAGCGCTACTGTACGGGAGATAACACATGTTCTATTTTATGGATTTAGACCACAATAGCCGTGCAAATTACATTCATGAAATACGACACAATATAACATACAAATCCACACATCTTGTAGGCTTTTCTGAGAGCAGTGAGTCTAAAGTGTACAACACATAATAATTGCCAAAACATTCACCAGAAATGGACCATATTCCCCTCTAATCTTCAGTAAATGTTGATTGTTAAAGGGACAATAACACTCTTGCTGGCTTGACAGCTCCAGAAAATAAAAAAAATAGCCTTATTCTAAGTACTAGATGTGTTAGTGTCTTACCTGTTGTGTAAATTATCCATTAAATCCTATTTTACTTGTCCAGAGGGTTCAAAAATATTTTTAAATCCAAGTCACATTTGAAAAGCTTTACGTTGAATTTTTCCAATTTTTTAAATTAGGTGTGTTAAGATGAAATTTGTATCATCAATTAATTGGAATATTGTAAAATAGTACAATTTGTTGACCAGAATAAAGATTGGGACATATTATTCAGTTACAACAAGAGTGGTATTGAGACTTTAAGTTATGTTATACTCACATCAATTTGAGGAAACTGGCAGAAAACGTTAAAACAAACACTTTTCAAAAGATATTGATCAAAATGTCACGAAAATTTGAAAAACAACTAGTTCTGCAAACTCAAACTTCAGACCATTTGGTAACTCAAGCTGTTATAAATGAAATGGAATGGGGTTTAACGTCCTACTCCGTCTGGGCTAATGAAGATGGGCATACGCCATGCAGTGTGCTATAAGGGAAATTTTGCCCGGGCAGCAGCAGTATGGCCTACTCTTAGATCGAATTCCAACTGCCAAGGGATCTTTTATGTGCACGCCAATGTACACACAGGACCTCGGTTTTCCATCCCATCCAATAGACTAGACAACTGTCCTTGTCAGGCCCTCCGTCCTGCACCACTGACAAGGGGAAACCACGTCAGAAAATCCCAATGAACTTTCTCGGCCAATGCAGGGATCGAACATGTCACCTTCAGGCTAGCGAGCCAGTGTCTTACCCACTTAGCCAATGTGGCTCCCCAAGCTGTTATAAGAGCCAGGTCATGGTGTATCTGGTACCATAATGAAGACAAACATACTATAGGCTTAATAAAAACAGCATTTGATTTATTTCTTATAATTATTAAAGTGATTATTATTTTTAATATAAAACAATATTTTTCGATCTATTTACTAATCTACATCTGACAATATCTTTAAGCCACATTGTGATTTGGACAGGAAATGATGGCAAGCATTAACATTAACAATAATCTATTTAACTACTTGTACCACAGAATCATTTAACAATAACATAACATACGTCAACACTCAACAGATTTGAGACTTAATGAAAAATTATAATGATATTATCCATTTTTTTAAAGGAAAGAAAATCAGGATAATTATCACTTTTAAGATAAAAAAAATACCCAAGTTTACCCCACAAAAACGACCCATATTGTTTAAGGTGACCTATCACATAGTTAGGCCATATAAAAATGTATCTACATTCTACTTTTTATGTTACATATTAGGTATCATGGCTACATCTACTTTTTTTTTATTTATTGTAGAAACAAAATGGGGCACCTGCAGTAAATGTAAATGTTAGGATATGTGAATAACAACTGACTTAAGTTAACAATTTATAATTAACACCCTTAAAAGGCACACACTATGATTTATTTATGGATGGACATTCTTAGTAGGTATTAGGGATTCATAAATTGCAAATGGAATGCACAAAAACAACTTGTAAAAATCTAATAAATAGGTTTACAAATTGACAGTTAAAATGTAAAATTATGATATAAAACATAAATTTATTTGCTTTAATGCACATAGAGAAACATTTTATAGACCCATTTTATGGAATGCATTCCTAAGTCTATAACCCATTAGCTCTTTCTCCCTAAAAACTTGCCTTAGGGTTTTAACTGGAAAATGAGAGCGAGAGAGAAATGGGGTTTAACGTCCAGTTGACACAAATCCAGTCCACACAAACTAGGTCATTTCAGGACTAAGATGTATTAAATGAAACTAGACTAACGAAATGGTGTGGGGCCCAGAATTAACCTAACCTCAAAGTCCTCAACTGATATTCTAAATTTTCATTGGCTCTGTAGCTATCAATTTGTTTACCATCCATGCTTACAAATAGCTCATTTATAAGTATTATAAATTTTGACCTTGCAATGTTCAAGATAAAAATATGTTACTAAGGACATCAAAATATAGAATGATATACTAATATGACATAATAAATACTTTATCAGATCTAATTTTATTTAACGAAGGATTAGAAAAATATGGCTTTCAACTATTGTAAGACTAGTATAAAATATAGCATGAAAACAAGCCAAGAAATTCATGAAACCTCCCATCGCCACTCATCAAGCGTAAACTTATCTTAGATCTAAGCTTCTACAAGGAAGAAGAGTCCACTTTTTTAAGAGAGGATGAAGTATCCTTAAAATTCAAGCATTTCTTTGAAGGCAAGTTACAAGCCAAATACTCTTATTAATAAATAGAATAAACAGTTAAAAATAAGTTATAATCCTATATTATATTTACATGTAAGTTTTATATTATCAAATATTACAGTAAATTCTTTATACTATATTATTAATCCTACATCATAGGCCTGTTTATTTTTCTTAAAAAAATGTTTTTTTTTTAATGGGGAGGCCAGCTCCTCTTGACGGTCTGCCCTACAGCTCCTATGTTAATGAAAAAGTGCAACTTATATGAGTTTAGCAACATAATTCAAATTACCGGTATGTGCTTATAACTAAATACAATAGATATTTTTTGTAAGGTTTAAAAATGAGTTAAATCCCTGTAGTAAAAATATGGATTCTATATACAATTACATTGAAAATATACAATAAACAGTAGATACTATACACTGGTTTAAAACTATTACAAACTAAACCAAAATATAAATCCACATTTGAAATTTACAAGGGTGTTGATTACTGTGATATACAACTATTACTAAACATTCATAATGACACCAACAAATGCTGATTGAAATTTTTAGTTTATGCCAAGTTATTTTTAACTTTGAACATTCTAGTAAGCTTCTTCTATAACAGAACATCTATGATTGAAATATTCCAATTTCTTTTTATACAGAATGGGCTAAACAAATTTGAAATGATATATGTAATGATATATGTAATCTACAGTTAACAAACAGAACAAATTTTTCTGTCTCTATAGAATACCCATTGTGAAATAGCATCATCTTAATTATAAGGCTGCAAGTTTCCTTAGAATTTTCTTTTTGAATAAAACTTTGCTGTGACTACCTGTAACAATGTTTTCTTTTCTGTCCAGAACATCTTTGAATAATGCAAAGTCTTTCTGTCTGTTGTAGAGTTGGAAAACAATTCTATACACACTAAGAAGAATTATGTAACTTTTTGGCACAGGCTAATAAGTCACCAAGAAGTCTGATAGTCTGTATTTTATGATAGTTCTTGATAATCTTGATCTAGAGACTAGATTAGTCTAGTATTTTTAAGATATTGTATAAGAGTATTATGTATAAATTGATATTGCCCGAGTGTTTGAACCATGTACATTCTCTGTTGACGAATTCCTGTTAAAGCTTTGGGTAAATCAACACTCTGTAAAAGAAATAAAATATGAATAATTCACACTTGCTCTCTGTAATTTACACATTTAATAAATTCAATTAAATCACAGGACCCCTGAAACATGTACATTTGACCGACCAAAAATGACTGAAAGCTCCTTATCTAAGATGTGACAACATGATATGCAAACATTTTTTTTTTTACCAGTGCTGGTATTGAGTTTCCAGCATATTTGTCCTCAATTTGTCTTTATATCCCAACACAAGACATGTACAAAATTTGCTTTTTTTGTGCCCATATGTCTTATTTAACCAGAGCCAGTGACATATTAGTCAATAATACTGTATATGTGTCGGTAAAACCTGTTGTTGCTTAGTTCACATGTAATTGACTGAAACAACCTTAAATAGAAATCAGATGAGCTGTTTCTTAGGATTCTTTGGACAAGACCCAGATTACTGACAATCCGGCTATCTGACCAGTCTATACATGTATTTGTGTCTGCATGATTATATAATACAGACATCATTTGTAAACGCATGTTTTATTATTTTATACTTTTATGATTTTTTTTTTTTACTGTCACTTACATGATTATGTTCTAAACACCATTTCATGACAGCAGTTAGAATAACTACACCAGTTCTACCTACACCAGCACTACAATGTACAACTACTGGAGCCTTTTTACCACTTCCTTCTTCACTCTCCGCCAATCTACGCACAGACTCAATTTCATCAAGAAAACCTGAAACGTGTCAAAATGTAAGGTAATATCATTGTAAAAATTGAACTCCCTGGTAAAGCAGCAAATAAAACGAAACCACAAAAACTATTAGCCAGTATGTGAATATTGTAATTCAATTAGGAATGTTCTTAGGTGTCCTGCCTTTTGCATGACACGAGCCATTTATTGGAATTTTTTTAGATGCTCTAAGCTGCTACTGGCCAACAGCTAGCAGTTGTGTACACATTAACAAAAAATATAGCATCTTAATTGAAACTATTTCTTTATTTTTTTGTTAAATTGGCTGCAAAATCTTTGCTTTTTAAAGGCATAAGAGGATTTTATAATTCTAGAATACACAGATTATCAATGTATTGGATATACACAATTGGGGGGAATCAAATAGACAACCATTCGATTCTAATGGCCAATTTGACCAAATTACTTAAAGTGTAAGAAAAACATGTGCTATTTACCTAAGAAACCATATATATCATCTGGGCAACCATGATCAGGCCAATCTGTATATTGTAGATGCCAGATTTGTCTTGATTTACCGGATGGTAAATGACGAACTGTAATTCTGCGTGTCACATAACATAAAGAATCATCTGTCAACAACAGCTCGATCTCGAACTGATAAAACAAAGAAACTTGTTAATATATTTACATTTTCTATCATTTTCAAGGTCTATAGGATGATGATACCTTTAGCCACAAACAATTATTTCAAAGGGCACTAAAACTGAGAATCAAGCTGATTCTGTGTCCTGAATGTATAAATTTCATGTCAATTGCATGACAACTTGAGCTGCTACAGCCTCCCCAAAATTTGTGAAAGTTCTTTAAAGATCTTTACAAAGAGAAAAGGAAGTAATTAATAATTAACAAAATTGCTGAAATTCATGATCCTTCTTTGTCTCGCTATTGTGAATAATGTACATGCATTTCAAATAAATAAGATGATAAATGTTTCCAGTAGAGTGTCCACAATATTCCATGAAGTAGTCAAGAAACTACGTCCAGAGGACTGACAAATAGGGGCAATGGAAATATACAACAACATTTCAATGGTTTGTAAACAAAATGAAAATGCATCAATGAATCGTCTAAAAAAAACTCTGAACAAATCAGTTCTGAAAGAAGACTTTATGTATAGTAAATAAACTTACATCACCATAAATCCTTCTGTGACTTGGACCAGGTTCATCAGGTCGATAAGGAAAACATTTCTGACGACCTTGTTCCTATACATAACAATAAATTATGATTAGATTTTCAAACAAATTTCTAAATGAATAATTAAATAATTCAAATAAAATTATTTAGATTAAGTAATCACAAACACACATCAAACAATTATTTATACAATAAATAATACTTACCGTTAATGCTGTTAGCATAGCAACCACATCTACTTCCTGTTCCCAGATCATCTGCCAGAAATCACTGACAGTATTCTCTAATGGAGCTTGAGTAGCTATAAACCACCAGTCCATATTTTCTGCTGTTAACTAAATGAAAAAAAAAACCAAAACACAATAAATATTTGTTCTTACTTTCAATCAATATTTTATTTACTATGGTAACTTATGGACTACAAAAAACAACAATATTCTGCAAATAATCAAACATACTAAAATTCTCGCAAATACTTCGCTCACTGAAGAAGTTTCATCTTAAAAAAATGAGCGAAAAATACTTGCAAATTTGGCCTGAAAAAGACACAAAAGTCACCTGATGTACCGTATTATTTCTATTATGTTTGATAGGAAAAAAATATAAAACCAATTTTAGATAAATTAAGATCATTGGGTTTGTAGCTTGGGTGTAGCATTCAAGAAAAACTCCAGTTTGGAGTGAATTAAATCAGATATTTATACAATACTAAAGCTGAATCAAGTAGCTAATGGGGTTTATTATTCTACATTTCTGCACCATCTGGGCTAATCAAGACAGGCATATGCTGCTATCAGGAAAATTTTGCACAGCAAAGAGTCTCTTCTTCATAAAATTCCATTGTAAAGGGTTCTATTACATGCACGCCAACAAATACATAGTTGAACCTCTGTTTTTCTTCCCATCTGAATGACTGGTCATTTTCTATCCTACAACACTAACATGGAGAAGTGCTGAGGAATTTTCTCAGACATCACTGGGATCAAACCTGGTTGGTGAACTAGTGCCGTACTCAATAAACACTGTGACTCCAAACACTAACATGCATATGAATCCTATATTAAATACCCATTCGATGGATATCTATAAAAAAAACGTGAGATAAGTGGGTGGATACAGACAATAACTAATAACTCTGCACCAGCACGTAAACTTACCTTAACATGTGAAGCGTTGATATAACCAGCAGGGTTATCTTTCCTTGGTGTTAATTTTACTCGGGTATTATCGTATGGTAAAACATCTTTAAAACGATTTCGAGGATTATTTTCTGGTAATTTGGCAACATTATATTCCAGATTTGGAGCTCTTTTGTAAATTTCTTCAAATTCTACAAAAACTTGACCTTCTGATATCTTACTCTCCAAAATCTTTCTCTGAAAATAAAAAATCACATTTTACTTCAGCTTGACTAACAATACCCTTTATATACAGAAAATCAATAGGCTTCCTTGTTGCACCAATCTAAACAATGAATATAAATGTCAAGCAGATTGGATGATAACTTGCATTGATAGAGCATCAGCAAAATTTTTCAAAAAAATTAAGAACAATCAAGAAAGTAATTACCAGAATGTGTTTGAAAATCAATAACCTTCATAAATTTTAAAAAGATACAAAAAAACGCCCCAACAAATATGTAGGAACTTCAGATTAACTAATGGACAGACAACGGCAAGGACAATAATAGACAACCATATTTTGATATGCTTGAATAAAAACAAAGGTTATCTTTTATTTAAATTGCAGACATCTGGTTTTTTTTCTAAATTAAGGAGCAAATGATTGATGCACCCTACTATCCAACTCCCCAATTTTTCTTCTTTGATATGATTCAATTTGAAAAGTTATTTTGCACTATAGGCCTAGATATTTATAGGCCTCGTTATAAATATCAGAAAAATGCCTTTCACTTATTCAAAATTTTGAATAAGTATTTAAAATGATCAAATGAGTTGCAGTGTTCTACCTATTTTCGGCTCAGTCCTCAAACACTGCATAATTTCAAGCTGATAAAACAAATCAAAGGTGAACCCAACTCCAAAACATGAAAATTTAGGCTTATCAAAGCAAACCAAAGATGGATTTCCAAAATTAAGCCCTATTAGGCCTATCAAATTAGAAATGATAATAAAACTAAAGCATAGACTACCTAGAACATGAAAATTTAAGGCCTATTAAAAGCTCAATACCACTCTTGTTGTAACTGAATATGTCCCAATCTGATAAAACAAATCAAAGGTGAACCCAACTCCAAAACATGAAAATTTAGGCTTATCAAAGCAAACCAAAGATGGATTTCCAAAATTAAGCCCTATTAGGCCTATCAAATTAGAAATGATAATAAAACTAAAGCATAGACTACCTAGAACATGAAAATTTAAGGCCTATTAAAGGCTCAATACCACTCTTGTTGTAACTGAATATGTCCCAATCTTTATTCTGGTCAACAAATTGCACTATTTTACAATATTCCAATTAATTGATGATACAAATTTCATCTTAACACACCTAATTTAAAAAAAATGGAAAAATTCAACTAAATGATTTGAAAAGCCTGACGTAAAGCTTTTCAAATGTGACTTGGATTTAAAAATATTTTTGAACCCTCTGGACAAGTAAAATAGGATTTAATGGATAAATTACACAACAGGTAAGACACTAACACATCTAGTACTTAGAATAAGGCTATTTCTTTATTATCTGGAGCTGTCAAGCCAGCAAGAGTGTTATTGTCCCTTTAAAACAAACCTAAGTTGAATGCAAACTCTAAATCTTGAAAATTTAGGCCCTATTAAATTTTCAATGAAAATAAAACTAAAGTAAATCAGGAACATACTTCAAAACAATAATAAGGGATCCATTGTAAGAAATGAGGAAATGTATCCATCAATTATAATTCAAGAAGAGTTATCTCCCCTTTAGTACACAAGAAATTGACGTCTGCTAGCCTACACATGCACATGTGTATGCCCATATTAGGTATCAGTTGTCATGTGACCTGTGTGGGGAAAGGATGTTTTTCATTTTTTTGCTAATGGCAAGAAGTGGAAGAAAATTTTCATGCCAGTCGTAGTTTATGGGCACAGAAGAGGAAGATGAGGGCATTTTAGGGTTAGTGCATCCGAATTTCAATATATAGAACACTTGACCCATTTGTCATGGTCACAATATTATTCTCAATTATCATGGACCCAATGAGACCTATATTGTATGATATTTGAGACAAAACAAAAATAATTAGACATCCGCCCCACCCAACCCAACCCACAAGAAACAACACGGCCCGCCCCCCCCCCCCCAAAAAAATACTAATAATAAATAAACGATAGAACAAACATACAAAACAAAACACATTCTGTTTCAGTTGGCCAGGTAGGCTACATGTACTAACAGAAATTAAGGTTCCCGACAACAAATAACAAAATAACAACTTTTTAAATTTAAATCACAAATACATGTAGGCCCTACTGCAAATTTAATAAACACAGATAATTCATTTATGTCCCTTCAGTAATTGTGATAAATGCTACATAATATTTTTTTTTGACATGTAAAAACAGCCAATATATCACTATCATTTTAAAATCTAATTAACTCTGAATAGTCCAGAGTGTGTGAAAGATGGTGTGTGAAACCCGGGGAAGAGTCCACGTATATGTTCAGTGAGTCGTATCTTAGGGATTCTGATCATTTAGTCATTTGGCGGGTGTATGATGTTTGAGGTGATCTGTCCCCGCTATGGATGCTAGTTACACCCGATCCTATGCATGTATGGCTTTCTAGATAGAAAGGGAGGCCATAAGTGGTCAGCGCGAGTCTTCCTTGTATCTCTCTATCACAGCGGTAGATTGAGATATGCAGGGTTTCACATATCATCAATTATCAAACTAATTTTAACAACTTTCTGTTGCTTTGTCCTCATAAATAATTATGTTATCGAAGTACCGCAAGGTAAGTAAAAGAAACTGCCATATGAATATGAAGAATTAAAGAGGAAACATCGTTCGCTGACTATGTACAACTCTATACAGTTCGAGTTGCTAACTACTTTCAAAAGGTAAGTAATTTCAGAATATTTTTAAAAAAACAAAAGCTGTAATGAAGTGGTGGCAGGGCCGTCGTGTCATAAATATCTTTACTTTTTAAATGAACTGATTGTTTGAAAAATACCAAACCCCAAAACTTCAGACCTAAGGTAGGGTAATTTATTACTTTCCTACAACTTTATAAACTTTTAATTTTGTAAATATGGCTGTAAGATGGGGAGTGAAACAAATCTACAGTTTACTACAAACAGAATCAGAAAAATATTAATGTATTATCATCATAAACTCCTATATAATTTTTAGATGACAATTGAAAATCTTGTAAAGAAAGTTAAATTATTAGATTTTACAACCAATATTTTAGCAAAATTTAATTAGGACAATTTTAATAAACTTTTATTTTTTAATTGTAAATTAGAAATTTAGGTTAGTTTGGCCTGTTGATGTTTTTGAAAGATACAATTTAGATTTCCAGGCAATGAAACATAGGCCCACTAGCAGCTTTGTCATTTGAGCTGTATAGAAAGGTCAGAATTTTATTTATTTATAACAGCAATATATTTTCAATACAGCAATGAAATGCTGATTGTTACATATCTGTGAAAACTCTTGTGATTGAATCACTGAAATCCACATCAAATTAGGAAATTCTCTAGCATTCCTTATTATACTCAATGGATATAAATTGCAAATAATTTGGATACCCATAATACAAATGCAACTACTGTCGCAGAACATTTACAAGATTTTACATAGTTGACGCGGGTGTTCAAATAGAGTATGACTAACAATGGACCGCTTCACATCATTGATAAGATTCCCATCTAACAATTAACTTTTATTGTTCTACTGCCATCATTAATAAAAATTATCAAACACATTACTCCACTCAGTATAATTTGTTGACATTATGTGTGCATTATCTGTACAAGTTGTAGAAATTTTATAGTTAGAGCGGAGGTCATAACCATGGATGAAAATTTGGTATGGAAACATACGCTGGAGGTCATAACCATGGATGAAAATTTGGTTTGGAAACATACGCTATTTTTTCCGTGTGTAACATGACCGATGGGTCAGATGATCAGATCTAGTTTGTCATTTTCCGTAGCCCTCAGTCTTGACTTCTAGACATTTCACAATATTCTCCAGCTCAATTAATGTCAAAGTAATAATAAAACAAAAACTGAGGTTCCATAGGCTTCTTTGTATCAATAATATTAACAATGCATAGAAATGTTTAAAATTTTTGATGATGAATGTAGTTCTGTGTGTGTTCACAAGAAATTGTGGACAGATGGCCCAACCTACAAATTGATCAACAGACCTTAACATATAACCAAATCATAATATTGTTGTATAAATAATAACATCAAAGCATCACCGTGTCAGTTTAGAATACACACTGTGATCACACTTGATCTATGCATATATCAAATAATAAAGCCCATAAAAATCCAGTGTTAACAAGTCTGAATTACAGTTATATTTAAATTGTCTGTAGTGACAAAAAACTTTAGTAAATGTTTCAATATACTTTTTAATAATCTGTACGGTTCAGATCAGAGTGGCATGTTTTAGGTTATCTCAGAAAATTGTGCCGTCAATAAGAATAAAATATTACATGTAGTTGCATTTCTCTTTTGGTTTCACAGGGCCCCTAAAACGTTTGTTTTAATGACATTAACTACAGGTTTCCATAGAAAGCAATGACATTCATCTTCTGTATAAAATATAACTTACGCGTTCATCTTTAGGGGCTCGGCTTTCATCATTCATTAAAGCTAATACCATTGGCCGAGATAAAGTTAACCCATTCATAGCAGCTCTCTTTAATGGTCCGATACTTCTTCTTCTTATAGTACCATCCTACACACACACAAACAAACAAATTAAAATTTACGTTTAGGTTGATTAAGCTATACATTTAAGATTCACCAACTACAGTTGTACTGTTAATTTCTGTTCACATAAATCACATATAAGTCAATTTTCATCTTAAATCTTCCCTCAAATTACAATTAGTTATGAATTAAGCCTTGGCTACCTTGGCTAATGCAAAGAAAAATTAAAACCATGTTTTTGCAACTTACACGGTAAATAATTATTAGATTATGATATTGGTGTTGACACATACAATAAGTTATCTATGACAAACAGAGAAGAAAATGTGGGTGAATATTAGATCTGTAATAATTCATTGAATTAAACATACATTATGCAAGAGCTAAATCTGTCTATTGCAGGTCTTTCTTTAGGCCTGAAATGTTATCTAAATTATTAATTAGACATTAATTAACTTATCCAGACCATAATCAACTCTAGATGGCATCGCTAGCCTGCGATCTTAAGTGGATTGTGATCCGATTTACTGCATAACTTTCCTTCTCGATTAATTGGATAATCGAGACTATGCTGTTTATCGTACTGACTTTAGTAATAATGACAGAGGCTAGGCACAAATTTCATTCGCTTAGTTCTGGGTTCATAGTGGATCAATTTGAATGAAATTTTCAGCAAATTGCCTTTACGTTATCTAGTTTTTAATTATTATAGTGAGAACTGCCAACCCGTTATTGAATCTCCCATAATGTATCTTTAAGTATATATTAAAATCTGGATATTCATAGTTTCCTTCATCACAATATCAAGGAGATGGAATATAAATGCCAATTATGTGCCCGTCTTCATTAGCCCAGTATAGGAGCAGAACAGTAGGACGTTAAACCCCATTTCATTTCATTTCGCCAATTATGTGTCAGCTAATATAATCACATGACAAAGGAAAGTTTTGTACAAATACAGCACTGATAATGATAGACCAAAGAAAATAAACACTTTAATTTTAATAAAAATATTCAAGGCCCGGAATTTCTTTTTTCTAATGAATTATTAGGCTAATATTTTTGTTGGATTGTTATTATTGGCTTTCATTGCCTTATATTTATTTCAAACTTTACAGATTCTTCTACTGAAATATCTATTTCACCCTATGTTGACATCTCGCTACTCCTAAAATCTCCTTTTCTGGAAGAAAAAGTGACTTTTCTCGGAAATTTGAGTTTAGCTATTAATAGAAATATAATGAGCAAACTTACTGCAAAATCTGAAAGATCAGAATCAGAGTCTTCTTGTTGTGATGTGGAACTATCCATTGATAATGCTTGTGTGTGGACTACTTGATTAGACTCTAAACATTTTATGCTACCTGTATCTGACATACGTCTAGAGGATGTCACATGATCAGATGGTTGAATGACGTCTGGGATGGGTAACGATGTTGACGGGGGGTCGACTAATATAACAGGATTAGATTTAGTGGCCGGCACCGATTCTTCTACTTTGGACAAGGTGATGTCACTTGAATCTTTTGTCACAGACTTAACATGGCTGTCACCTGGTTTTGAACTCATAATTGGTCCAGCTCTTGCAATCATCATCCTTCGAAAGCTCTCACGTAAGGTAGCTACTTCTTTGCTTTTAGAAGGGGGTGGAGCTTCTTTAGGACCCACTAATCGAACCTGAATTTTCTTTCTTTCGGATTCCTCTCTTCGTAATTTTTCTGCATCATCATCCGAACTGTCATCTTTGACATGAAATGTAGCATATGAATGTTCACTGGACGTATCATCCTGATCAACAATTTCCGAACTCAGAGACTTTACATTTGACTCCATTTCATTTAGATTTTCAATACTTTTATCAAAACGTGATTGTTGAGCTAGATTACCAAATTGTTCACCTTGTTGGGCCACAATATCTGGGATTTCATTATTGTGTGTTGTTATAGCCTGTACTGCCAGGTCTGGTGTACTGCTACTAGTGCGGGGGTAAGGTGGAGGGGGACGGTATTGATAGGGAAGAGGATCTTGTATCATATCTGATGTAAATTGTTCCTGTAATCCTTGGGTATTCAATTCAGGTGAACTGTAAGTTGAATGGACAGGAAGATGATTAGATCGTTCCCCTGTTCGATTGTTTATATTATCGTGGCCATCTTGAAAACCACTCGCGTATACTGAATGACTATAATTTCTAATTGCCATGGCGTTGGCATATTGTGTTTCGTCTTTATAATCACTGATTGGCTGCCGTATCTCAGGTTCGCTGTTAAATGTTACAGCTTCTTGGTTATTATATATTTGAGCACTACCAAGGCTTTGAGCACTTTCCGTTGTAGACACTTGTGTGTGTTGTTGCTGCGGATTGGTAGCCATTCTCTGCGCCATTAAAGTTTCATAATCTGGCGTATGTCGGTATGCCGGTAATAAAGCAGCACGCGTTGCTATGTCTTGTTGCTGGGTGATGTTACCGGGTTGATGGTTCATATAAACACCTTCATTGATGTGGGATTCCGACCCAGAATTGGGTATATGCTGGAAGTCAGGAAGAACATCTAAACTTTGCTGTGAGTTGGTATAAAAATCTTCAGAAACAGTCATCTGTTGTACATCTACTAAAGAAAATTATAAATTATTTATGCTGTCCCTACAAGTTTCATTGAATTCAGTTAAGAAATAACTCTTCAGCTTGCCCCAAAGATGGTTTGCAAATAATGAGCAAAGGTTAGGAAAATATATATCACCTCTATCATATTATAGTGAAGTAATAAGAAATCTGTTTTTAACCAATGAAAATGCAATCATGTATACCACTGCATGTAGGATTACTGACCTTAGAGGGTACCTAGATCAAGTGTCAAACCTATAATGGGGTGTTTTCAAAACCAGAACACTAATCAGTTTGGCAAATTTCTCAATAATAATTTTATTAATTTGAACTAACCTGGAGTATATCGTTGATCTTGTATATATGCTAATGATGTCTGGGACTCTGTCTATAAAATATTAATATAAACCGTTTAAGTATCATTCCTTAATAAACATTAGTTTAATACAAACAACTGAGCCAGATGTAGTGTAACAAAATCTCATTTCACATAGCACGTGATTTGGGCACACTAAAATATAATACACTATACATGTAGTTACATTTTACTACTGAAATCATGGGTATATAACTTTACCTGTGCTTCTTGAAATGGGCCCTTGGTTGACATATTATAGGAATATTGTCTAGAGATGTTAATAAATGTCCTAGTCTTTTATGATAACATTTTTCAAGTTATGGTGACAAAACATTAGCATGGATAAAAATTAAAGAAGCAGTTGACTAAGACATGGTTTGTTCTTCTGGGTTTTTTTCCCTGTCATGACAAGATTATTTCCAATCTTACAACATTAGATAAGTAAATGTATTACTTACCAGTTCGGAATATTCTGTTTGTGGAGGAGCTACCTGAGCTTCTCTGAAATTAAAACAAAAAACAAATCTGAATTATTGTACACAAAAATGAACAAACCAGGTAATCTAAATTTACCTTACAAAAAATGAGCATATTAATATATGCTGCCAGGCCGGCACTTTACACTTTGGCATCCAATCAAATATAGTTCTATTTCTATTGAACAAAATATAATATTTGGTTTGTCATGTGAGTTTTTGATAATTGAATTGTGTAACACAAAAATGTGAGCAAAACAATTCATATTTGATGATAATTTTTTTTTACAAAATCTCTACAAATAAAATGAGTGTGTGGTCAGTGACCAGCTAATCCCATTCAGAGGTGGAAGGATATAGAACAATAATTCAATTAATTTAAAGTATTGGAAACAATTCAATAAAGTTTTCAAAGAAAATGTTGCAACTAATCAATCATGTGATACAAATAAATTATAAAACTAATAAGTCAAGAATGATAGATATTTAGTTGTTAGTTCAAAAGTGTCAGTTTTGAACACTGATAAGTGGCAAATAAGTACTATGACATTGGGACGTTATCATTCATGCATTCATATATTTTCATGCTAAGAATAGTCATGCAATTATTAATAATGTTTCTGTATGTATAATATTCTATAAAATAAGTTAAAGTTTCACTGGGACTGGGATACTAAGATACACAGAGAGTAACTGTGGGAAATCGTTGCACCCATAGTATATAAAATTGAAAATTATCATCGCTGATGAACACAAAATCAAATCAATTAGGACAATTTGCGTTAAATATTTTTGTTCAGGTTTTTCTTATGGCTGGCTAATCAGGATTGCAAGTATAGAGTTCTTCAATTTGCTGGTATTTTTTTATATCAAAATATGAAACCAACAGTTTTAAACTAAGTCAGTAATGAAATAAATGACATAATTAACTTCACCAAGTTGATGTTTCTAGTCAAATGTCTTTTTTTCCTTTCATTAAGCATATCTTAAGATTAACCGTTTTCTTATTTCGATCACATAAACACTTTTTGAATTCAAAAATAATAACTTTCAATTTAAATGATAACTACAACAGCATGTTGATTGATTTGTTAATCATGTATCTGAGTAGTCTAGTAATTGTTAGTTTCCTTACGTTGTATTATTGTTGTCAATTTCTATGTCACCTCGAACGTCTGTCATGCTCACACTGGAATTAATGAAAACATGCCATCAACAAGATCAAAACAACAAAATAAAACAAGCATAGGAATAAGAAAAATGAATCAACATTAAATAATATGTCAATTTATATAAAGATTTGCATGGAGTTGAATTGCATATTGATAGGGAAACATTCTTGGGGCCACACCACAGAGAAATTTTGTATAGCATAAAATTACATTACTCTAAGACAAAAGAAAGAAATATCATTTGTTCACCTATATGAATGGCATTATTATTAGCAGAATCTGCCCTGTGGGAATTAATGTTTTTACTTGAACTATTATTAAAGACTTTATGTCTTAGCATTTATAACCAATATACATGAATATGGATTTCTAAATATATAAACCAAAGAAATGGACATATAATACCCGATTGTTATCATAATACAACCATATTTCATGTTATTAATTATGGCTTGAAAGTACAAACATTAAAATGTTAGAAAAAACATGCAAAAGATGTCAAAAAGGAGAATAAAAACAGATTGTGTTCAGTCCTACATGCATTATAGACAAATGTTCACAGACCTATTTCTTAAAAATTGTAATCTAAGATATGCAAGAATAAGGCCTTTTTATTGGCAGAGTAAAAACTTAGCAAAAATTGTATTTCTTATAAAGATAAGTTCTATTTAAATTTATTCTACTGGTTATGAATGATATGCAGTTCTTGTTTGAAGCTAACAAATCAAAGAGTTATTTTTTTTGGTAAAAAAAATATTTGAATTATGTATTAACTGATTTTAGACTATTTTTAAAACTCTTTATACAACAACTTACTTGAGATTAGCCTTACTGGATTTATAGAACTTGATTTGATAGTTGATGATACGACATAAATATTTACTGGTATCTGTGTCTTCCTGTAAAAATTATATTAAAAATAAAATACATATAAAAAAAAAGATTAAATATTAATAAAACAAACATAGTACACAAGCCTGTAAATATGAGAGAGAGAGAAATGGGATTTAACATCAACTCGACACAAACTAGGTCATTTCAAGACTAACATATGGTTCAATTTTCAGTATATTGAATATATAATTTTAAACCTATGTTTGATTACAAATGATATGAAAGACATAAAAACAAGAATTTCACTACATATTTCTGGACTGTGCATGTAAATCAACAATGTTAAAGACTAAAATTGAATCAGAAAACTTACAAGAGTATACTGAGCTGAACTTTTTGATGTATCTACTTCTAAATTCTTTTTATTCTGTGAAACTCGGGCAATTTCTGCCCATCTGAAATATATCAACATTCTATGTCATATTCCTTCCAACATGCATGACAGACTGTATTTCATGATGGGATCGGTGCTTTATTCTCCACAGGAAGTGATTTTGTGTTTTGACCATTCATATTTTATGTAAAATTAATGATTTACATGTTAATTTTGGTATATATCTAATTAAAGAATCTTGCAGTATCATTACTATGTGTACAACAGTACATACCGAAAGAAAACTGGTGGTTGACGATCTAGAAATCTAGCAAAGAGACCAATATATGACGTTCCTAGATATAACTCCTTTCCTGAATCATCCTAAAATACAATAAATTATCCATAGATATTGATTTTACCATTTTCCACACCATAAAAGATAGGTTGCCAGGTAACGAAACATACGCCCAGTCACAGCAACTAATTTGTCCAGGCAGTCAACAAGGGTTGTCATATTTTTTTTTTATTTGTCAGTAATGAAGACATTTACAACACATGAAAATCTGATTATAAGTAACAACCCATTAAGTAATTATCAGGCATCATTAGAATTTGTTTCGATTGTTTGTCTCATGACCCTAAATAAACACTGTGTATAAATTTATATTAACTTTAGCCTCTAGAGCATCCACAAGATGCTTCAAAGTTATCAAAGGCCATAACTCTGACAGTAATTATTGGAAATCGTTAAAAATCAATAGGATTCTTCGTCTCACAATCATAACAGTGTACATCAATTTAAAGTCAATCGGATATTAGCCTCTAGAACAGATATATCCCAAATGTATTAGATATATCCCAAATGTGTCTATTTTATGAAGTTATATGGCATTCAGTGGTTTTCTTGTGCTAAGTTTAACTTGATGTAGGCCTTCAATATTGAAGCTTATGGGATATATATTCCTCACTTTTGCAACAGAATGACACCAAATAAGTATGTTCCCCACCTTGGCTATGTAATATTCTGTACCAAATCCATCCATTTGTTGAACTTCTTTAATATACTGTATTTCTGCTTTAATTCCATGAACTCCATGTAATCGATAGTGACCACTGATAACATCTGATAATAGTTCCATAAATGTTGATTCATCTTTCGTCATAGACTAAAAAAAACAACCACTTCTGACAATTAGCACAGAAATTATAACTTTCTTTTAAAAAATATTCAAATTTTCAAAAACCATAAGCCATAGAAGAGAATTTGTGGCATCATACTGTATAAGATATGTATATAGAACTTACTTTAGGCAAAAGAGGATGATCTTTAAAATATGCTGGATTCTGTTTATCATACTCACAGTCGCCAAATTCAGCTGAATAAAGAAAATAACATTAACATACCAGTAGTAAACAGTATTACACTTTACAATTCTGGCAATAACTGTACATAAAAAAAATTGCTCAAGACACTAAATTTTGGTATTGATACAATGCTATGAAATAATCAGTATTTTCCACTACAACTACTGCCAACAAATTTGATAGCAGCTATTAAGCTATAATCAGGATGGATATAAACAATAAGAAGATGCACAAACTGCACATACAGTAGATTTAATATGCAATTAAATTTACAGAAAATGTAGATGAATTTGGGGGTAATCGCTTAAACAATCTAGAAGTCTCCACTATTCTAAATATGCTGTTACAGTATTACCTTGTAAACTCAAAGCAGCTAATCGTACAGCTTGTTCTACAGAGCATGGCAGACGACCATCAATGATGTCATTCTTTAACTGTAAGTAATAGTGAAATCTGAAAATAATATAAATAAAAATTTAAATATAACAATTACAACCCTAACAATTATAATTATTATTTACCAGCGTTTATATAGCACCATTTCCATAAAAGTGCTCAATGATGCTTTATAATAAACGTATAAAACAATGGAAAGCCAAATAAAGGATTAAAACATAACAAGCCAACAGTGAAGCTGATGTCCCCCGCCAAAATCCCAAAATAAATAGACGAAACATATTAATTAATTGCACATTTATCTGTTTGAAAAGGTAGTGGGCAATCAAACAAAGCAGGAAATGTTGACAATCGAACTCAATCAAGGTTTTGAAGTACATGTACCTGGCAGTGAAACTATACAGTATGTCACTATGTTTCATCACTCTCCATCAGTTAGAATCAAAGTTATCTTGTCCCAAAACATTGACCAATAATATTGCTTAGCTCTGTTTAGCTTTAGCAGAAAAAGTTATTCATTGAACTCGGTCAAGACATTCACGTAATGAACATCTACATGTACGGCGACCAGAAAATGCACAAGGTTGCTGGCAAACGTGAACACAACGCGAGAAAACATAAAAAAAAATTAGAAACCTGAAAAAAGCTGCATTCTTGCAGCTTTCCAGGTCACATTTCAAAAATTATGGCATTTGTTTTGAACATGCTCAAAACAAACGCTGTGACTCGGCAATCAGCACGATATCGGGCATTTCCACCGCACTTTTACCATGCTTATGGCGATTTTGACGCGATCTGAGCCCATATTTTGACACGATCTGAGCCCATTTTTTGTCGCTGTAGCAGCGCAATAAGGACGCCACTCTGGTCTGATGGGGGTATAAGTTATTGTGGCCCAAAGCATCAACCAATTAAATTGCTGATCTCTGCTTAGCCTAAGCAGAAAATGCTCGTCTCGAACCTCCATCAAAGTATTCACCTAATAAACACCTACATGTACGCCAAGTTTGAACATTCTAGCTCAATTAGGAGAGTTATGTGTCCCAAAAAGTGTGATGGATAGACAGACAGATTGACAGGCCCATTTCAAAAGTGAATAATATACATGTACATAAGGTAATAAAGGGAATTAATGTATAAAATTATAGATTAATTACCACATAAATAATTAATCAAAAATGGTTTTAAGAGAAATTTAAAATGACGACAGGCGGGGACAATATACAAATACATATACATAAAAGGTGAGTAAACCGGGTTTTAGTGACCCCAATAAAAATAAAATTATTTATTTATTAGTAATTGATCTGGTTGAGAATCGCGATACGAATCGTATTGTAGCACCAGAAGTGAATACCCAGCACTAATGTACATGTAGTAATCTAATGTTACCTTACAGCATACAATAAATTACTATATAAAGTTATAGATAAGAAAACAGAGAAATCATCAATGTAAGTTATAATTTGTGATTTGTAATAATTATTCAGTTAAATATTGCAAGGTGGATTAAAGACTTGAATTTTCTGGATTGTTTGTCTGTGCCCCATACATTGTATTATTTGAGACTATCTTTCTGTTGATGAGAAGGTGGAGAATTTATCTTTGTTTTGTGGAATTTGGTTGTTGACAGATAAATCACACAAGACAATAGTTGTAACAACAACAACAAAGTCATGTACTGTAGCTTCATATTTAGCACTGGTTATACATGTACAGTGTACATATCTTACTTATATAAAAATCTAGAACTGATAATATTATTAGTGGTAGGCAATAATAATTATTCAGCTAAAAAATCATGTAAAGCTAAGAAGGTATGCAAAATGTGAAGGTTACATGTATGTGTTAATGTGTATGCACCAGAACATCCTTTTTTATTACTTAAAGATACATTCCCCAAAAAGTATTTATTAGGTGGTTATTTCCAATAAAAGTATGGCAATTTTGGTATATGGAAAGTAGAGACATCCAGTCTTTCTAGAAAAATACTGGATTCCCTCAAAAATATCCAGGGCACGTGCACAGGACAAAAATGAGAGGGTGTAACTAAATGTCAGCCTACGATGGGATGTCTGCTTGAGTGACATCAAAGATTGCACGTGTAGATTGTCTGCCCTCTTTTCATTAGGGAGCACTTAATGTACATGTATATGTTGGTAAACATGATAGTGAGCAGACGTGGAAAAAGTGAGAGACTTAAACGTACAACAGATTCTAAGACTAAATGGGTGAAAATGGAAAATGGAGTGGACAGGGAATAACCCCAGAATTTACTTAGGCTTCGATATTTATGGTAATGAATTCTTCTTCGACTTAACAGTCTCTGCTACCACAGAGTCACGTGACACGAACTTGACTTCTTTAAATAGATTTTTTTATAGCTTGGGGGTATTTCCTAGCAAATTCAATGTTTTGAGAGGCATTTGAAGCAAATTATTGATAGATTAATTAGTTTGAATATATTTTTAGTTCAGATACATGTACATGTATATATTCAAATCACCCAATTTGTACATCGGAAGGCATCTTTAATAAGTTTTTGTTAACTGTATTTTAGCAAAACATTATCTAAACCAGATTTAAACAATGAGGTAAATGTGTTAAAATTTCTGTAAATATTTTTGAGCTGATCAAACATGGGGTACCTGGTATTTTAAATAATATTTAAATGAACACACAAGTCACGCAAACCCCCGACTATTTGATGTGTATAAATAAAAATATATATTTACCTAGCAACTTCATCTGGGATTCTGTGAGCACTAGCAACGTAAAATTGAACTCCAAAATATAAACATGGTGGATGGCAGGATATCTGTGCTTGTTTATCCAGTTGTTTCTTTAATGGTCTCTCTAAATCTACCCAGTGAAAATGTAATTTCTTCGTCACATATCGTAATCCAAAGAAATGAGTCTGAAAACAATTATGAATAAGATAAAAAACGAATGTAGGTACATGTACCTTGTACATGTAACATTCGTAACATTCCCGCCCCCCCCACAGTAAAAAATCCCACAGGAAATAATCCGCACCCACAACCCCAGTAAAATTCAACTCTAATATATTTCTTGTTATCTTTTTCAAAAAATTCAAATAAAATTTGACCAAGATATATTTTTTTTCTCTGAAACTGAGAACATAAAATATTTTGTCAATTTTTTTTTTAAGTTCTTTTTAACAATTAACATCAAAATACAATAAAATTTATGTTTTGTCAAAAAAACGATTTATTAAGATTAAAATCCCCCTGATAACTTTACCAAATTTAATTGATAATTCTTGACATTCCCTGGCTTTACTCTAACAGAAGAAACAGAAGAATAATGCCAATTTAGAAATATGATAAGAATAAGATAAGTCATAGCCTCTATAATACACTGTACATGTATTTACAGAGAAAGTTGTACATAAATGTTCATAATTTTAAGATACATGTACTATGTGCACAGAAATATGTGCATCATTAATTGTCCATTTCATACAGGGGGAATTTTTACCTACTTTCCAAAAGGAGGGCACGTGATTCGTGTGCTAATTTTAAAATTTTCATTTTGTTTTAAATATTGGATATCAGAAGCCTATCTTTTCACGGTAAGATAACAACATCAATGTTGATTTAAATTGGCCAATAAGTCGTATTAGCAATGTCGAAGACTGTGAATGATACTGAGTTAGAGAGATGCCCCCTCTAATGAAAGATGTATATCAGAATGAAGAAGTAAAAGTTGTAGATTTTTTTAACAAGACGTTTTTAATTTTGTAATACATGTACTTGTACTTTTTTTCCTTTAAGCTAAATAGATATCATGTATATATATACATGTATGTAAAGTTGGTACATGTATCTTTGAACATTGTAGTATAAATATGTTCTTGTCCACACTTACATTGTACATACATGTACCTGTACATGTAGTGCTGTACAGTATGCAGGTACAGCTGACTACTGATAATATCTACATGTTTGTAATTTGACCTTGTAACCAAGGGTCAACATCTAATGGGAGTACCCACTAAATAAAGTGAGACTCAATGATGACTCATAAAATATTTTGTTTTATTAATAGGAACATGCTAGACTGGTAAAATTGGGAGAAAGATACACAGCAGAGAGCCTGAACATCTACATGTACATGTAGGCTATCTATAGCAACTGGTGTACAGTTGCAGCAAAACCCCTCCCTGTTCATAACTGTCTTGAACCCATCTACATTACTCCTTCATGGCCCAGACATGCAATTTGTACTACACATATGATAGATATTAGTAGGATTTAATTTTCAGAAAAAAATCCATTACTTTAAAGGAAATTTCTTGCTCCTCTAGGAGCTCTTGATCTCTACTCAGTCAAGCAATATCAGTATAGAACTACATGTACACGTACATGTACCAATACAATATCAAAAACAACCAATGGCATGGGCGATACATGTACATTGTACATGTACTTGCACTTGAATAATTTTAATACCATTTTCTTCTGGAATTTAAAGCAAAATGGATGGGTCTGCAAAAGCTTTGCTCAGATTTCCTCAAGAAAACTGTCTAGAATTTTAAGTTGTTTGGAAATTAAATGGAGGTTGTTGAAAACAATAGCCGGTAATCTTGACTTTTGATCAAGGTTTGTTAATCATTAAAGCTTAAATGGCTTTAATGATGATCTAGATAAAAGATTACAGAAGGGTCAGACGGACAGATAATCTCCCATTGTGTGTTTTGGCAACTGTCTCCATAGTGATGATGTGAAACAGTAATCTGGGGAATGTTGTAACCTGGGTAATTTTAGAGGTTATGTGGCTCTACGTGAATTTTGTTAATTTTCACTCTTCTTTGTATGTATATTGTCTATCTATACTTTTTATTGTTTACTTAAAAATTTCTAACATAAATCTTTACTGTCTTATCTCAACTCAATAATACTAAATACCTTAAAGATGTATTATGTAAGAGCGAAATTTGCCTATTGCAGGTCTGATTTTTTTTTTGGCTTCAAATCTTATAAATTATTATTTAGACATTTATTCACATCACAAGTCTATAATCAAATCTCTAGAACATCGGATGACCAAATTGAAATGGATTTAACAACCAAGAAATTAAAAAAATAAACAATAAAATAGATAATCGAAACTTAGTCTCAGTTGTCAAGTACAGTTGCTACCATAACCATAAGAAACTATATGCACTTGTACTTTACATTTTCAAACAGTCATACTACGCCCAGAATAAAGCAATTTAAATGAAACTTTCAAAATATTAATTTCCATTATCTATTTTTGAACTATAGAAAGAACAACCAGCTCTTTATCTAAATCTTACATACATCTTTAAAGATAAGTTCCCAGAAAAGTATTTATCGGGTGGTTATTTCCAATAAAAGTATGGCAATTTTGATGGAAAGTAGAGATATCCAATCTTACTAGATAAATACTGGATTCCCTGAAAAACACTCATGGAGCGTATACAGGACAAAAATGTAAGGATTCCCCTAATCGTCAGCCCGACAATTAGGAATACCTGCACGTGTGACGTCGAAAGTTGCACGCGAAGATTGAGCCCTTGGTGTACATGTTGATAAACTTTATGAAGAGTTAGACATACAACACTTTCTGAGATAAAAATCACGGAAAAAGACGTGGGCAGTGGATAATGCAAGAATTTAATTAGGATTCGATATTTGTAATAAATAGTCAGCAATTAAAGACAACATCGTCTTGTGTATACAATGAATTCTCCTCCGACTTTGCCCCCTTTGCTATAGGTACCGAGAGAGGTAAGTCACGTGACACAAACATGACCTCTTTTGATTGATTTTTATAGCAGGGTATTCCTTGGCCATTACAATGTTTTGAGAAGGATTTGAAGCAAAATTATGATAAATTAATTAGTCTAAATATGTTTTTAGTCCAAATATATAATCAAATCACCCAGTTTGTACGCGGGAATGTATCTTTAAGGTATGCTGAATTAAATTAAAGACAAAGAATTTTTAACTAGAAACATGAACACAGTGAAGTTAATTAGAACATCATCTATTTTATTATTCATTTACATGTAGCTTAAAACTGTTCTGTTCATACATGTATTAATAAGAAAATACCAGTAAAAATGGGATCAGCACTTCTGAACTACATGTACTGTATACTTTCAATCAAGATTGGTCATTAAAAAATCTGATAAATGAGAACCTGAAGTCTGAACTTTGATAAATGTTACACTTGAACTCAAAAAGAAATTCTAGGCATTAGTCCAGCAATTAGTACTGTAGCAATTTGTGTGATCCTTAGATACAATTTGTACATGTACAATACTAATAAACGTACACAATATTTTGTACAATACCAATAAACGTACACAATATTTTCAACAAAAACAATCTGATTAAAATACAGATCTATATTTTGTTTCGTTTTTTTTAATACTTTCGATGGCCTCTACTACATGAAGATCTGACCTGTTGTAGTGGGAGGTCGCATCAGAGGTCATATGAGCAGCTTTTGACCCTATGACATCAGACATTTGATTAACCAATCAGCATTGATGTTTCTAGTGGGTTACCACAGTTCCCTGCAACTCGTGACAAAAACTAGACGTACATGCAACAGACCGTTTCAATGGCTAATCCCTCACATCATCCAGAATTTCTGGATGATGTGAGGGATTAGCCAATGAAACGGTCTGTTAATATGGGTTATATAACAACTCTTCCAGATCCTAGTGTAATAAAGACAAGTAAAACGAAATTTTGAACTATAAAAAATGAAACAAAATAGGATATTATGTTTTAATCAGATTGTTGCAAAACAATTTTGTGATAAAAGTTGTGATTGTACATACATTGTATTAACTTTAGCTTACAGTCTATACATTTTTCCTTAAAACAAATGTTCATTTCAGGATTTATATTGACCAAGTCAGATGAAGCACAAATAGAAACTAGATGTATGTCATGCACTGCTTGAACAAGCTTCAATCTATTAAAATTATAAACAATTAAAAATTCTGAATTTCAACCTAATGAAAATTTTAAATTAAAATAGGCATACATAAATTTACAAGTATGACCCTTAAGAGGGCCATAAAGTTTTCGCTCGAGTTTATAAATGAAAGATAGTTGGCTAGGCATGGTATGAGAACTAATTAGAATTTGAATGGCTTTTTCATGTACATGTACATTCCTCAAAAGGGGTTTCGGTAATCAGATGATAATTAATATACTTCTTTGACTCGTGAACATAAACACTACATAAACATTACTACAATCGGACAACAACTTTAGGCTCTAAAGTGTCCACAAGTACCATGTACATGTAATTGTTGAAGATGGATGAACGAATGGGGGTGAAAACAATATACAATGATCACATTTCACTGTGGGTAAATAAAATGGAAGAAAAAAAAAATATGGATTAAGTCTGAAAATATGTTTTCCCCTTTTGAAATGCCCCTTTTGCCATAAAAATCTCTACCTTATCTGCATGTATGCCCACTCTGTACTGCATTTTGTGAACAAGTTTTGAACAATCATGCCAAATTTGAAAAACATCCATCAAGATTTAAAAGAACAAGCCCCCCCTTAAACAAGCAGTTGTATCAGGTGTTCGAGAAGGAGTTAGCACAACATCCATCACAACATACATTGTACATATATGAACTCTATATATAGACAGTGCATTGCCACACATGTGAAGAATAAAAACAAAACTATACAAACAAAATAACCAGATTAAAATATACACAAATAGTAAACAAAGTTTGAAAACTTAACCTGTTGATTTAAAATATTTAAAAAGCAAACATCTAACATATATTTGTAGTCATAACTAAGCTTACAAATGTCAGGAATTTGTTTAAGACAATCATGTATTATTAAGGGGTAAAAAGATAACAATGAGATTAAAAAGTGAAAACATCTATTCTATAGTTTCCCTGATTGAAAAATCTATCTTTTTATGTATGGATGTAGAAGCGATAAATAAATTGCATTTAAGCTACATACCTCTGTTATTTCAATTCTTTGAGCAATGCTATCCAAACACTCGTGCCCTGTGCTATCCGATGTTAACGTACATTCTAAGAAACTATTATCCAGTAAATAAACTCCTACAATGAAGGCATTCTTTGTTGAAATCTCGTAACGTTTTGTTTTCTTTAATCTCCATTTAAAGGGCATTGTAATTGATCACATCTATCCAACTCAACTGTTTTTCATTCAATCTCAGGAATTTCTTTTGTTGTTCGCTTTTTCCTTGTTTTATTTCCTTTTGGGTTTTTTCTATCTAAAATTATACAAAATTATCAAGAGATTATTAATTTAAGCTACTTTTTGGCATATTGTCACCAGTATTATCTGGGCAGTACACACACACAGTACTCAGGGCATAATACATGTAGGTCATCTTATTATTTTTGTACCACAGTAAACAAGCTTCATCAGCATTTAAATTAATCAACAAAACCGGTTTTAAAAGCTAACCACCTGAGTTGATAACCTTGGCTTTATCTTTTAATTTATCTATTAACTTTCATTGTAAAATTCAAACGATTCAATTTTAACACTTGATGTTTAATTTCATATTGAATTCACACACACCCCTCACTAAATTCCATGGTTACAAAGAGCATGAAATTATATTTGTTATATTTGCAGATAAAGTTTAACAAATCTGATCTAGGGTACAGTACTCTGTAATTACATGTAGTGTTACCAATTTGATTCAAATCTCAGCTAATGTATGTACATTAATTTATTCATTAATACATATATTTCAAAAGATGTTGAATATTTCTATACAAATTCAAGATAATACTGACAACCTGGTATACAATGCATTATATATTCTGTGTTACATGGATATTAAATGTATTAAATTCAAGTACAGTAACTACAAGATGTGGTGAGCTTACATGTAATATATTTAACCTGGTATAATAACATTAATTTATTCATTAATATATATATTTCAAAAGATGTTGAATATTTCTATACAAATTCAAGATAATACTGACAACCTGGTATACAATGCATTATATATTCTGTGTTACATGGATATTAAATGTATTAAATTCAAGTACAGTAACTACAAGATGTGGTGAGCTTACATGTAATATATTTAACCTGGTATAATAATAGAGTAATATACAATTTCTGGTCAATTTATTGTTGTATACACACACAACAGCATAGGATAACTGACAAATCCTCTCTCTACCCCAAACAGCATGATCTTACCATAACACCTTCCTCAACAAAACCCACAGATTTTCAAATTATCATGAAATTGTCAATGAATTTGCCTTTTCGTCAAGTAGAATGGTTAAAACAAATATAACACTTGGAATACAAGTCTTGCTTTGCTATGGTTAATTTTGGCTCTTCATATGAAAATAATCTATATCAACAAGAAATCATATGTTAATGCTATACAGAGAAGCCCACATACAGTATATATTACTTAATTTGCATCTGTATATTTTGAAACTAAAAGTGATTGCCATTACATGTAGTAGTCTCTCATGTTGAAATTTATATTCAAATCAATCTATAATACAGTACAAAACCTGCCTAATCAGACAGTTTAATTACTACTCTGTTGGAAACAGCTTATTTGTAAGAAAATATTAATTCTTATAAAAGTAGACTAATAAAAAAGTTATTTCAAAAAGTAAATAATGGGATTTATCAGATGTACATGTATCCATTCTGTTCATGTTATGCTTCATTTTGCCTCATTTCTAAGTGGGTTCTCTCAAACCCTAACTTTAGTTGTTTCACACTATCTGGTTGTTTTCTTATTACATTGTGTAGTATAATAAAAATAAGTATCTATCTGATAATTCAATTAATTGACATAATTAATACAAACTTACAATACATGTAAAATTATAACTCCTTTGACGGTTAATGGTATTAACAACTAGAATGAATGAACCTAGTGGACAGATGAATGGACTCAAGATAAATGTGAACTTAAATTGGGTATCCAACCAGTGAACCAACATATAAGCAGAGCAGAGGCCTAATAAAGCCAACATCTTGTTACAAGTACAGTACAATGTATATGAAGACTTGTAATTCATCAGATGAAGGTAATTATTCAAGCATGCAAGTAAACAGATTAATATACAGTTAACAATACTGATATAAATGTTCAGTAACCAAGTAGGCCATATAATATAAAACTATAAAGATATCATTAATTCTAGCAAAGACTTACTAAATATAAAATATTACTAAGGCTTGAGATAAAAATGATAGACAACTTGCCATTTAAATCTGTAACACTTTAAAAATCGAAACATTCAGACATTCCCTACACTGACTGACACAAAACGCCAGATGACACTAGAGGGTGACACATCTAAATATTGCATTTCAAGTTCAACACCTCAAAATTCCATGCATAACATAAACAATGTAGGTTGGAGAAGGGAGTTTTCGAGATGTGTGATGAAACGGGCACCTGCTTATTGGATAATTGGGTAATTTAAAATGACAGATCTACTAATCATATGATAGTCATGCTTACCGGCATTTATGTGTCATAATATTCAACTTTTTAGGAGTGTCACATCAACTTTTGTTATCATTTCGTCTTTACGGCTATTAACGACGCGATCTAAAAGTCGCTTTCACATTGTGACAATCGGGACTACAACCACTTGCTACCGTAAAACGTTCTATATTTCTTTGTGTCGTAAAATACTTTTAATTCAGCGACGACTTGGAGCAAATTAATAAGATGCAAATGATATTTTCACTGGAATTATTTCAATATCAAATCTATCAAATCCAAAATTTAATAACCTATTATTTATTGAAATTTCCAAATTTCCAGATATCAAACCAGAGACCCATCAACGACAATCGTTGAAACAACAGTAAACTGAAAGTTTTCCGATTACCCCTAAGTACCACTAGGATTGCCAGTATTATTTATGTAATTATTTAATTATTGTGAAAACGAAGGAAAGAAAATGCCACCATCAGACATTATGAAATTAGATCTTTACGGGTTACTTGATGTCACAGTTGAGGCAACAGAAAAAGAGGTGAAAAAGCAATAAGTTACAATTTCATATTTTCTAAGAAAGTCAAAACATAATTATTTCTATGTTTTTTGCTCAATAGGTTGTCAACACACTATTATACGAACATAGGTTATCTTTTTCACACTTAAACATCTTCACACCGGGAATGATATCATAATTACCTCCCAATTACCTCCCTTGTTTTCCTATTCCCCACTGCCATTTCAAAGTGAAAATGCAATTAAATGAAATGTACATGTAGAGTGATAGTAAAGACACTGATGTGAGTACAAAAATCTCAACTTTGAAACTTTGAAAAAAAAAAATGAAAGAAAAGTAGAGACTTTTGACTCTGCCCAGACCTTCACCTACAATAGGCATCAAAAAGATTAAGCAGAGAACTGTATGCTCTATGTTTCTATTATTAGGGTTTGAAGTTCCTTCTTTCCAAGAAACACGAAAAACAAAAAATGCTTAACAAGAATACAGGTACATGTAACTGCACTATACTATACATGTATGAAAGTGTATTCATATGTTGTTTTATTTTTTTACAAGGTTCAATGCTTTTACTTATAGATTGTCAGTGCCTACAGGAAAAAAGCCAGAAAATGTCACCCAGATAAAAATCCTGATAATCCAAAAGCAGGTAAATTTCTCTTACGCTAAAGTTAATATCTGATTGACTTTAAATTTATACACAGTGTTTAAGGTCTTGAGACGAAGAAGCCTATTGATTTTCAGCGATTTCCGATAATTACTGCCAGAGTTATGGCCCTTGATCACTTTGAAAAATCTTGTGGACGCTCTAGAGGCCAAAGTTAATATCCAATTGACCTTAAATTTATACACAGTATTTGAGGTCATGAGACGAAGAAGCCTATTGATTTTCAACGATTTCCGATAATTACTGCCAGAGTTATGGCCCTTGATCACTCCAAAATATCTTGTGGACGCTCTAAAGGCCAAAGTTAATATCCGATTGACTTTAAATTTATACACAGTGTTTAAGGTCAGCGATTTCCGATAAATACTGCCAGAGTTATGGCCCTTGATCACTTCAAAAAATCTTGTGGATGCTCTAAAGGCTAAAGTTAATATCCGATTGAGTTTAAATTTATACACATTGTTTGAGGTCATGAGACGAAGAAGCCTATTGATTTTCAACGATTTCCGATAATTACTGCCAGAGTTATGGCCCTTGATCACTCCAAAATATCTTGTGGACGCTCTAAAGGCCAAAGTTAATATCCGATTGACTTTAAATTTATACACAGTGTTTAAGGTCATGAGACGAAGAAGCCTATTGATTTTCAGCGATTTCCGATAAATACTGCCAGAGTTATGGCCCTTGATCACTTCAAAAAATCTTGTGGATGCTCTAAAGGCTAAAGTTAATATCCGATTGAGTTTAAATTTATACACATTGTTTGAGGTCATGAGACGAAGATTCCTATTGATTTTCAACGATTTCTGATAATTACTGCCAAAGTTATGGCCCTTGATCACTTTGCAAAATCTTGTGATGCTCTAAAGGCTAAAGTTATAATCCGATTGACTTCAGATTGATACACAGAGTTTAAGATCTTGAGACGAACAAGTATATTGATTTTCAATGAATTTTTATGACTTAAACAGTTAAATCCATGATATTAATAGCTTTGCATACAAAACGTTAGCATGGGGCAGAACTTTATAAAAACCAAACAAATTCTAATAGTTTTCTGATAATTACTTCGTGAGTTGTTGCTCTTAATCAGATTTTAGTGTATTATAAATGTTTCATTACCGAAAAAAGTAAAAATATGCGACAACCCTTGTTGACTGCCCGGACGATTTAGTTGCTGTGGGCGTATGTTTCGTTGCCTGGCAACCTATCTTTAAGACAGTGTTGATCAATTTATTCAACTTCTTTTACAGCTGAATTGTTTCATGAATTATCAAAAGCTCTTGAATTGTTGACAGATGCAGCTGCTAGAGTAAGTATAAATTGCAATAAAAATGTTTTGCAAAATTGGGCTTGCAATAGTTAAAGTGGTTAGCACTCTGGGGTCATGACCATAATGTCCCAAACTGGAATCAAATGTAAGGAAATAAAGTTGGTCTTGTTTTAATCCATGCATGTATGTGGATAATAGTGCTTGAAATAGATTGCAAACAGTTGCAATTCGAGGGGGAGAGAAAGGTTAATGCTCATCCTTTCTTTTACACACAACTATACATTTAGGAAAGGAAGGTTGGGGAAGCTAATATTAACTTCTACTCAACTCATTTAAGTAATTTTGGGACTAGCATTTGGTAATTTTTCTTTCACTATTTGTGTTTACAGGCAGCCTATGATAAAGCTTTAAAAGCCAAGAAAGCTGCAGAATTACGTCACCGTGAACTTGATAGTAAGAGAAAAAAACTTAAAGAAGGTAATTATGTAGAAGTTATTGAAAATTGCCAAATAAACAAGCAGTATATAGTGCATACTAGATAGAGTATGGATAGCCTGTCTCGTGCATTACACCTGTCACTGCTAAATGGACTGATAGCTTGGATTTAGACTTTTGTAGTTCTAATGTGATTGCTGTTCCTTCTATCTTGTTGTCATCATGGAGTATAATTTCATTCATTTCTTTCTCACAATTAGACGTTGTTCGCAGAATACTTACATGGCCTGATGTATCTCAATTTCCTCTTGTTACACAAAGGCACCACCTTAATACTTCATATGTGACAAGGAGTAGGGTCGTCTGTCCAACCTCGTGGGTCCTCCAGTTTCCTCCCACTGCTAAAGACCCCTACACACAAACGAATTATTGAAATAAAATTAGTCCTAAAATGACCTAGTTTTTGTCAAGTGGAAGTTAAATCTCATTTCACTCTCTCTCTCTGAATACTTCATAAAAGATACATTTATTTCATTACATTCCCATTCATATTATGTAAATGTATATTAATGCTTTTTTTTTACTATTCACAGATTTAGAGGCAAGAGAAGATTCAGCTGAACAACAGAATAAAACAGAGGCAGCTGCAAAAAAAAATCTTGAAGCTGAGGTAAAAAAAAAAATATAGAAAAAAAGAACATAAACTGTATTTAGTTTGAAGTAATAAATGCCATATTAGAACAAACTCTTGGTGGGGATTATTAATATATATTCTAAATTGTAATAAAATAAATTCTTAGATTGAATCCTTACTGAATTATACAGTACATATTATGACGTAATTGTCAGTCCATCTAATGACAGCCCACCCCAAATAAACTCTACTCCAGAAAAAATAAATACAGTTGAAACTCTTAAACAAATTATCTTGTTTAATAACTACTTAACCCTTCATTTCCTTCATTGTTATACATCACTCTAAAAAGTGCCAGATTACACCTATAAGATGCCTTAACTTGAACAATGTATCTGCAGAATAAAATGTAAATTACAATATGCGAATATTAGTATATCAAGACCCGTAGTGATATAAATATAAACCCCATTTACATTACAATTTTAGGCGTGCCGTGTTATGTAAATGGGTCAAACATAAGTGTGCAATACTGAGTACAGTACCAATTTGGCCCACTGAAATGGTGGTTTCGCCATAATTGTTTTAATCCAGGTAATTTGCATAGGGACTGATATTAACTTTTCAGTGAAGAGTTCCAATTTCTTGAAATTTATTGCGGCCTGGTACCTCCCGAGAACGGCACGCTTGTCGTGGCCAAGTGTAAACAGGGCTATTGTGGGTACCTTTAATATATCCAGCTCTGGTCTAGAGAGAGAGAGAGAGAAATGGGGTTTAACGTCCACTCGACACAAACTAGGTCATTTCGGGACTAACGTGGTTTAATTTTATTTACATAATTCGCTTGCGTGTAGGGGTCTTTAGCAGTGGGAGGAAACCGGAGGACCCGGAGAAAACCCACGAAGTTGGACAGACGACCCTACTCCTTGCCACGTACAACCAGGGATTTGAAACCACGCCAGTCGACTCAATGACAGACATTATGATACAGCGCGCGCACGCTGACCATTCAGCCATCCAACCACCCTCCAGCTCTGGTCTACTCATTACAATGTTCAATTGGGTGGAGTGAAAGGTTGCTTTGTAATAATTTTTTCTGTTGTTTTTTAAATAGATTGAGAGATTACGTAAAGAAGGGAATAAATTATTAGAAACGGAACAAGAATTATTGAGAGAATCACTTAAACAGCAAACTGTAGTAACTGTCGATTCTAGTGGTATGTAGTGCTTTTTATCATCCATTGATGCATCAGCAATATATCAATGCACTGCCGCCACCTCAATTATCAGCCTTCTTGTGAAAAATCATGTAAAATTTTTCTTTTGAACTTCCCAAAAATGTTTGGGTATAGATTTGTGGTTGTTGTTTCACCAAAAAAGATGGAACAATCAACAAATTTTGTGAGAATCTATTCTTGTGGTAAGAAAAAGTGAATCAGTGTGCAAAGCAGTCTGAGTTTTGTCACAATCCCTGAATGCTACTGTTTTGCTAAATATAACTAATTATATCCGCTGGAAATACATTGTTGTGGTAAAATACAATTGATACCAGTACTTTCTTCACAAAAAAGATGTAAATGTTATTGATTATATAATAAAGATAGGCATCAGTATTAAACTGTTCCATTTAAAGAACTATATCAAAGATTTGCAGCAAGGTATTTTCGTCTATAATGATGCGACAAAGGAGATTGATAGATACAACATGTTGCTCTCATGTGGACAAAAATGTTATAAATTAAATTAATTGTAATAATATATCAGTTTGTACAGATGGTTTTCTTTTGTTATTTTAGATGATGATGATGTCCCAGTTTCACCAAAAATAAAGGTACAATCAGTATACACCATTTAACAACTTCTATTGGGTGTTGGGGGTTGGATGGCCGAATGGTTAATGCATTTGATCATAAGGTCTATCACTGGTTTCGATTCCCTGCTTATAAGTGACAAGAAGGGTCGCCTATCCAACCTTGTGGGTTTTTTCTGGGTCCTTCAATTGCAAATTGAACCATATGACCTAGTTTGTGTCGAGTGGATGTTAAATCCCATTTCCCTCCATTGGATCTGCTTATAGAAACAGAATTTTAAAGCAACATAACTTTATAAATATTTTGAATTCAGGTCAAATGGAAGGCTAGAAAAGGCGATGAATCAAATGGTGGATATGATAAAAATAATTTAGAAGCATTGTTTAGTCAGGTATATACTAATACATTTGTAGAAGTAATGATTTAGTTTACAAATATTACTTGTTTAGTTTATTTTGTCTCATTATTTCTGTTATTGGTAAAACATCTTTCTACATCTTCAGTTTTCTTAACACATATTTTGGGAGACAAGCATTTATGTTACATTTTAGTATTGAAACTAGAATTTGAAAAATGTTTTAAATCACTTTTAAAAAGTACAAGTTCTTTGATGTTTAATACAAGTTTTTGATATTTACAGTATGGCGACGTAGCATTTGTTTTGGTTTCTGCTAAAAAATCAGGTTCAGCTATAATTGAATTTGATAAAAGCCCATCAAGCAAGGTAAGTTTCTCTAGATATATATTGATAGAGAATGCCCATGAACTAGTAATGAAAACTGTTGAGATGAGCTACTCAGATTTAATGCATTATTACTGTTAATTATAATAATTGGCCCAGTTATTTTGAATATGATATATGAAATTAGTTACATTTATTTTTTATTGAAATTTCTAATTATTTCAGTTATTAGAGGTGGAATATGAAGATGGTCTTCCCCACAATCCATTTACAGTCAGCTGGTTATCAGGGAAACCACAGAAATCCAAACCTCATGTAAATAGGACATCAATTAATCCAGCTGCTGATGAACAGCCATACAGTAGTTATATTCATGTAGGTTTATTCAATTTTTATTATTTTTACTCACTATCAGTTATCATAAGTCTGCAGTAGTTGAGCTGTAGGGCTTCAGATATAAAGATGCATTATGCAAGAGCTAAATCTGTCTATTGCATGTGTTTTTTCTGGCTTCAAATGTTATATAAATTATTATTTAATTATTTAATCATATGACAAGTCCATAATCAACTCTCTTGAACATTGTGTGGCTGAGGTATTGAATGCTTTAGACCATCCTCACCATACAATTGGTTAAAGTTAAAATGAACCTTGCTTAATTAAAGGACTGACAATCATCACTTCAATTATTTTGGCAATGGTACTTGACAATCAGCTTTTGAACTATTATAGCAAGAACATCCAGCTCTTTATCTAAACCTAACATAATGCACCTTTAGAACTAGAATATATTGGTAAGGTATTCAGTGATTAATCAAGGCCCTGTATAAGCTGGCAGTGCATTCCAGACAAAACTTTGTCCACAATATTGCCCTTTGTAGAAGTGGAATTTAAGCTGTACAAATGAACCAGTCATGGAAAAAAGTTGTAAATAATAATAAGACTTGTGACTTGAATGCACAGTATTTCAGAACCTTCATTTTCAGTTTGCACTTACCAGTGACCACACGTATACTGTGACTGTAGTTAATAGGGTCTGATTTAAAAAATATGGACCAGTGTTTAAATGGCAGTGCATGTGAAAGGTTCCAGCAAATTATTCTCACATACTGTTTGAATGAATAATTTGTAGGCTAGTTGCACAAAGAGTAGTGATAATTACATAACAAATCCCTTTTCTTCTAGGCATCAGAGTTTGCTAAACCTGCCAGCACGTCAGATAATGATTTTGAATCTCTAGTTCTTCGTAAGATGCGACAAGCTGAGGAGCGTAAAAGATTAATAGAACAGATGCAAAGAGAAGATGAAGAGGGCTAATTTTATATATATTATTTTTTTATCTGTACATTTTGTAAATAAAGAACTGTTTTTATTGTAAATTATGTATGCAGTTTTCTTATTAATTTCCTTGAAGAGAATTTTAACTGATAACAAGCATTATATAAAATAAAGTTCACTTTATATCAATCAAGACATTTACAATTGGCCATCAAACATGACCATATTGATCGAACATCATGTTAAAACATTCTAATCACAATGAATTGCTTATTATGCTGCATTGTGACAATGGAATTACCAGTTCACAAGTCAAAAAGAGTATATATAAAGTCAAATTCTTGAAATTAAATCTACTCCATGTTGACAACATTCACCCTCTGTATTTACTGAAAACTAACAATTATCTATATTAAGCAAATCACCATATTATGATTTTGAATCATGTTTTAGTAATAATATCATTAGTGATCTTGTTTCGATGAAAGCATCCATCATTGTGTTTTAGTAATAATATCCTTTGTGATCCTGTTTCAATGAAAACATCCATCATTGATTCCAAAGCTACTCCTGATACCACCGAGTTGCTCTCCTCGCCTCCTATTAAGGACTAAATGGGTGTAATTCTAACTTGTGAAGTAATAGGTTTCTAGATATATCGATACCACATATCATTCTCCTTAAAGCTATAATCTCTTAAACTGTCCCTAATTAACAAGTCACATTTATCACTGTACTCCATATTTTTGTGCTATAATACCGTCTATTTTACGTTTAATGTTGGCATTTACATTGTGAAGTTCACTTTGTTTCCTGGCTGCCATCTGAAGGTATAAAACAAATTTACATTACAAGAACATAACTCTATTGTATTGATTAATAGTGTAGTCTGGAACAACTAAATTGAGATAGCTCGCATATTTTTCTCTTCTAACAAAAGAAAATGATGACAGTTAGAATCAGCTTTAAAGAATTTTCTTGACACGTCCATTCAAATGATATACTAAATTTAAGACTGGGTTCATGACCTCATTTGTGGAACCAGGACTAGCCATTGTTGCATTGGGAAGGGTAGAAATGTGACAAACAGTTAATTTCAACAAACAAACTGAACAAATTTGAATGATTTACAAAAAACAACTCCTTTTTTAAGCTCGGACACATAATTTTTCTAAAAGTCAATCTAAGTAGTAATCATTAATTTTCTTTTGTTAGAATATATGAATCATCTCTTTTAAGAAGTTGAAAGACTGTTATCCCTTCAGAGAGTTGACAATTAAATGCGTCGGAGAAGAAGTGATTTCAATCTGTCATCACTATATTCTAATGGAAATCTTCATCTAAACGCTTTAATTTCAATTTTTAATTTACCTCAATTTTCCACAACAAATCAACATCCCATTTCTGACTGATCAGACTGGTCACATGACCCGAGTTGGGAGCACCAACTCTTCCAACACGCCCCACTCGGTGTATATAATCCGACATAAATAACGGAAAATCAAAGTTAATTATATGCTCCACCTAAAAATATATTTTAAAATTACATGTAACAAAGAATCTATTTCCTCGAAATCAGTAGGAAAGACATTTTTAAAATAGAATGCAATGAAATGACACTATGAGTACAGGTCTTGTCTATAGCCTTAAGAAGAGATATTTTAATCTACATGTATGTGTAAGTACGTGTATGTGTCTTAGTATATACTGTCCTACAAAGGCAACTCCAGATCCATTCACTTGATTTCATATTTGTTGTTTATTTCTTGTCCGCAGATTTATCATTGGTTTTGTCTGCATGTAGTGAAGTCCTCCTGCACTTACTATTATTACTGCGATGTGATTTAAAGGGCAAATAGATGACATGATTTCTTTGAAACCATAAATTCATATTTTAACTAATTTTAATTTAAATAACAATAAATAGAAACTTGTCTAACATCCTGTATTCTAGGCAATGAAATGACAAATGAATACATTTTACAACTGCACTAATCATGAATATTATTATGTCCTATATTAAGCAAACCTACCCTTGTTGTATCAAGACCTCTAGAAGCGATATCAGTAGCTACCATTACATCATATTTACCCTCTTGAAACTGTATAAAACGTCCCTGTCTTTGCTGCAATATATTATCAATATTATAGACATTACCTCATAATAGCATATAAATATAGATTGCCAGGAAACGAAACATATACCCAGAGCAGCCAAGTTGTCCGAGCAGTCCACAAACTGAAGTAATTATCTGGGGGTTCACATTGAAGAATGCTATGGAAAAGTGAATCATTGGGTTGTATTCCCATTTACATTGTAACTGAAATTATAAGCATAAGAGAGAAAGATTGGATTTAATGTTCACAAACTAGGTTATTTGGGACTAACATCTTTAGTTCAATAAATTGCTTGTACGATGGGGTTTTCACCAGTCGGACGAAACTGGAGAACCTAGGAAATACCCATAAGGTTAGACAAACAACACTACTCCTTGTCACATACAAGCATGGGACAGGAACCACACTTGATTCAATGCCAGACCTTAAGATATAAAGCCAGTGCATTAAACCACTCAACCAGCCCACTCAAATTGTTTCTGTTAAAGCTTGTAAATTGTTTTCAGTTTGTAGTAGAATTGCAAAATGAAACAAAATAAAGAATTCTATCAACTTTGATGGCAGTGGGCATACCACGTCTATGTTGTAAAAATTACATAGTAGTTTTACCCTTTCTTGTAAAGCTCCAGACAGCATAATATTGTCAATGTTATTTTCTAATAAAGTTTGATTCAACCAAAAAACTGTTTCACTTTTATTACAAAACACTAGAGTTGGTTTCTGTTTAGTTTTTAATAACTTGATCATTTGTTCTGAAAATTAAAATTATAAAACAGATTAATATTTTGTAAATTATTGCAATTTTAATAATTATCTCTGGTCTGCACCAGAATAGAACACAAAAAGAGGGTGGTGAGAGATTGGTGACGATAGGGTAAAACCTAGCAAATCATGCAGACTATGATTTACATGCATTCCATCAAAATGCTGTTTTTGACAGTGCTATGTTTGTTTAATCCTGCTAAGTCAGGTTTTGTTTGAGAAAACATCTGGGTGATTGCACGGATTTTCGTACTATAGTACAACCTGTGGTCATGACCAGCCATACTATACGATAGAGCACAGTTGAGATAGTTCAGACTGTCGTCGCAACCACAGTCTACATCCGAAGGTCGCCCCAGTATGGAGAATACATAGAAACTTTTAAAATTAAACAAGGGTTTATACAATATACATGTATATGATTAAATTAAATTTAATCTTATTTAATCTTACTCATAATGTTTTGTATTAGTTTATCATATCAAAGGAATACCTGCTTTATCTGCATTGCTAACTCTAATAAATTTTTGAGGAACGTGTGGCATCAGTCGATGTAAACCTGCTGTTGTTACTCTAGCCATTTTATCTACCTGTAAATATTCGTTACTACTCATGAATAGGCTAAGCATGAATTAAACTGACATACGAACCAGTTTAAAGGTCATAATCAATATCCTGAATAAGGCCTATATTTTACTACCATGAGTTCATAAATGTTATTTACAAGTCATCCAGTGATGTATATATTAATTAAGACCACTAAAAAATGCACCACAATAGTCTTAAAAGAATATAGTTAATGATATTCAAAAGGTCACCTATTTCTGGAATTTTTACATGGTGGACAATATAATATGAATTGATTATAGTTTCAAGACATTTCAATTGTTGTAAATACTTACTGGTATTAAATTTCCTATGATATCTTGTAGACCTTTAGCTAATGTAGCACTAACTAATATAAACTGTACACCTTTATTAACAATAACATCTTCATCTCTAACACTAGCTCCACTCGATGCCTACAAAAGAAACAATATGCATTCTCTGCTTAGTGCAAGACACCACTTCTGTTAGAGATGAAATCAAATTATATAATAATAGAGATGCTTTATCATAAAAGGGGCTTTATCATATAATATATACCATCACACATAACCATCAGTTTTATATTACATTATTAATTTCTGACCTCAAATTTTAAAAGTCCACATCTCCAGATGCTGATGTTTTGCTAGACTATGAAATATTAGCCAAACAATAGAACTATTCATCTGTTTAATTTTTGCTTTTTGTATGAATACATTTTTCTCAATTGCTTGACTTGATTATCTAGTCCATACAATTTTATACATTCTAAAAGCTTGGGTGGTACATAGTTTCCTATACATATTGAATATCTCCAGTCTATGTCAGAGGTTTGAGATTAAATCATGAAACTGTCTTTCAAGTCATACATCCACAGATGCTATTAATATAAATATTAAATTACATCACTTAAGTGGATTTTTTTTATCTCAATAGCCAAAGCTGCAATCAAATTTTACAAGTAACACATTGTTCTCTTGAAATTAGAATTGATTCTTATAGATATGTACCTGTAACTTTCGTATGATATAATTAACAGAACCACTAAAACTATCATCTAACAGTGTATCAGCTTCATCAAATATAATATGCTGTAAATTACTTCCTTTTATATGACCTGAAACAGACAATAAATCGTATTGCAACATATATTGCGAAATCTGGTTTCAGAGCAAAATACAGCCAAATTATCATAAAGTCTTGAATAGCAATGGGCACAGTAAGCTGGTGCCCATATCTACCAATACAGACTTATCATTATGTAGCCCTGTCACCCAGTCATCAAACAATACTTCAATTTTCTGGTCTCATTTTATTATTAGAGTAGCCAAAAATAAAAATGGACACAAATTTACAAATTATCAAATAGTAACTTAGTTACCTGCTGTTAGGAATTTTGCTAGAACACCTGGTGTTGAGATTAATATATCCATACTTCTAGATATAGGCCACGCTAATTTACCCTATAAAATATAAATTCATATTAAAATTGTTCAAAACATTTCTCAATACAGAATTTACCTTAGAAAGCAATGCATGTATGTGACCTATATGCCACACATTCTGTGGCAAATGTTGTCGGGCCCAGATTATACCTATAAAAGTAGAAATGATTGATATAACCAGCTACATAAAGGGTATAATGAATAAAGACGTTGGAGGTTTTGTCATATATGTGAGTGTATACATTGTATGTTTATATAGTAAACCATGCTTACCAATGATGACAGATAAATCATTTCTTACCTGGGTACCACGCCCACCAAACTCCATGTGATATCTAACATCAGTATAATTTGACAATGATTCTATCACACTCTGTAAATATTACAATGTTATAAATCATGATTTTCTAAAACTAATGTCAGAAGATTGGTGTAGGAATTCAAAATAAAGCTTCAATGTGCCCGATTCTGTGTTTAAAGAGAAGCTTTATTAAAGATACTTTCCCACGTACAAACTGTGTGATCTGATGATATATTTGAACTAAAACCATATTCAAACTATCAAAAATCGCTTCAAATCCCTCTCAAAACTTTGTTTTTAGGGGAAAACACCTCAATATATAAATAAACTGTTGTTAGATGCTATGTCTGTCACCTCAATTCATTGAGAAAGGGTCCATTTTTTCAGAATGTATTTATCATTACTTACTGTCCATTATCATACATATTGAGGCCTAAGTAAATTCTTAATTATTTTCTCTCAACTTCTTTTTCCGCAGTTTAATTGCAGAGTCTTTTGTACCTTGACACCCCTCAATGTTCCCAAAACCACCTAACCATTTGATCAAGAAATAACAACCGCTCCCTCACTCAAGCTAGCACACAATAAGCTGGCAGACAATAGTCGGGTTGCCAGTTAGTGATACTCTGACATTTTTACCCAGTGCTTGCCCCATGTTTTTTTTTTTTCGGGTAATCCAGTATTTTTCTAGTAAGATTGGGTATCTATACTTTCTATATAATAATATACCAAATTTCCCGTATTTTTATTGGAAATAACCACCTGATAAATACTTTCAGGACAATGTATCTTTAAATTCCATTTCGGCGGATAAAAACAACAATAAAATACTTACACCTATCTGTTCTGTCAGTTCATGTGAAGGTGTTAATATAATTGCATATGGAGAATTCCGGGGATTTTCTCTCCCAAACCGTTTTATTTGTTGTTCAATACGTTCTATTATTGGAACCAAATATGCTAACGTTTTACCACTACCTAGAAAAAATACAATTTTACTTTATACTACAAACTTTAAAGATATAATGAATAAAATCATTTAGCTTTTTATTTTTGAAATCTACTCGATTGCAGTGAACTGTGTTACACAGTGCCATGTTTTTTCTTGGTAGCTATATGAACTCATAATCATCTTTACAACAATACTAAGTAACCATATATGGTTGCTAATTTTCTATACAGACCAACAGTCAAACTGACAGCAACAATTTGCATCCATATTTTGTTCAAATAATAACTATAAACTAACCTGTTTCTGCAGCCATAATCAGTTGCTGACCATTTAATATTTTACTGATAGATTCTGACTACAGAGTAAAAATATACAATTACAGGTATACTACATACAAATTACAGCCATACTACTAAGTCAAATTTGTTTCCATGCAAACACCAAAATTTGTAATTAGCAATAGATGCAACTACAATAATAGCTTGTTTTGTGTACAAAGTTTCATAAAGTTATCTAGAATGGTTTAAGAGACACACCCTGGAAACAAAACTTAACTTCATTCAATGCAGGATAGAAAATTTGGAGATCACTTATGACAACATGGACTTCAAAATGCAACCAGCTGTCTTTAATCTGCTATATACTATGTAAGAACTTTAGCTGATTTGTAAGACCTTCATTATCTAGTATTAAAAGACGTTCAACTGTACACAACCTGAACTGCAAATAGTGTACACAGGATCTTGATTTTTCGACCCATCCAAATGCCAAGATACTGTTCCTTAATGCCCTACATATACCGGAAATGGGAAACCAGATTGGAAAGTGAGCTAGAACCTTATTCACTGATGAGTTCCTACCTGAACTGTGGTCATGTTAATAAAACCCAATTCTTTCAATCCTTCAACTAATCTACTGTTTACATTCTGATCAGAGAATTTTTCTCTTTTATCTTCCCCCAATACAGCTGGGTTCTAGAAATATACAGATACACTATAATATTAATATAAACAACACTATTAGACAATTATTGTATGCCCAGTGGTACTACTACACATAAGTGATATCATGGTCCATGACTGAAATATATCTGACTAGATTTTCTTAATAGGGTCTCAGCCCTGGATTTAACTTTTTGAAATAAGGTTAGGTTTTGCAATGCCTGAATAGAAATCAGGCACATAAATTAGTCAGCAATTACTTTACCTTCCAATTATTTCTTACGGTTGCTCTATATAACAAGCGGTTGCCATACAAGATACACTCACATTTTGCAAGAGATGGACAGAGAACAAGCTAAATAAACAGATTTTTCGTACAATCAAGGACCATAATCAAGAGTGTTACAGTGTTACAATCCGATAAGTGTCAATATCGATAGGAACCAAGATCTTTGGGATATAATCATGTTCTAAGTTTCGTCAAAATCGGATAAAAATTGTGACCTTTAGATTGACCACAAGCTAAAAACACGATTTTCGTATAATCAGGGGCCATTATTCACAAAGTTACGGTCCGATATGTGACAATATTGAAAGGAACCGAGATCTTTGTGGTATGAACATACATGTCAAATTGTGATCTCTAGAGAAGCCAAAAGCGTAAAACATGATTTTTCGTACAATCAGAGACCATAATGCAGAAATTTACACTCTGAATTGCGCCAATATCGACAGAAACCAAGATCTGTGGGTTATAAACCTATATTTGAAGTTTCGTCAAAACTGGATAAAAATTGTGACCTGTAGAGGGTCTGTCACCAAAATGTGAACAGCGAAGCGACGACATAATACATCCACATGAAAATATGCTTATAAAAATTCATTATTTCAAGTGTAAAGAATGTTATACCAACCTTGCTATATGAAACCAGTGTAAAATAATCACCAACAGATTTACTATGCTTCCAGCCATGAGAGGCTAGATTTCTATCATTTTCATCTTGAAATTTTTCACCTTTATGACAATTGTATTCACTTCTTTTACATGATATAACCATTGTTTGCGATCTACGTCCCATTCTACGTGATTTTTCCTCACGTTCTCTTATGCCACTTTTATGTCTATCCAATTTTTTTATCATTTTTTGTGGCATGGTTATAACTGGTAAAGGTTCACTTGATATACTCTAAAATAAAAATAGTTTAATTAAGAAAAGAAATTGTTCATAGAATACTACAGTATAAAGAAAAATCTTTCAGTCCCATATCTTATATAATAGATCAGATTTTATTTAGGCCAATTCTGTAAAGATTGCTTAGTCAATTTTGTGCAAAATGACAAGACCTCTTGATTTGGGTTAAAAGAAATTGTTGAATTAACTAAATTTGCAGAGTTCATTTATTTTCTGAAGAGGATATTTGTGTACATTAAAACTTCTAGGACGGCAGCTATAGCCAATGTAGTGATGTAACTATTTTTTTTCTCCAGTTTATCCAGAAGAAGTTTAACTCCTTTAAGCCTTTCAGTTCAAGTTCAGAAACTACATGTATATTATCTCTAAACAATATCAATTTGTCTCAATTTGTACTGGTTAGTGTCTATTACAGTGGTGTGCTACCTGATCTATATATATTATGTCTTCTTGTTCATTTGATCACAATGTGTAGTTCCTATTCAGTATTCAGTTGATTTTAAAACTCGTGGTAAAGGGGGTCATGTCCATTTGATAATTTGCTGAAGTTCTAGACATTCAAATTTATTACAAAAAATATTTGTTTAATTGTTTAACCCATCAATGACTGTATGCATACCATTGTTTTTCCAATAATCATTGCTCTTTGTTCCAAACATTTTGTCAAAATAGTCTTGGACAATTTCCACATCTTTCCAGACTATTAACATATATTTCTGAAAATAAAAAGTAATCAATCAGCCCAAAAAATATGTATTTATTGCCTTCTATAGAGTAAAATGGAAATGCTAGGTATCCTACATTAATAGAAGCCCAATATATAGTCATTCAGATGGGACAAAAAAAAACCTAAGGTCCCATGCATGTAAAGAACCCTTGATATTCAGGTGGAATTTGAAACAGGAATAGGTAACACTGCAGTCCGGACAAATTCCCTTCATAGCACACTGTATGGCATATTCCTGTTTTTTATTAGCCCGTCGTCATGCAGATACGTTGAACAATAAACCCTGAAATTTTTGTGTGCTGTTTTAAGAATAAGAACAAGCATTTTAGTACTGCACTCTTTTATACTTCTTGGCCATTGTAAATAGGGGGATACTGTATATTCTGGAATTTATTTCCTTGATTGTCGCTTAACTTGTCGCCGAGGTGAGCACATTACACCGACGAAGCAACGACTTGGGCGATCATATCAAACATGTTTGAAATTGGCTACTTTGCCAGGATGGTCACTGTCAACGAAAAATCGCTAGCGACCGAGTGCGCACACTAGGCGAGTTTTCGAATATTCATCGTCAGAGACTGAAATCGCCAATGTCGTCGTGTAGTGTGCGTCAGGCTTCAGTATACGCATATCGAAATACAATAACAAATGAAGAAATAAATAAAAATGTGTTGTTTTATTCAAACTACAGTTTGTTTTGGGTACCGGTAATTAAAGTTGTTTTGGGTATAAAATTAAAATCTATGTACCGCATAAGCCATAACAGTATTCTGTTCCTACTTCACTTGCATGTAAAGGAGCTAAATCGCTAACATTTGGGACCTAGAAATTGACAAAAGTGGGTCGCAACCCATATAATACTGTAATATGAATGTATATTAACTGATTTACATTCAATGGTTTCGGTTTTTACTCCAGTTTCAAATCAGTTATGTTCGGCGAAATAAGCCAGCAGTCTCAAGCGAGTGCAAATTTCAAGCGTCTGGTTATTCCAGTCTACATACACCGTTTGATTTGGTGCAAAGTGTTTAGCCTCGTCCCTCGAGTCTCTTGATACAACTGGGGCTGAAGCGCAAAATAAACATTTTACCTTTGGTACACGAATCATGTACCAATGGTAAAATGTTTATTTTGTCTTAAATATTGGATATCAAAAGCCCATCTTTTCCCGGTAAGATCACAACATGAATGTTGATTTAATTTGACAAATAAATCGGGTTTTCAATGTTGAAGATTTTGGATGACAGACTTAGCTACTTTAAATTCGAGGTAGCTAATACAATATAGAGTCTATAGTTGATCGGTGTGACTAGAATTAAAATTTGCCTTATTTGTTTAAATACAAAGATCTATAACTATCTCTTCATATTTTCCTTATATTTCGACTTTTCATGTTTTGTTTACATCTCACACGTGCTTCCGGTTGTTTTGTGTTGAAATTTGTAATCACAAACGTACCGTAACGAAATAAAAAACAATATTACCTTTATACAAACATATAATAGAAAGAGATCGTATATATTCTAAAATATATGGTCTAAAATATATGGTCTAATATTTAAGTTTTTATTATGAGAAATTGACCAAGGTTCCAAAATTCGTTTCGGAATTTCAATGCTAATAGTAACCGGAAGTAATATGGCTGACTAATGTAGGAAATATTTTTGTGAGGTGAACAAAATAATTAAAAATGGTTTTAGAGAGAGAAATAGTGGAAGGAATACGTTCTGCTTTTGCTCCAAATATCAGGAAATTTGTAGAGACTCTTGTTGTGGAAGGAAAATTTGGAATTTGTAAAGGAGAAGTGCGTGTTTTGGACCCGAAGACAGGGTAAATCTTATTTTTTATATAAAAATTTCTTAATAAATTAAAATTAGATGTATGTTGCATTGACGGCTATTATCTTGCTTCATAATGGTATCAATATTGATAATTTTAAAAATAGAATAATCATGGTTAGATGTAGTACAGCTCTGAACGGAAGTTCTCATTACTGTACGTATAGGTTCAGAGCTGAACTATGTAGCTTAGACAGGGAACAAAATAACTGTCGATAATTGGTTAGCAGTGCGAAACAGTTTTAATAAATTTTTGCTAATCAGATCAATTTTTGAGGTGCAGTTACGGTCATTTGAGGTGCGGTTACATGTACTCAATATTAATTATTGTAACAGTTTACTTTTTATTTGCCTTGATAGTCAATTTACATTACGGTAGCATATACATGTATATGGTTATTAAATTTTGGTGGTTATTGTCACTTTGGAAAATATTATTTTTTTTTGTATTCATATTTTGTGCATAACTTACAAGTTACGGATCTCGCACCGCATGAATTGTATTGTGGATGATATTTTCAACACCATTTTCAAATCCCTATTGCAGACGAAATATTTGATGTTGTCCACCTTGGTTACATAGCTGTCATGCGTGTAAAATCACACATAATTAATTAGAAATACATGTAAAAAAGCCCTATTCATTCATCCTGTCCTGAACATTCACAATAGTATTTAATTATGTTTTATTGTGCAGAAATTCCCATGAATACGACTCTTACGAGACCGACATAAGCGTAGCTCCCGACTAATTACGTAATATATGTCAAACTTAGAACATTGTTTTGATCATTGTAAAATTTATTTAACATCAAAAATCATGAATATTACAACCAGACTAAGCATTAGAAAGAAGAGTGGAGACATGCAGCATGTAGTAGTCACGTTTTCCAGACGCATAACAAATATTTCCATGCATTTATTATGTCTGGATTAGCGCAACCGATTTGAGACCATGTCCTGAAATCAAAGTTGTGTTGCTAAATGTAGAATAAAAAGGAGAGGTTCACGTTTTAGAGTACGGTAACCATGAAAGGATTTCTTATTGCCAATTGAATTTTGAGGCACTAATTGTTGAAATAAACGGCACTACACTGTATATCTGATAAAAATGATTCACAACTTTATAGATTCCAAACTAAAATTTTGCTAATCAATTTTTCCATTGACACACAGTAACGTCGGAAATGGATCGCAAAGTGTGATGCAAACCCGGTTATTTTGTTCCCTGAGGTTAGACGGTAAAGGAATGGCCATAAGATCATTCAATAGTTCGAAATAATCTGTCAAAAAACAAAGGCCAGTCAGTAAAATTTTAGTACTATTACTAGAATTTTGGAGAGCAAATACATGTAAGTTGAATTTAATTAACATTACAGATGTCTGTCAATAGCTGATGATCCAAAATGTGATCGGTTTAGATTGGTAATACCATATGCTGGCGATTCAATCACATGTAAGTAACCTAACTTGATACATTATGCTACCAGTTTATAAATATTAAAATTTTAAAAATATCTTAAGATGCCTACATGTATCATACTGATAAAATATTTCAGTCTGGTTACCTCCCGTAAGACTGCTTGAGGTATTATTTTTTATTTGTGTATATCTCACCCCAGGCAGGTCCGCTACCCTCCACATGTAGTAATATTTGATGTGTGTCAATGTCTGTATATTTCAGGGGAGGTAATTTTTGATTGCACTCATCCTTCTAACCCTCCAGATTTTATATTTGGTGTTGATGATGAAGGATTTTATCCCAATATAGAAGATATACAGGTAAATATCTTTTCAATACAAGTATTACTACTAAGAATGCTATTTCGCGGCACATGCATGACAGGTCCTACACAAGTTAGCAAACGTCCGATTGGGAATATGCCCATTCGAACATCAAGATATTGTGAATTATATTTGAAATTTCAAAAAATATTTACTGTAATGAGGGTATAACTATTACTAATCTCGATTGTCATTGATAATACTTTATGGCATCTTCAGTGGGTTCAATTATGAATTTATGGTTTAGGTGTTATTCTGCAAAACAAACTACATGTACATGTAATTTCAGAGGTTTAATTGGCTAGGTTTATCTTTCAGAGTTTGGTGATGTGGAACCCACAGGATTCTAGAGGTTTGATTTATGTGATACAAGAATTATTGCAGCACTATCGTCAGTTTCAAATTTCTTTATTAGAGGGAACAAGACTGCAGTTTGAATATTCACATTTAATAGAACATACACAAAGTAAGGCAGATGATATCGAACTAGTGGTTTTTAGGAATGAGGTAAATCTGATTTGTTGTATGCCTAAAGTTATGTCGGTAATCGTACGCCATTTTATATTTCTGGATAACAAAAAGTATTCAATTATTAACTGTTTATTTTTGTACAAACTATGTATTCATTTGTTTCGATAACTGTCATATTTGATTGAAAATATGTTTATTTTAGGGAAGAATTGGTCCAGTAAATATCCTAATTAAATTAGACCTGGATTTAAGTAAAATTCCACCAATATTGACAAAAGTGAGTACACTTAGTTTAATAAAACCCAATCTGAATATCACACATGCATTGCTAAAGCTAGGAATGATATTTCTAGTCAAAAGGTTGTTCAGTAATAAATAGTAATTATATTACATAGAATTGTGTTCTATGTATCACTAAATGCCTTGGAAACACCATATAAAGTAGCTGAAAACAGGCAGCTGATTTTAACAGCATACCATACATATCATAGGTATAAATGTGTATCATTACTGCTTAAAGTATGGTACATTAACAAACTATTTGTGGACTTATTATATGCATACTTTATATTATGTATATTGTAGGATTTTGTTGGTAGTAATTCATCTGTTTTGTTAGTAAGTTATGTATCAGCTGATGGCTACAGAGTTTCACCACAATTATTTCTCTCACCTGCAGTAGAATTGTAAGTTGAAGATTTTATCTAATTTCACAAGTTATATAGCAAGTTTACCTTTTTCTCAAAAAGTCAATTCATACCTTTAGATTCTGCTAATAATGAGATATACAAGTAAATAATGTATAATTTGGGATAAATTTGAAAGATTTATGAAATAGGGAGTTTTAATTCTACTAACTTACGGTACAAAATTCATGAAAGAACAAATTTAATCTACCCCTTTTTATATCAATCGAAACAAAATAAATGTCAGAATCATACTGTGTAAAAATCTGAGAATCACTATTTATCAAAATTATACATTTTTAACATTTTAATTTTGATAATCCTGTTGTTTTTAATTCTGTTTCTAGGGCTTTAGGTGGTTCATCTCATCTTAGAATCCCGTCTTTTCCTTCTGGCGAAACATTATTTGATTATGTTCCCAATGTTTATCAACTCCTGAAAAATAAGGTAACGGATTTGCACTATTCAATCTGATTGTTTCACATGATGAAATTTATAATTTGCAATCAAATTTCAATATCAAGTATATCATGTCACATAAATAACATAGAAAACCTGAACCTGGCATGTGTAGTATTTTTGTTGATAATTTTTTTCAATCATTTTACACATTAAGGTACATATTATTTTTGTACACTGGATATAAAGTCCTACTTTATTCTACCAAAGTCTGTCTTCATATGTCTACTATCCACCTGCATCATTTTATGATCGAGTAGTTAAGGCTACACAAATTTATTATGTCCAATCTCTTTGACTCATTCAAGGAAGTTTGCTGATACCCATGTATTCTTATTGAAAATTATGCCTGTTTCAGGTTAAGCATGTTATTGATGGCTTTGAGAAAAGAGAAGAATATGTAGCAGCTTTCCTCGCCCATTATGGAAGGTAATAAAAAAAGTTTTTTTATAATATTAATATATGAATGGTTTGAAATGGACATAAAGACAACTTTATAACAAATAACTCACATAGTATCTTCTCTATACTGAACACAGATTATAATGAAGATGTTTATATAAAGTTTTACAAAAACAAATTATGCATAAACTGACCACATTACTACTTTTATGTTTTTCAGGTCAATATTAGAATATGATAAAGAATCATTTTCAATGATGTCATTTTTATTTGAGTGGAATGATTTTTATTTTATTTTTAGAAGTAAGATTTGGTTTCTTAGATTAGCTTAGACAGAAAAACTTAATTTATGTAAAATATATTATATATTTAAGACTAAATTTTGATGTAATTATTGAGGTTCATATCATTTTTTAGATATCCACATTTTAATATGTTCATATATTGCTGTCATCCTTTTCTGTCTATCATCGGTAAATTCCTTGTGGTTGCTCGGATGACCTATATGTTAGGTATATGTTTCTGTGCTTGGCAAAGCTGTATTCATTGCTGGTTGATAGAGAATAGTTGCTATATTATAGTACATGTATATCAGAAGTAAATAGACTTACTGTACACAGTCATGATTTTAGTTTAAGTAAGATCACATGAAAATTTTGATTGTCTTACATTCTAGCACAGAAAGGAATATATGTGCATGTTATTGTCTGCTTGTATTTCTTAGGCAAATTTATATTCCGATTAGTATATCGAATTTTTACTTCCAGCTGAACTACCATTATATTTTCCACAAGAACAACCAACATTTTTTCTTCAATCTATATACCATGAGAGTAAAGGTCGACCTTACACAGAAGTATTTAAAGATTATCCCTACAGTCCAAGATGGAGTGGCAATGAAATGGCTGAAAGAGCCAGGTAAATCTTTAAAAAAGTAAAAGTAGAGGGCATATTATATACTAAACTATAATCAGTCAAATATCTCTATGACAACCTGTTAGGCGGTTGATCTGTCAATCTGTCACAATTCTATAGGACATCAGTTCTCAGTGAGTAAAGCCTTATTCTATATTCATGCCAAACTTGGGAACATTTATGGGAACAACTGATCGAGGTACTAAAATGTAATATATCCATGAGTTGTGCTGATCAGCATGAGATGTTTATATGTATTGCACTCTTGACTGATCCCTTCAAATAAAATAAAATGTGAAAACCAGTCCATCATCTGGGCACTTAACAAGCTGTTGAACTGTGTAGTAATAAAATATTACAGATAGACTATGTTTATGCAAGATTATATGTATTATTTTGTGGATTTATGGAGGTTTATACCCAAATATATGCTTTCTGGTTTACATGGCTGTTTGTTTATTTCAGGTTATTTATTTTAGATAAAATTGGCACATTTCAAAAGTCATCTGTTTTAGCTTGATGTTAACTTGATGAAGATGATATGTTGAGATCATTTTAACTGAAGACATCTATAGATACTGGAGAAGTTGTTTAATAAAGTTGTGTAGCCTTTATGTCAGCTATTACATAAAGTTCACTGACAAAAATATCAAAGATATTTAAATGAAAAATAAATACATTGTTCTTTTTGTTTTATAAGTGCTGTAAGCTGTAACATATACACGACTCTTTACTGTTTAGTCAGAGCCCAATAAGATTGTGTAATTACAGAAATTGTATGGATATTTAATTTAAAGTTAATTAAAAGCTTACCTGTAACTAGTTAACAACCATGGTGCCAAGTGTACATCAAAAATTTAATAGAAGTAAATTGGTGTATATATTCATATTTACTATGTTAACCGTTGATTGCCGTGTACCTGAATGTTTGGTGATCTATACACTGGGTTCCCGGTATGAAGACTAGGTAAACAAGTGATGATTGCAGCCATGGAAAAGGTCATTATTTATTTGGTTTTTCGTCAATATTTCATTTTGTGGTACCCACTTTTGTTGCTGGGATATCTAACTTCTGAAGGTAAACAAGGGATGACAGTAGTCGGAAAGGACAGACCTGTCGCACTGTGGGCGGTTAAGCAATATCCTACTGTACATAATAATTATTTTTATGTAATTTTTAACCAAACAAAATTATGATTTCCATTCAATAATAGTGGATAAACCTTACAAATTATCAACGGAATACTGTTACATCTTTGGGGACATATTTACATTAAAGCACATTATTACATTAAATCATATTCACTGGGCAATTGCATTTATTAATATTCTTTGCTAGAAATTATTACATAAAACAAAATATATTAATTCAAAGAGAATTAATGCACGCAAGCACGCACATTGATTTTTTTTGTGCCAATATTTCAAATGGAAAAATAATACTTCATGAATATTATCTCATTGAGAAATGCTGTCCTTTTTTGTTATGAATAGGTTATTGTGATTTATGTGAATTTGTTTATATTTTATTGTAAATAAATATGTAAATAACAAGGACAAGTCAGTATCTGTTGTAAGCAGTATTTTGACAACTGTTGATATACTAGTACTTAGTACAGTGTGTGTCGTTTTAATGGAGTGATAAATTTGTTTGGATATCGATCGGTAGTAAATTCAGTGTGAATTTGTATAATTTTGTATTTTTAGTTAAATCTAGAATCTTTGTGTTCGTAGCGCTCCTGAAACACTTTGTAATACATGTTGCCGTACACGTGATGTGTGGTGCGTTTTTCTGCGCTGAATTCTCTAGACGTGGCTCTAGTTGGCAAATATTCATTACATATACGGAGGCAATGGACCGGGTACCACAAAGTTATTTCTAGTGAAGGATGATGCAAATGTGTGCAGGGCCCACGATCAAAGGCTCAGCGATGCATGACAACAATCAAATATTTATGCACATATAATAAAAAGAATACTAATAATAGTAATTCATCTTTTTTAGTAGTACTATAAGTTTTCGTTAATCTACAGTTGAAGCAAAATACCGAGGATTTTGTGATCAGAAAAGCTAGGAAAGGGCTATTTTTCTTTTTCAGCATACCTTGTCTCATTTCGAAAGACATATTTATTTTACGGTTTAGCATAGTTTTTAGTTTGAATTATTACATATTTATAGGGCCAATATTATTCTGTTCACTGCTACGGGAACTAAAGTTCGCATTGTGTTTTCGACACGTATGAGCGTCATCCCATATTCATCCATAGGATTTTACATGAAGGCTACATAAGAACTACCCCTGCCAACCCCAATAAAAACAATTCTTCAGTTGAAATTGTTCTTTTGGGGCTTATTAAAAATACACGATGCATACTAATGAGGTTTTCCATAGTTCCAATTAATAAGTCAAACGTTCCTTGTCGCAAACCATTTGCTAATAGCGACGCTATTACAATTCTTGTAAAGACAGTGTTACGTGTTTGGTAATAGCGACGAGTTCGTCATATTATAAAACTCGTTGCCAATCTATTTGGTATTATAAAGTTGGTAATACTTTACAAACTATATTTGTGAGTAGGCCTTTATTTTTATGTGATATAATTCAAATTATTAATAAATTAATCATCATAATCGTCGCCTGCAACATCATCATTGATTATGATCGTCGTCGTTTCCATCAAAGCTATCACTAATTCAAATGTATTTTAATAATATATATTACAAAACCCGTCGCTCTATTAGTTACAATTCGAGAAATACCACTTAACGCGTTTGGTAATAGCGGCAAGTTTTGTAATATTATCAACTAGCCAAGTCTTTAACCCAGTATCATCCACAGTCTTCGATATTGCAAACACTTATATTGGTCTATTCAAATCAATATTGATGTTATCTTACGACACAATGAAAATTTTAAACTTGGCATACGAATCGCGTGCCAGAATGCTTGCGAGCGCAATTTGTTTTAAGCGACTCGATGAACGAGGCTAAACATATCCCACAAGGAAAGACTACTGGAGTAGACTGGAATAACCAGGCGTCAAAGACTGCCATTCAATTTGCACTTTTCGCGTATTTTGCCTAACATAACTGATTAGAAATTACAGTAAAAACAGAAACAATTGAATGTAAATCAGTTTATATGAGTGGCGTCCCATTTGTGTCCATTTCTAGGTGCCAAAGAATAGCTGTTTAGCTCCTTTGAGCTAAAAAAAATCACTCAACTTTATAGATTTCAATCACTAGAATTTGATGATTAATTTATTAATTATATTACAGACTATCAACAAATTCGATGGGGATACACTTTATTTTGGTACTGCTATTAATATGGGAAATAAAATTCAATAGCATCCTTGAAAAACTTTCAATTTAACGCTGAAAATCGATAGACTCGTCCTCTCGGGACCCCAAATGCTTTACACCAAATCTAAAAAAAAAATACAATTAAAAATGGTAGCCTTCGTTCTGTGGGGGGGGGGGGGCGAATTTCTGGTCACTAATAATTCCTGCGAAGACCAAAATTTATTATATGCGGCTGTGAGAGGATATCTGATAATTCAAAAAAGTAATTATTGAATGTCACTTGATAAGAGAAAACGAGAAAAATAGAAATAGTCCGTACATTCCCTTGTTTTTATTGTCCCCCGCCTTTCGAAGAAAGCAGGGGACTATTAAAATGGGTTCGTCCGTCTGTCTGTCTGTCTGTCTGTCTGTCCGTCACACTTTTTGGGACACAATAACTCTCTTCCTAATTGAGCTAGAATGTTCAAACTTGGTGTATGTGTTTATTAGGTCAATGCCTTGATGGAGTTCGAAGATGAGCATTTTCCGCTTAGGGTAAGCAGAGATAAGCAATTTGATTGGTTGATGCTTTGGGACACGATAACTCTCTTCCTAATTGTGCTAGAATGTTCAAACTTGGTGTATGTGTTGATTAGGTCAATGCCTTGATGGAGTTCGAAGATGAGCATTTTCCGCTTAGGGTAAGCAGAGATAAGCAATTTGATTGGTTGATGCTTTGGGACACGATAACTTTTAATTGAGCTAGAATGTTCAAACTTGGTGTATGTGTTTATTAGGTCAATGCCTTGATGGAGTTCGAAGATGAGCATTTTCCGCTTAGGGTAAGCAGAGATAAGCAATTTGATTGGTTGATACTTTGGGGCACGATAACTCTCTTCCTAATTGAGCTAGAATGTTCAAACTTGGTGTATGTGTTGATTAGGTCAATGCCTTGATGGAGTTCGAAGATGAGCATTTTCCGATTAGGGTAAGCAGAGATAAGCAATTTGATTAGATGAGCATTTTCAGCTTAGGGTAAGCAGAGATAAGCAATTTGATTGGTTGATACTTTGGGGCACGATAACTCTCTTCCTAATTGAGCTAGAATGTTCAAACTTGGTGTATGTGTTGATTAGGTCAATGCCTTGTTGGTTGATGCTTTAGGACAAGATAACTTTGATAGAGAGTGATGAAACTTAAGTGTATAGTTGATAATCAGTTTGATTGCTTGATACTTTAAAAAAAATAAATGTGCGATAAATTAATGTGTCATCTATTTATTTTGGTATTTTGGCGGGGGACATCAGCCTCACTGTTGGCTTGTTCATTCTATACTTAATACAAACATGGTAATGCACGGACTTTTTCTATTTTTCTCGTTTTCTCTTATCTGGTGACAGTCAATTATTATTATTATTTTTTTGAATTGCCAGATATCCTTCCACAGTCTAATATAACAACTTTTGGTCTTTGAAGAGCGGGATTGGATGGCCGAATGGTTAGCACATCGGGCCTCAGTATGCAAAATTGACAATATTTGTCATCAAAACAACGATTGATTATTGTTAGTTATAACATTTCTGCCACACCCAACTACAATTAAGCAGAAAATTCTACCTGACACGGGTACACATCCCCACTTTTTAAAATCGAAGCGATAATAGCCAATCAAATTACTAACCTGATCAGAGTTGCGCAGGAGTAATAGACCGTAATTATGAATGTCCGTATCAATTTTGATAAAAGCAACGCTTGATTTACTTTATTATCAATATTTGCTGATAAATGAATGTTGTTTCAGTAGCTACGCGCAAGCGAATTATTGAAATAAAATTAAAAAACCATATGTTAGTCCCGAAATGACCTAGTTTGTGTCGAGTGGACGTTAAACTCTCTCTCTCCCTCTCTCTCTCTCTCTCACTCTCTGTTTCAGTAGATTGGGTTGCGTATGTGTAATAAGTACTAATAGTATAAAACTAACTTATTTTTAAGATGGTACATGCATTAATAAAGAAATTAAGTTTATCAAGTGAAACTAAAGGCACCCAATCGTAGCTAAAAACAAGCACATCAGTATATCTCAACGTTTTAGTTACGTTCTCGTAGCTAGTTAAACTCAGACTGTAGATATTATAACTTCTGAAATCGTTAAAAGAGCCTTAAAATCGAGCAAAAACGCCTGTTGAACATACGACTCGAAAATTGTCAAGGCGAGCGAGGCATTATGATGGGAAAAAAGACGAATCTATTCTCTAGCCACTTCACTATTTAAGCCTTGTAACTTGTACTGCTTACTGTCCACACATGAAACAATGCTGCATCAAGTTGCACTCATGCGCGTCGGTGATGGGCATGAGTGTATACGCCGCCGATTCCACAAGATGCTATCATTGATGTCTGTCTATAGTCACAACAAGAATTCGTTTGAAAGTGGAAGCATTAATTAGACCAGACTGGTGTGTTTGAGTCGATGGTTTGAGTCATTTGGGATCCCTTCAACGGGTTAGGAACGGACATATTTGGGTCTGAGAAAAGGCACTTTCAGCAGTAAAAAACGGCACTGGCGAAAATTAGCCCCCCCCCCTCGCACCCCTTGGATCCGCCTCTGAGGATAGTGTCACAAATACATGCACGTGTAGTGTAAAAGTATATTGTAATACCAAGGTTGTGGACCCTTTAGAGCTCACTTCCATTTCAGACAATAACTTCCTGGATTATTTCCATTGATTGTACAAAAAAATCACGTTTTTTTCAGCTTATTCTCTATCCATCTTTTGCAAAATGTGGGCGTATCTTGCATGGCAACCGCTGTACCACAACAATAATGATGACGACGAAGATGATGTTGTAGAGGACGGCAATGAAAATGAAAATTATTTTAATTTTATTAATAATTTGAAATATATTACAACATTAAATTAATAATCATTACCATCGTCTACAGCACCATAATCGTCGCCATGATAACGATGTTGGTGATTTTTATGATTAATTCATTAATAATATGAATATTACAAAATTTTTAAAAATCTACCCTGTCCGTGAAAATGTGGGCGTATAAAAATCGATCAACTAGTAACTAACCCATGGCAATCTATGTAATAGCACGCTGACAGATGAAAGACTATTAATGATATACCCAATTCTATCAATCATAAACAGTAATTGTATGACATAGACTTGTGCCTTGTGTATTTCCAGGTCATTTACTAAATGGCATTAAAACAACTATAAATGAAGTTTCCTTGATTGAAAAACTCATTAAACTCTGACAATGG